TGAAGGGTCATAGGGGGGAACGTGTATATTTCCTTTCTCGCCAAACCCCTTATTTAATACAACGTCACACCGAAATTGCGACGCCGCACACTGAGATGTCAGTGCAGGGACAACTTTGAAGCGAAAACTTCCCGCTATGAATGTGTTTTGAGGGTGACGGAAGAACGCTCATCCACCACATTCAAGGGGAATGTCTCTCTCTCTCACTCTCTCTCTGAATATATATATCTATATGCATTCTCCGCATTACGCCAACATAAACGAGCCAATCAGCACGCTTTGTGTCAGCAATCATCTCTTGATTACTCGGCAGTTAGAATCAAAACAAGAAGCTGTATAGTAGCATGAAATTTGATTTAATAAATAACTAGAAAATTTTAGAAGTAACGAAATTTTTATCCCTTAGATCTTTACAGAAAAGTTGGAAATATTTTAATTGAAAAATAAGCTACTTGCAACTTTTCGTTAATAATTACCTGAATTTTTATTTATTAATTTACAGACGGATATAAAATCAATTAATTCATTTCTACAAACGGTAGATTTTAACTAAAACTAAATTTTATTGTTGTCTGACCAAAGCGAGAATTTCTACTTAAAACAAATTTTAAAACATTAAGTAAAGAATATATTGTTAACAGTCTGACCAAAATGGTAATTTCTACTTAAAAGTTTAAATTTAATTTTAAAATAAAAAAAGAAGGATATATTTTTAGTCTGACAAAAACGTCAGTTTCTACTTCAAAATTAATTTTAAAAATAATGAGTAAATAATAGGGGAATGTAGTCAAGGTTGGCCTACTGTCTAGGTAGGCCACTCGCGTTTTTTTGTCAAGTTCACTAGCGCCACCTACGCGCATTTTTGTCGAAGCTTGTCTTAGTGAAACCTAACTTTTTGTTCAATTACATTTTCGGAAAATCGAAAATTGTGTTTTCTGTGACGTCGGTACAAAAAAAGCTCAAAAAAAGTTTTGTGCATAATGTGAAAAACCATTAATAAAAGATAAAAAACAAATTGAATCGTCAAGGCAAGTATGCAGAAAATTTGTGGGACTCATGGTTGAAAGGAAAACAAAGTAAAAAATCGAATCCCGAAACGTATTTCTTTATGGTTACAACAATTCGGTAATGTTACTTACTGTCAAGGTCGGCCACTATGTGTTTAAAATGCGCAAAGTTGAGGACGAGCTACTTCATTTGCAAAAACTGCAATTCTGTATAACTCATAATATAATTGATCATCTTATTAATATTTTTATTTAATTTTATTAATATTTTAGTGCAAAACTTTTTTTTATTTATATTTATTTTTTTATATTGTTTATTGTTATTATTTTGTTATTTCATTAAGTTACAAACTGTAAACAATAAAGAATCAATTTTCCGTAACTCCAAACATGTTATTTTATTTTTTAACGATTAATGCCCTTTGAATTTTAAACATGGCCGACCTTGACTGTAATGGCCAACCTGGACTACAAATTTTTTTTTTTTTAAATCTTTATAACTTTTTCATTTTTAAACCTGTCAATTTACTTTGTACAGAAAAAATGTTCCTATTAAACAGGACTTTCCAACCATATACTTTAATTGTCCAAATTCATTTTTAAAAAAAAGTTATAAACAAAAGTCAAAAAGGTGGCCGACCTAGACTATGTTCCCCTATATTGTTACAGTCTGACCAAAACGTATTTTTCTACTTAAAAAATTTAAAAACAATAAAAAATGAAGGATATGTTTTTAGTCTGACGATAACGGCAGTTTCTACTTAAAAACTAATTTTAAAAATAATAAGTAAAGAACATATTGTTACAGTCTGAATAAAACGTCTTTTTCTACTTAAAAACTAAATTTAAATATAGTAATAGTTTAAATAGTGCAATTTATTGATGATTTCCAAAAAGAGAAATAATATTAACAGAAATAAATGAATACTGAATAATAAAAGCTTGTACGATAAAAATAAAAAAAAGTTACACACGCATTTGAAAATGTGAAAAAAATGTAAATCTCGGTTTTTCAATTCTATTCAGCATTATAATATTCGGTATCTTTCTTTTTCTTTCTCTGTGTATGTGTATGGATGATTCAGCAGTTATATTCACGCGCACGAGTGCTCGTCAATGGATCTTCCATTTCCGCGATTGTTAACGATTTTGAAAACCCTTCGCTACCGCAATTTGATTCAACATTCAACTCTGTTCTAAATCGTTCTACCGTAATCCACTCTTTGCGTCTTTTATCCGTATATTTATACCAATTTGCCATATATTCTGTCCGATAGAATTGTCGAGGAGTGGGGGATTTTCATATATATATAGATATAAATTAATCTTCGGAGTAAAATATATTCTCAACAATTTTATAACTTTTCATATTATCATTCTTTCTCTAATTTTCAATTAATGAAAAAAAGAAAGGAAATTAATTTGAAATTAATTTCAATTAAATTGAAACAAGAAGGATCTGAAATTTTGAGAATAATTCTTTTCATTTTTACAATTTCGAATTTAAAAATGAATGGCGACAAAAATGGGAAAAATATTATATCAATGTCAGTAATGTTTTGTGTGCCTATAGATTGTATTGTAACTCAATAAAAAGTCTGGCTCCCCTAAAAGAGATGGTTATCACCAATTGCTGATTCTTTGAATTGTAATTTTCATCAATGACTGATCCCCTATTCAACTTGCCTGTAAGCTCGTGTGTTTTTTTTTTTTATTGAAAGACATAATATATATAATTTACCGCATGCTAATTATCATGGTACAAAAAAAACATTTCGGTTTATCGATACGTTGGATTTCTAGTGGAAAAGACCGTTTTTAGTCAGACCGTTACCATTTTTTTTTTACTTTTGTATTTAAATTTAGTTTTAAGTAGAAAAAACCGTTTTTGTCAGACTCTAGTATAGTATTCTTTTCTGAGTGTTTAAATTTAATTTTAAGTAGAAAAGTATCGTTTCGGGCAGACAGCAATTTTCTTTGATGAATATTTAAATTTTATTTCTAGTAGAAAATACTATTTTTAGTCAGACGATGACAATTGCTTTGGGTTTGGTTTGAAGTAGAAAATACCATTTTGGTCAGACTGTAGAAATGTATATTCTTTTCTTAGTATTAAATTTAATTTTAAGTAGAAAATTACCGTTTTGGTCAGACTATAATTTTTTTTTTGCTACTTTTAATTTTGTTTTTACTAGAAATTATTTTTTTCTGTCGGACTTTAACAATTTATTTTTTAATTTCCATTTACGTTTATTTTGAAGTAGAAAATACTGTTTTTGTTAAGAAAAACAATTATTATTTTTATGAAAATATTCCAAGAAAATAAATAGAAAAAAGAGATATCAAATAAACGAAATTACAATTTCTTTTCAAAGTAAATAGAAATAAAATGTATAGAGAATAGCAGAAGGAAGCGATTTAACTTTTCAAGTAAAATAACAGACGGTTATTTTTTATATTTCCATTATTATTATTATTATTATTATTATTATTATTATTATTATTATTATTATCAAATAGAAATGGATTACATATAAAAGTAGAGAATGGGTTTTTGTGCGAGAAGAAAGAAGCCTCCCTGAGATAATTGGCTCTCGATCGTTCGCTGCAAATTCAAGTGCACTTTGATTTGAAAAAAAGAAAAAATCGTTTGCTTTTATACACTAGTGCAAGCGAGATAATATTTTTCATTTACTGACAATTCAATACTTACTTATATATACATATAACGTTATTATAGACTTCCATTATTATTATCTCTTAGCAATAAAAGCTAAAATTAAAAAAAATTTACAATTGGAGAGTTTTTAATGTATTCAAATTTAAAGTATTCCATTCTAGAAAAAATCACCAATAATTTTAATTAATTCATTTAAATTTATTTTTCCTTTTTTTATTTTAAGTAATTTTTAATACTTGCAGTTTTTCTAAGGATATCAAATTGAGACAAAAAAAGGAACGTTTTTTGTCTCAATTTGATATCCTTAGAAAAACTGTGAGCTCCTAGTAATTTTATTTTTATTTATTGTATAAAATTATACATTTTATTTTTATTTTTTATTTATTAAAAATGGAAATGGTAATTTCTGCTTATTTAGTAGTGGAATTTACTAATTAATAAGCATAACTAATTTACTGGTAAGTAGTAATTTTTAATAACATATTAGTAAAAATTACTATTTCAAAATAACCTTCTTTTTGGTTTCGAATAAGTAAATTTTACTGATAATAATTATCAAATTGCTACTAATTTATTTTTATTATTGAAATTAGTTAAAAAAGAAAATTGTAGTCTGACCGAAATAGTATTCTCTACTTAAAAGTACATTTGAACAAGAAAGAGAAAAGAATATATTTTTACAGTCTGACTTAAAGACGGTATTTACTACTCAAAACTATTTATTCGAAATATATTTTACTATTTGTTAGTAAAATTTACTAATTCAAAAGGAAAAAGTCAGTCATTATTTCAGTAAACATTTTTACTAATTCAAATTTAAAAAGTAAAACTTAAAATTTTCTAAAATAACTTAAAAATATATTTCAACATAAGGAAAAAATTGATATATAAAAATTCGAAAAAAATGAAAAACTAATTCCCCCTTTATTTCTAAAGGAAATATATTAATATTTTACACTGAATTTATTTCTTATTCCCCTCTCTTTCTCTCTTTTAACGGGTTGTACCCAACGAAGGGTGGCTCCAGTTTAACCACCATCAAGAATCCACCAATCCGCGAGTGTTTCAACCCCCCGACGAACCAATGGCATGCGACTCACCCCTAATTTTCCTCTTTCTGCATCGCTTAAACCTCACCAATGGAAAAGCGACCTCGGTAACATCGAGCATGGCGCTTCCAACCCCCAAAATGGCTGGCGAAATCGCGCGGGCATTAAAACCCGCAGTTCAAAATAAACGGGCGGATTAATTCGAGGGGGGTGAGAGAGAGGGTGAATGTCACGATAAAACTAACATAGGGAAAACTAAATTATATACTCTGCTTTCATGTGTGTGAGTGGGGGAAGGGGTAAATTCTGAAACGAGGAGAAAAAATTTTCCTTGATTCAATTTTGGGTCAAAACTCGTGGTATTCATTTCGTTGAAAGACGTCAAAGTCTCATGTTTAACGCGCGTGAGAGAGTGTTGTTCTAGAGAAACAATTATTCTTCTGGTTTCTTTTTTTACAAATGTTAATATTAATAATGTTTTAGTAAAAATAAAAAAGTAGCAAAAACAAGAAATTTTTTCTCTATTAATAATGTTTTGATTGTTTTTTTTTTGTACTGGTGACTAGTGTAAAAAATTCTACTATAGTAGAAAAAAATGTGCCAAAACTAGTAGAAAATAGTTGCGATACGTAAAAATTTTATTTTTTACCGGAAAAGTAAAGACAATCTTTTTTTCCGTGTTTTCAAAATTGAAAAGTACGATTGTGTCTGTTTTTCTACAAAAATGATGCAGGAGCATAAATCGTTCTTAATTCGCGATCTTCTTGGCGATGTTTTGGCCGAACGTGTTCAAGGTAGGTTCATTTTTACCCAAGAAAATCTGATATTCTGTATTTTTTCTTGCATTTTTAGAATTTTTCTTTCAATCTTTTTGTACTTATCGATAATTTTTTTATTTTTAAATTATTTTTCTATTATTTTACAGAATATTTTATTTATTATTTTTTGAAATTATTGGCAAATATTTTTGTCACATGAAACATTTTCTGGTTTTCTTTTAAATTTTTTATCATCGTTTTATTTTTATACAATATTTAATTTTAAACGTTTATTATATGGAATAATTATATTTATAATAAAAATAAAAAATTTTATAACGAATTAAGAAAAAAATTGAATTGTTTTGTGAAATTTGCAAAGAATTTTACTATTTATAAGTATAATTGAATTTTTGTGAAAGATTTATAAAAATTTTGAAAAAATAATTGAATTTTTCCGAAAAATATTAAAAAATTAAAAAAATTTTTAATTTAAATTCTTTTTTGAAATTTTATTAAAATTGTATTAAAAATATTTGACTTTTTGCAAAAAATTGTACTATTTATGAATAAAATTGAATTGTTTCGTAGGATTTATAAAAATTTGAGAAAATAATTCAATTCTTTTGAAAAATTTTATAACGAATTAAAAAAATTGAATTCTTCGTGAAATTTTTTTTGGAAATAATTAATTTTTTTAATCTTTTAATAATCAAATTCAAGTGTTTTATGATTAAAAATAATTATATTATAAATAATCTAACAAATTATATATATATAGTATAATAAAAGAAAATTTTAAGTATTGTGAAAATAAAATAATGTGGGAAATTGTACTCAATGGCAATTATAATAATTATTATTATAAAGAATTATTATTAATTTTAATTAAATTAACACTGAAAAACATTTTATTTGGTTCAAATAAGCGATTTGGTACTTCTCTTAATTATCAAAATAATTATTTTTTGTTAAATAGTTATAATTATCTATCTAATAATTATATTTATTTGTATCAAATAATTATTATTTATGAAAATGAAATGTTATTTGCTTCCAATATCGAAAGTGACTGACTTTTTGCTTTGAAATTTGTGAATTTTACTAATAAATTAGTAAAAATTACTATTTATAAGTAAAATTCATTAATTAGAAATAAATAAAATGTAATAAATATATAATATGCTCTTTCTTTATTTTGTAAATATAGTTTAAGTAGAAAATACCGTTTTGGTCAGACTACAATTTTCTTTGCTAACTAATTTCAAGAATAAACATAATTAGTAGAAATGACTATTTATTTGTAAAATTCACGAAATAAAAACAAATAAAATGTAATAAATATATAATATCAGTCTTTCTTTAGTTTTTAAATATAGTTTTAAGTGGTAAATACCGTCTTTAAGTCAGACTGTAAGAACATATTTTTTCTTTATTATTTAAATGTAGTTTTCAGTAGTAAATACCGTTTTTAAGTCAGTCTGTAGGAATATATTCTTTACTAATATTGTTCAAAAATTTACTTTTAAGTAGAAAATACCATTAAGGTCAGACTTTTATTTGCTAATTAATTTCAATAATAAACATAATTAGTAGAAATTACTATTCTTATTATTTAATAAATGTAGTTTTCAGTAGAAAATACCGTTAAGGTCAGACTAAAAATTTTCTTTGCTAATTTTAATAATAAAAAAATTGGTAGAAATTATTATTTAATATAGTAAAATTCACTAATTCGAAAGCAAAAAGTCAATCACTAATTCAAAAAATAAAAAAAAATTCGCTTATAAACAGTAAAAATTATATATAACGATAAAATATTTTTCAAAGAAAAAAAAGGTGAAACTAATTTTTGTAATAGTTCCTCCTATAAGTATGTTTATTGGTAATATAAAATTATATTTGCTAATTTCAAATTATGTGTACTAATTGATCATTATGTTTTGATCAATTAGCAAACATAATTTTCAAAGGAAATTTATTTTTCAATTATAATTAATAAAAATATTTTATAATTAAAATTGTTTGTTAATTAATCGATATAGGAAAATGATGTTCGTTAATTAAAAATTTAAAAATGACAATCACTAATTGAAAATGACAGTATTCAAGAACAAGAATGATTGACACTTCCAAACACTAATGGTTTTGATTTCGAATTAAATACATATACACGCAGTCAAGTTTATCTATGCGGTGAATCGGTGATGACGATAAACTGTGAGGGGGTTGAAGAGAATAGAGAAGCCCAGGGGGTGCGAGGGGGGTGATCGTATTAGCAGTCACGTGTCCACGGTAGGATCCTCGTTACTTTTTGCCTCGCTCTCTGCGAATCCCGTTTATGAGAGTTGTTTTCCTGTTATTCCTAGAGGCGATTTTGATTTTATCGAGGCGAGGGTGTCTGACATCCCATGGTGCACCATTAGAATCGCATTCTCCAGATGGTGTACAACGAGATGTGCGGACAGATTCGTTAGGACACAATTAGTCGCTCGATTTGGATTCTGAATTGACACCACCTACTGGGCGACGAGAAATTATTTACCAATCAAAACTATAAGCCGCTTCTCGTCAGGAATCGTTTAGAGTTCAACACTTATTTTCAATTATGGCAACGTCACTGCGATAATAATTTCGCTTTTCACATTTTTATATTGGATTTACGGGGACAGGGGAAAAGATTTTCATCTATTGTGAGGAAATTGGCTTTTCGTCCCTTTCTTCAAATCTAATTCCCCACCAAATGTTCCATTTTTATCGTATAATAGGGAATTAATTCACGATACTTGTAATTTACAATTTAGGAAAAATGCTTCTTTAACGGAAATGTGTAACTATTTTATTTGTAATTATTCTTGATTAATTTTTATTTATTTTTAATTAATAAGGGGAAAAAATATTATTTTCTCTACAAATTTTACTGCGGCGAAGAATTTTATAATAATTTTAGAAAATAATTGAATACTTAATAATTTTATTATAATATAGTAATAATAATTTCAGATGACTCGGAGGACGATTCAGCGTTACATTCGGACTCGGAGGATACAATTGATCCCGGAAGTAGTCCCTGCACGCGTTTAGAGAGTCCAACGCCTATTTTGTCATCATCGCCAGTGTCAGCGAATTCGGGAAAAAATTGCATTGCACCTGGAGGCGGCGGTGGTGGTTCGAGTGGTCGAAAACCAAGAAGAAGACGAACTGCCTTTACACACGCCCAATTGGCCTATCTGGAGAGGAAATTTCGTTGCCAAAAATATTTGAGCGTCGCCGATCGCAGTGACGTTGCCGATGCACTTTCCTTATCCGAAACTCAAGTGAAAACCTGGTATCAAAATCGAAGGTAAATTCATTTAATTTCTTTCTATAATAAATTTTTCTATAATAAAAATTCTTTTTTAATTTAGTTTTAATTACATTTTTTTTTTTTTTTATTTAATTTTAATTTAATTTTCCTTTTTTTTAAGGACAAAATGGAAGAGACAGAATCAGCTACGTCTGGAGCAGCTTCGTCATCAGGCGACGGTGGAAAAGGAACTTTTAGTTCGCGGTGTTGGTCTTCATCATGGCAGTATAGACGCGTACTGCCCACCATATTCTCAAGCTTCGTCGCATCCACCACCCCCGCCGCCGCCCCCGGCACCAACAACCGCCTCCACTGCCGCATTCCTATCAACGGCTGCTGCCCTTTTCAGAAATGTTACGTACGTTCACGGTTGTCCACTATAACCCGCCTATAGTTCATTATTCGACGGCAATCATTCATTCTGAACTTTTGTTTTTCGATGAGAAATTTTCATATCTTCTTTTCACTGAAAAAAAAAAAAGATTTATTCGATTCAAATAACCGATTCTATTAACAAATTAATATTTACTTGATTCAAATCATTTTTATTTCAAACAAATAAATTTGAACCAATAATTGAAAGTTGAACCAATAATTTTATTTTGAATCAATAATTTTATTTTGAATCAATAATTTAAATTTGAACCAATAATTTCAGTATTTGAAGCAAATACTATTTAATTGACTCAATAAAAAATTATTTTACTCAAGTAAATATTTAATTGATAATAAGTAATCGGTAATTTGATTCAAATTATTTTTCAGGGTTTGCAAAATAATTTTACGCAAAAAAGACTAAAATTTCTGAAAATAATTATAACATTTAGAATTCAAATGATTCAAAGAAATAATTGCAAAAAATTCCAAAATATCTGGAAAGGAAAAAATTCAGTCTCTTCAGTGCAAAAGAAAACGTTTCTCCAGTGCTGAAAACCGCAATAAATTGTATATTTCTGTACAATTGAATTTATTACACGGATAGAAAAGAATTTTCTCAATTTCAATCAGTAAAATTTCATTGAGAATATTTATATAAATTTTAATTGTTAATTTTGAGAATAGAAAAATTTATTCGTTGACTATTCTTTAAATGTGATAAAATTTACTAAACTAGGTAATTATTTTTTATGGTGAATTTTTTTATTATGGATTATGGTGAAATTCACAAATTTTTTGAAAATGGTAAAATTTAAGAAACTAATTTTAGATGATGGTAAAATTTGCGTAGGTATAGCTAATTTTTGATGACGAATGAAAATTTACGCAAGTAATTTTAGTCATGTAAAGTTTACGTGACTATTTTTTTAATGATAGTAAAATTTACTGAACTTAACTTAAAATTTTCAAATTGCAATAAATTGTGCAAAAATATTTAAATTACTTTGCGAATTTCACTGATTGAAATTTAGAAAGTTTGGACTATAAAATAATAAAACAAAAATTGTTTTCGATTTGTAGTTGAAAGAAAAAAAAATAATTTTATAATTACAATCTTTAAGCATTTTGTATATACAGTAATAACTTTTAATATCTTTTAAAGGCAAAAAAGAAAGTTGCTAAATTTTTAGTTTGTTGAGTTACAAATTTTCTATTTATAACGATGTAAATATGTAATTATTGCGAGTCCGTTGTCGCAGAATTAATATTATGTAATATATAATTGTTGTACTGCATGCTCTCATTTACGAAAAAACAAATATCAAAAATCAAAATGTAATAACAAAATTATTTCTTATTAATTACTTAATAATCCTCTAATTTACGAAACAAAAATAATTCCAATTCAATAAGAATTTTAATACAGCTAAATTAATATTATTTAATTAATTTGAAATTGAAACAAAAGGCAAGTTTTGTAATTACTAATTAATGAACAAAATTAATGTAAATTAGTTTACTAATTAAGAATCTTTGCTAAAATTCTTTCTTAATTTACACAATTGAATATTTTGTTTTTAATTTTCGAATGAGAATGAATGAAAAGTTAATTTTAATTCTCAAAAAAATTCATTTAGTTGAAAAAAGAATTTTTTATCGTCGATAGAAGTAAAATATAGGAAAAATTTCTAATATGATGTAATTAAATGATTATAATGTAATTAGACATGTATAAAGTTTGTACAATTTGTTTCTTTTATTATTAATTTTTTAAATGTTATGTATCTACTATTTAAAAATTTTTTTGTTAGCTACACGTTACCTTTATAATTATTAAGTTTTCTTTTTCGATATAATTGAAAAATTAATTAATAATTGAAAAATAATTGTTAATTGAATAATAATTATTGAAAAATAATTATTAGAAAATTATTATTAGAAAATATTTATTGAAAAATAATTATTAGAAGATAATTATTAATCAAAGAATAATTATTTTTAATCATTAATTATAAATAAATTAATTATTTCCTCAGAAAACATTATAATTTTATTAAATTATTATAAATCACCTTTTTCTATGCTTTCGACATGATTAGAATAAAAATTAAACGATTGCATGTTTAATAATAATGTCACTTATGTAGATAAATAAATTGGTGATAAAAAAAATTAAGTTTAATTATATTTCAAAAACCTCCCATTTTTTAATAATATTTAGTTATTATTAATTTTAAGTTTAGAATTTTTTTGGTCGTAAATAATATAAATTTCAATAAAAATCAACTCGTCTGGGGAAAATGTGAGTTTCACTACTGAAACAACTTGAGATAAGTAACAATATTTGAAACACGTGCACAAGAAGCGTGGCGGCACTTAATTGAAAATTAATTGGCTGAATTCGATACAAGTCAGAAGTTTGTCGATTGATACATGTCTTTGAATAACGAGTGTAATTATCCGGATTAAAATGAATCGCTCTTATGAATAGAGCAACTAGTCCTTTTATTTTCAATATTCAATTGACCTCCAACAAAATATAAAGAAAGGAAACAATTCCCAAATAAAAAAAAAAATTTTTCCGAATTATCAATTCCTTTAATTGAATTTATTTCCAAATATACAAAAAAAAATATAAATTAATAAGTGAATATAAAAAATTATCAGAATTTTAAATTAATTAAAATTTGAAAGAATTTGACTTTAATTTCATGTATAAAAAATTATAAAATTATAAAATAAAAAAATAAGAAAGAATTTGCCTTTACTTTCTTATATAAAAAAATTATAAAATAAATCAACTTTCTAAAAATTAATTTTGTTTCTAAAATTTATTAATTCTGCAAATTGTATGTAAATTTAGTAAATTTTACAATTTTTTATCAATTAGAATTATTGAAATTAATTATTAACTAAAACTATTAATTAAAGTTATAAATTAATAAACTTTTCGGAAAATTGGATTAGCTTTAGATAAAAAATTTTTTTTCGGAAAATTTTCGATTATTTTCCTTAAAATTTTTTGCTTGAATTTTTGTTGAAATTAGTATGTGAAAAACAGCTTGATAATTTTTCTAAATGTTATTCGAATGATTTTTTTTCTTCCCTTTTTGGTAGAGAAGTTAAGAACAAACGTTAGGATGTAAAGGACACAAAGAAGCTGCGGGAGTCAAGTGCTCATATACTTGGCCACGTGTGTATTGTGAATATATGGATATGTGATCATAAATTTATACGTGCGTAAAATCTATTTGGCACTTGGGCACGCGCATCTTATTCGCTCTTCACTTTTCTCTTTTGCATAATGGCAGTACACACACATCGATTCCTCCTCTATCCCATAGGTAGCCAAATTTAAATTTTGCTAGAAAAAAAAGACAAAATATTATTCTACTAAATTTTTTACAATTTTACAATCTGCAGAAAATGGATAAATAGAATTAAACATAATTTTTTAACTAAAGAATAGGTCTTAGATCTAATTTAGATTTAGATCAAAGAATATGTTTTTCGGTCAAGAAAAATATTATTGAGTCAAGAAAAAATATTATTGACTCAAGAAAAAAATTTTCACTCAAGAAAAATTTTGTTGAGTCAAGAAAAATATTCATAGGTCACTGGAATAATTTCTAACACAAGAGAAAATATTTGTGAAACTAGAAAAACATTTTTGAATTAACAGAAATATTTTAGGCCAAGAAAAATATTACCGATTGGAAAAAAATATTTTTAACTCAAGAGAAAATATTTTTGAGTCAAGAAATAGTATTCTCGAGTCGAGAAAAATATTTCCACCTCAAAATATTTGCCACCGGTTTACAATTTACCACAAATTATTATTTTTAATTAATTATTGTTCACAATTATTTTTTTGTAGACGAATAGATTTAAAATTTGAAAAATTTCAATTCATTTTAGTTAATAAATTAAATAATCGAAAATAAAATTTAATTACAAATTAACATAAAAGGTGAATCCATCAATGAATAAATCGAATTCATCAATTTTTTTTTAAATTTATTTTTGCATCTACAAAAATAAATTTAAAAAATGCAAATTCGATAATATCGCGATTCATGAATTATCTTTCACTGGAATTAAGAGAGAGAAATATTTCGCGTTATAAATGCGATATTACACAAAGATAAATGTACAAACACGAAATATATATTCAAAATAGATATCAGAACGCATTCAGAGCATCAACTCTGCGATGAAAAGGCGTTCCATTGCTGAATATATTCCAATTAAAAAAACGGAGCTTCGTTACACTCGCCCCCTTTTTTCTGCTTTTATCCCCTTCCGGGATTCTTTCTCTTTTTTCTATCCCTTCGACTCCCAACAACATTTCCCCACTTTTCAAACGCCCCCTTTTACTTCTGGCTCTTTACTTTTTTTTCTTCTTTTTAGATTCGTCTGGTTATTTTCTCTTCCAAGTTTTTCTCTTCTTTTTTATTTTTTTCTCTCTTTTTGCGGTTTCTCCAGCAATTACTTCAGCACTTTTCTAAGGAATTAGAAACGCCCATCATTTTCCATTCTATATCTCGATATTTGTATATTTGTATACAAGTAATAAAGAGAGGATTCATTTTTTTTAAAGATATATTTTAATATTATAATGATGATTTTTTTTCTTGGAAAATTTACTTTTCTCGAGAAGTAAAAAATCAAATTTGATATTTTGTTCAAAGACGAAATGTAATATTTTAAGTCGAGACAGTCGTTTTTTATTAGCCTTTGAATTTACAACCCCTGATTGTGAAAGATGGCACAAGGTTGACGAAAGACACGCCTTCTGCTTAATGGGCTTTTTGCTTGCAAATTGCGGTATCGCTAAAGGGCAGCAAACAATTCACAACTCGTTTTAACTTTTGCGTTTCAATTTCAAGAGAGGAGCCGGCGAGGGGGGCTTGCTGTTGGGGGCTTGCTGCCCCCAACAGCAAGCAACCATTTGCATAATACCGTCTCTCCACTGTCTTCACTCAACTACACCTCTTGTGTCATAATCGTCACGTTTTTCTTGTTCACTATTTCAATTTTTTTCACCAGCTACACTAAAAAAAACAATTATTTTATTTACAAATTTACACCTATTTTACCACCAACGAACAATTAAGTTTCTTTTTTTAGAAAGAATTTTTTAAACAGATTTTTTATTTTTTTTTTGCAAAAAATAATTACCGTTTTGAAAAAATCTTATTTATCTTTATTTTTAAATTACTTCTTTAAATAACATTCATAAAAAGTGTAAAATTTCCTTTTATTTCGTATTTAATTTATATACAGATGTCTATCGTTTAAAAATTCCTATTCGTTCGTAATTAGAAAATAATAATTCCTATTTTTTGGGAAAATTTTACTCGTAATTAGATACAAATTAATTATTCAACGTCATAAAAAAATAAATATTTACCTTATTGTGTAGATGACTTAATAATTAAACTTTTTAGAAATGATAAATCTTACTTTGAATTATTCAAGATATGTTGAATTTCTCCCTTTAGAACGCGATTTTTCATACACATAAATTCGTCTGGATTTTGAATTTCATAAATAATTGATTGGAAAAATTGCCATACGAATTGAACATTATCTGTGAATTTATAATCGAAAACGTAGAAAATTTTTATATTCAGATCAATAGCATGAAGAATTGATTGTGTTTGATATTTTATATCATTAACCACGACATAAATTGCTTCAACATTAAGTAAAGGTCCAACTATCGCAATTACCGAACGAAACTTATCACCCGTTGAATTAATTGTCTCTCTTAAATTTTCTAATTTGTTGTCTAGTTCCTTGGCATCCTGGAAAACAATTTTTTATATTTTTTTAATATTTTTTTTACTGAATAATAATAATTGGAAAATTTTTTATGCTTGTGCATGTATTAAATAAATTTTAATTTTACCTCAACGTGTAAAAAGTATGAATTCGGCTTTTCGTTTAGAGCATTTTTTATAGTATCTTCAGTATCGTTGCGTTTCCTTTTCTTCTTGTCCACCGTAATGTAATGCAGCAAATAAAATATCAAAATGTCTTGAACATCTGTAAAACATTTCGAATTATTATTTTCTATGAAGATAATTATTTGTTTTACTTTGCCTACGTTAAAATTCTTCTAATTACTTTCTAATAAAATTAATTAATATCTAATCAATAATTTATCCGTATTTACATTTTTGTTACAAAACAATGTATAAAATATAATGAAAAGTAAACGTACCTGGAGGTTCCATACTTAACGCTGTCATATAGGGTGTATTCTCATTATAGGCTACTCTACTTCGTTTCAAAGCAATTATTAAGTGATTTCTTATTTTTGGCCATTTTTCAAATAACATCATACCCTTTCCTTTGTGTAAAGTTTCAAATTCCATATCAATCTGCATTTATAATATTCTTTTTCAATAATGTCGATAATAAATATTAATAAAAATATTTAATTTTAATAATAAAAATATTTAGTTTTAATAATAATTACCCAAAAAGGTCCTTCCGTGTCTGAATGTAAAGCCTTTACACTATTAGACATATAATCAAAAATACTAATTCCTTGTGAATGGAAAATATTTCTTCTTGCATTGTGAGTTCTTAAAAAAGCATTTTTCACCTCTTCAAATGGCTCCGAGTGATTTTGTAAAAATTCCAAATCATTTTTTTCCGAGTCTAAAACAAAAGAAAAATATCCTTAAATTTGTAAGCCTAACAAATTATTAATTTATAAATTAAATAAATAAATTTAATTTAAATAAATAATAAATTAATAAATAGAAGATTATTTTAGTTAACCTGTAATATCAATTGATTGTACTTCCTCTGCTGGTGCATCAAGTAAATTTCTTTGATATTTCGAAAGAAGAAGTCCATCGATTCGCATCATTCGTTTTACATATTGATAATGATCAAGCAATTTACCGCTGGCTAATAATTTTTTACCTTGATCTGAACAAAATGGCATATAATAAGTTTTAGCCGATTCTCCATCAAAATTTGCTTCAATTTCATTAGCCAATTTTATTAAACGTTCTTTACTGATACTGCAAAATAATTAAGTCACTTAATTTTTTTGTAATTCTGAATTTATATAAATTCTATTTAAGCATTAAATATAGAATTTCTAATCAGTTTTTAATATTTTAAAAATTACTAAATTAGTTTTTTAAAATTATACTCACTCCCAATCATTCAAAACCTCTCCAACTTGTACATCGCGTAAAATTTCTTCTTTTTCTCTTTGAATAATTACGTGAACCAAAGTTTTTCTTACTGCTGTTGTTAAAGATCTGTTATTTTTTACGTAAGCATATAAAATTCCTTTTCCATTCGTATCTTCTTTTAGAAAATCCACTAGATTCTAGAAGAAAATAATTCTTTTTATAATTATATTATTTATGGCAAATTCATCCTTTTGGCTAATAATAAAAAATTTTACATACCATTAAATATTTTGTAGAAGGAGTTTTATTTGCACTCAAACTACTTAAACGTAGATTTGCCAAAAAAACGTTAGATTGCTCAGCCTTATTTTCTGGTTTCAAATTACTATCAATTTCTCGAACATGTAATTGTTTCTGTTTTTTAAATTCTTGTTTCGGTGACTGAAAAACAATTTTTACAACCTTTATATTATAAATAACATGAATAATAAAAAGAAATAATAAAAGTAGTAAATTTTAACTGTACCTTGGAATTCAAATTTTTTATCTCATAAATTTCACAGTCATCTTCTGAATTGATTTGCAACTAAAATGTAAAATTAAGTATTACATTAATTTACCAGATTTACCATTTTTATAAAATTTTCACAGTAAATAATTTTTTTAAAAAAATACTTACAGGGTCAGAAATATTCGTAGATTCTAATTTAAACAACTCAACTTCGTTTGACTGTAAAAATTGAATTGTCAATTAAAAGCAGAACAGTAATTAATTAATAATAGAGATATTTTTTTATCTAGAGATTATTATAATCGTTTATATAATTACTAATTACTAAAATAACAATTTTTTAATTTTTACCTTCGAAATGTTATTGTCCATTTTGACTTCGTTTTACAGTTTCTGAAAAAATATTAAAACCAATTATTATTTATTTCTTTAAAGTCGAATAAATAAAAATCAATAAAGTTAAATAGTTTATAAATTTGTAATTATTCTTATAAATATTATAGTGTTGAGACGATTTTTAAGTAAATAAATAAATGACAACTAACCTCAAACTTTTCTTAACGTACAAACATCAAAGGATATTCGTTTTACATAAACATTAAAAGTTGTAAATTAATGTTGTATTTCACTAAGTATCATACATAAAGTAAATATAAAATTGATTTAATATCATTTTTTCTTCTATAAACAATTTAAACAATTTAAAGCACAGTGTCAATTGTTATAAATGTCACGATCCACTGTAAATTTAGTGAAAAAAACCAGAAGAGGGCGAACTTGTCATTGTCACATTTAGCGGGTGAATTTAAATTATTTGGATAAATATCTAAAGAAATTGGATTTATTACCTAAATCCTAATAATAATTATTGTTCTACATTAAAAAATTGATTAATAATTTAATTTAGCTTACGATTTTGACTAAAAACTATTATTTTTATTTCTTATTACCACACTGTAAAAAAGGATTTGTTGAGAATTTACTAATGAAATTGTAAGGTTACAAGGATTCTGTAAATTTACAATGTTAGACGTAGTTTGAAAAAAAACCATGTGTAATAAAGCGACGTCTAACGTTGTAATTTTACAAAAAATTTGTAAGGTAACAACGTTAGACGTAGGACATATTTCGAGTCACGTCTAACGTTGTAATCTTACAACGTTAGACGTAGGACATATTTCGAGTCACGTCTAACGTTGTTACCTTACAAATTTTTTGTAAAATTACAACGTTAGACGTCGCTTTATTACACATGGTTTTTTTTCAAACTACGTCTAACATTGTAAATTTACAGAATCCTTGTAACCTTACAATTTCATTAGTAAATTCTCAACAAATCCTTTTTTACAGTGCACGACATTTTAATTTTTACGCATGCGCAGTAACGATTTCCTTGTGTCAAAAAAGGTATACAATACCTAACCTCAAAATCACTGAAGTGATGAGGCAAGTCTTCCTTTGGCTCGTTAATAAATTCATAATAAACGTTAAAATAGTCAATATTCTTGTTTGTAAATAGTTGCATTAAAAAATGCAGTAGTATTTCTACTTGGAATTTTTACAGTGAATGGAAAATAGTAGCAATAAGGTATTGAAAATTAACAAAGAAAAAATTTGATTGCATCTTGGTGGGTTTGGTACATTGTATTTGTATATATATGTATATATATTTTAATAAAGGAAAGGAATTTATCTTTTGAAACTTATTAATTCCGAAACTTGATGAATGTCTGAAAGTGATTACGATTCAGCAACGGAATATACGAGCCTCATGGACGGCCACGCGGAAGTTCGCACGGACGGCCTAGGCTCCAGTGTTGAAAATCGAAAAAGAAAACGTCTTGCAAAAGCTGCCAGTAATGCAGAGGTAATTTTAATTTTACTGATATTTTGAATATTCAAAGTCCAAAACTAGTTTGTAATCTTTAATTAGAAGCGAGGCTGTTTAAAACATTTTATTAAATTTCAAACTAGTTTAAAATATCAAGCCTGGAACGAGAATACTGTATTTAAAGTCAAGCATTTTTTTCGCCAAACTAACTCCTTAGGAAAACAAAATTAAAATCTGTCGAATTCTGTATATTTTTTAAATTTTGTAATGTTTGGATTTGATTCGATTTGATATTTGACGTTTGGATCTAAATTTCCTTCTTCATTTATTTTTTTAGGTGGAAAATGGAGTACCTGAGGTGCGTATTGAAAATCCAGGAGGCTCAAACTTTGGAGATTCGGGAAGAGGTGGGCGAGATTATCAAAGGGAACTGGATGCTCAGCAATTAGCGGAAGAGGAGGAAGAGCTCAAATATGGTGCTGCGCACGTTATAAAATTATTCGTTCCTGTTTCGCTTTGTATGTTAGTCGTTGTAGCCACAATCAGTTCCATATCATATTACAGTGTCAAAGGACTATATTTGTAAGAATTATTTTACACCTATTAGTAAATTTTTACAATCATATTCTGAGAAGATAAAAAAATGATTTCTTTTTCCAGGGTGTACACGCCATTTCACGACGAAAATCCGGATACGAGTACGAAATTATGGCAAGCTGTTGCCAATTCACTTATTTTGATGGTGATCATCGTGACTATGACTATATTACTCATTATTCTTTATAAATACAGATTTTATAAAGTAATTCACGCATGGCTGATGCTTAGCTCTTTAATGATACTATTCCTTTTTTCAATCTTATACTGCGAGTAAGTACACTTTCAAAAGATTTTTTTTATTCACTAAGACTATTTTACTAAATTCGAGTAGATTTGATTTTTTCTCATTTATTTAAAATTCTATTATTAATTTTTATTTCTAATTTTTCAGAGAAGTGCTAAAAGCTTATAATATGCCAATGGATATAATTACTCTGACGATAATATTATGGAATTTCGGAGTTGTTGGAATGATTTGCATTCATTGGCAAGGACCATTGCAATTACAGCAGGCGTATCTTATTTTTATTGCCGCATTAATGGCGTTGATTTTCATAAAATATTTGCCCGAATGGACAGTTTGGGCCGTGTTAGCAGTGATTAGCATTTGGGATTTAATTGCCGTCCTAACGCCAAAGGGACCGCTTCGAATGTTAGTGGAAACGGCTCAGGAGCGAAATGAGCCAATTTTCCCAGCTTTAATTTATTCGTCGACAATTGCGTACACATTCTCGATGAGTTTAGCCGGCTATGCGGAGACGGCATTGGTGACTGTCGAAGAAAGTGGCGCTGATGAATCCGTGTCGTCGGCAGCACGTGAACGGGAACAAAATAATGAGAGAACGACTGACACAGAAGACGGTGGGTTTACCAGGGAATGGGTCGAAACTCATGGTAAATAAACTTAAAATTTAAAAACAAAAAATTATCCTCTAGAGGAGAATTATCAAAAATTAGATATGATTTTAAGATATTTTGCCTGATGTAGTTTCTGCCATAGAATTTTAGAATTTGAAAAGAAGGAGAATTGTTTCTTTTAGTTCAATTTTACTTGAGGATTTGTTAATTTTTATTCAATTTATTCTAATTAAATTTCCCTTCTTTTCTAATTCTGAATATTAGATTTTAATTTGTATAAAGATTTAGACGACTAATTTTGAATTTATCTTTAAAGCCGATCGTAGTGCAAGGAGAGCTCAAGAAGTGAGAGAAAATTACACGTCAACTGGTCCAGTTAATCCTGGAGAACTTAACGCAGCTATACAAGCAGCTCAGAGACAACGACTGATTCCTAATGAGGAAAGAGGCGTCAAATTAGGATTAGGAGATTTCATATTTTACAGCGTTTTAGTTGGTAAAGCGTCGAGTTATGGAGACTGGAACACGACTTTAGCTTGTTTCGTTGCTATCCTCATTGTAAGTAAATTTCTTCCACTTTTTCCTTGTTCTATTTTAATTTTTTCTAATTTTAAACTCTTTAAAATATTCCAAAAAATTGTTGAATAACAATTTTTAATTTTTAATTATTTTTAGTTTCAAAAATAAATATTTAAAGAAAAAACTCTTCAGATATTTTTGTTTAACAATAAATTAACGAAATAATAAATATTTTCAGGGGTTGTGCTTGACGCTTCTACTATTGGCAATATTCAAAAAAGCCCTTCCAGCCTTACCGATCTCAATCACATTTGGCTTGATATTTTATTTTCTAACACGTGTAATTGTTGCTCCATTTGCTGACAGTCTAGCCAGTGAACAAGTATTTATTTAGTTTTCTTTATTTTTATATTTTCACCACGTATTTTAATCGATGCAATTCTGTCCTGAATAAATAAAGTCTGCAATTTTTTTTTTTTTTAACTTTTTTTTAACTTCAATTTGTTAATTAAGAGAACAACTTTGTATTTTAAATACAAAGATTGGAAATTAATTGATAAAAAGTATATATTATATATGTATATGTGAATGTAATTTTTATTCGTAAGAAAAACAATTTATCTTAATAAATTTTTTAAAATAATAATTTTCCAAGTTTTTTCTTATTTTTATCAAGAAAAGAGAAAAAATAAATTCTTCGAGGTATTTTAAAGCTAAAAAGAATGTTTATTTCACGATATGTACAATTTCTTGGCTTTTTTTTGCAATTTATGAATATATTCTAGTTATTTAAAGTCGTATAAACGTTTTAAACGAAGTAACATAATTATTAAAAACTACAAAATTTACTAAAAGCCTACTTTTTTAGGATTCTCGACAACAATGAGGTCCATTAAGCCTTTTTTTTATAGTTTACACAGCCTCAATTCCAACTGATTAAATAGTTTTTTTTTTCTATAATAATATGCGATATGCGGTTTTATCGATATAAATATATTTCCAGTTTTAACTGTGATATTAATTTTTGTTTCCTCTTTTTTGGAAAAATAATTGGTTAGAAAATTAAATTGTGATTTTCTTTTTTGACAGAATTTTTTTCTACTTGTATACTTTTCTTCTAAATTTGAATAACTAGTAAATTGATAATATGGCTATATCTATTAATTCCTCATGGTCTGTTTTCTCGAATCTTGATCATATTCTTTAGTCCCCCAAATTATTATTATTATATTGATCAAGTTTTAAAAAACATTATTGTTAACGTGATGATATATATACAATATATGAAACGCAAATAAAATTTGCAACAATGATATTTTTAGCGCAGCTTTAAATTTAACATCTCATTTTTCTTTTTAAGAAAACTATTAAGAGATGCGAAATTTGCGAAAATTTGTAATTATAACAAATTATCTATTTGGTTAACATGTTAGAGGTTTTACACATAACAATATAAACATTGGAATATAAATAAATTTTTCCAGATCAAAGTTCCTCAGTCAGAGTGTTAAAAAATAATTTTTCATCATTATGACGGAAAAGAAAAAGTAATAAAAGGTAACAATTAAATATCTAAATTATAACAAAAAGTAGAGAATAAATCCGTGATCGAGGTAATCTGTTTAGTTTTCCCTGCCTTTGTGTGCCAACTTATAATTAAATACTGATATTTCATGAGAATGTGATTAATTTCACTTTTTGTAATTACGAATTTTTTTCTTTTCTAAATATTCTTTTCAATTATATTGAATTTACCTATTATATTTAATTCGTACCTAGAATATGTATTTTACGATTTTAGAATTAATTTTTCCCCTTCATTCATATTCGCTTTTAGAAATTTTAAATTTGAGAAAATATAGCGAATTTTGTAATGCTTTTTAAAAGAGCATATTTTTTATCAGATTTACGTTCATTTTCGTTCTTTTCTCTCAGTTCTCAACTCAAAATATTCGAACAAAAAATTACTAACTAACTAAAAATGTATTCTGTTAGAAAAATAAATAAATCATTAAAAGAACGAATAAAATTATTTTAAATAAAAAAAAATTGTTCTTGTAAATCGATATAAAAATAAATAATAATTAAGTAAATAGAAAAAAAAGTACCTAAATTTTCTGTTTTAAAAACAGGATGATGACTCATTTGAGTCAATAAATAAATTTTAGCTAGTGCCAAATTTACTGCTTTCAAATGTTCCTTTTCGAAAAAAGGAGCTGAATTCAAGTAAAGATTGCTTATCGATATTAGCTAAATTCCCATTGTATTTATAAAGAGCCTCGCAATCCGGTATTTCCGAGCAAACTTGAATCAATTTCCGTAGATATTCTTCCAATTTCTTTCGGCGCTGACGGGCAATGACCTCGTACCTGGCAAACACTTGTCGTGGTGGAAATCGAATTGCTGTTACCTGAAAATTTGTTTATTATATTTATTTTGAATGTTGTCTTTTTTATGCTTATTTTTTATTTATTTGTTTGTTCAATATTTCTTTCTTAAATTTATACCTTGCTTCCATATTTTTGTCTCATGGTTGTATAAAGTTCTCGAAATCTTCGATAACGTCGAAGTAGTGTCCAACTGTCGTCTTGAGCAATCACTCGAACCTCGTATTCATAATGACTGGAAGTTCCTGCACCTCGGACAACATATGAGGGCACACTTATGATCCTGTCGATCACGTTCTCGCCAAGATTTTCGTTTGTTATCAACGAAGGCAGGGATCTCGTTATTGTCAAGGCGTACGGACTGCTCAGTCGATCTCCTCGATTCAAACTCTACGAAAAGAAGAAATTATTTTCACTTTTGATTCAGAAAAGAAATTAAAATTTAAAAATTAAACAAGAAATTACAAAAAATGAAAGAGAATTTAAAAAAAGAAAGGAACGTTAATAAAAAGGGACGAAAAAGCATTAATTTTCTAATTTCTAAAGTAAAAATTCGTACTGTGAGATAAACGGAAGAATATCCCCGATTTGGTGTGACTTTAGCCGCGATCAATCTCGCAGCTTCCTCGTCATTCGGAACGGATAATCTGCTTTGAAACATAATTGAATCCATGGTCGTTGAGGCATTCGAAACACTTCCATGTGAATTATTTCTCATTCCATCTAAATTGACAAATTCCCCTCCGTCCTTCATCTCAATATCAATTCCTTTTAGTCCTTTATCAATTTCACCGCGAACACCTCGTTTCTGATCGAGCAAAGAAATCTCGAGTTCAATCTGTTGTTTTCGCAGATCCTGAAGAATGTCAATTTGACGATTCAATTCCTCATTCGATGGTGGACCTGATTGCATACACTTTGTAATTAATAATCTTTGTCGAACAATTCTTTGGTTTATAATTTTCATTTCTTCATTTTCATCCAGCAATAAATCATCAGCATCAAAATATTTCTCGTCCTCAGTTAAATCACAATCGGTACTGCATTCCTGACGACTATCGCTGCGTAGGGAATTTTTATCAATTTGTCCAATTGCCGCTGTTGTTGCCGTTGATATTGACAAAGTACTGTCATCAATTTCAGGACCGAATAATTGTATTTCATTGGTTGAGGTTTGAAAATCAAGATCCGTGTCGCTGCTACTTCCATTGGATGATAATTCAACAGTTTTCATCTCCTTTGTGCCATTTTGATTCTCCAAGCCGGGAAATTGAGGAGAATCGGCGGCTGCCGTGTGAAATGTTTCGACCGTATCTATCGAACTTGGTACATCCTGATTAATTAAGCTCAAAGCCGTCGCCAATTTCAATTTACGCTTGCAAGAATCCTGAAAGGATTTGATATCACTCGTTGAAAGCATTTCTTCACTTAACGACGATCTCTCCTCCGATGATGCTGGTAATGACCTTTTCAAATTCAACGAAAGACTTTGTTTTCTCTTCAAAATTTCTTGTAGTTGCTCCTGCGATCTTTTGGCCAGCAGAATTTTCTTCTCCGAAAGTTCTTCACCTTCCTGCCAAAAAAAAAGATTCTAAATATTCAAATTTTTCAGAATAAATAAAAAATCAGTAGTTTCAAATCTTACATCGGAAACATCGAGTTGCTTCTGCTTGTCAGTAATTTCCAAAAGTTCTTCCTCCATTCGATCCAATTTGCTCTGATGTTCATTCAACGATCGGACTTTATTTTGCAATTCAGCCTCCAATGCAGCCAATTCTTTTTGGAAAAGGGCATCAAATGACTGAAAAGGAAAACAGAAAATAATAAATAAACAAAAACGAAACAAAGAAAAATATTCAGAAGTCTTTATGTCCTTAAATACTTACACGATGATTCGCTAATTTTTGCATCACATCCAAGGACTTCTCCTCATTGAAACTCGACCACGATTCTGGAAGACTCCGATTTTTTTCAATTCCCTCATCCGTCTGTAATCAGAACAATTAAAGTTCTCCATAAACTGGCCTCTAATTTTAAAGAAAAGGTTTAAAATTAAATTAAATCAACTCAAAATAAAAACAAAACTAAAAAAATTTATTGAAACAAATAAATTAATGTTAAATCATCGAAATAAATTAAATAGAATAACTTAAGTGAAATAAATTAATTGGAATAAATTAGAACCAATTAATAAATTAATAAAAAAATGAATAAATGGATAAATTAAAAATATTGAATTAAAAATTGAATAAATTAAAAAGAAATTTAATATTTGGAGAAATTAAAAATCACTGCAATGAAGAAAGTCCTTAAATCAGCAATAATTATTATTTGTGCAATAAATAAATGGTCTCAATCTTACCTCGCTCCAAGGGCGTTCCAGTCTCTGCAAACGATTGTGATTGTTCATGAATTCTTGAAACTGTCGATGCTTGGATTGAAGTGTGGTGCGAAGAGAGGCGACTTCCCTACACAAACTTTCTACCTAAGCCACACACACCGAAGCGTTAAAAAATAAAATAATCAAAGAGAAATAATAATTGTAACGCATCCCGTAGTCGATCAACACAAAAACAAATAAATAAATTATAATACCAAAAAGAACACGACCTCCAACATGAAGTATAGTATAAAAATAATGAAAACAAAATGAAAAATAATAAAAAATTACTCGAGAGAACTGTTCGCATGCGATTCATCTTGAAAAAGCTTTGTTTTTTTTTTTAATTCAAGTGACAACTAGCATATGGTGATGGGAATCAAGCGAAGGGTTCCGGATACGACTTTTTTTGTTGGTTTTTTTTTAATCTTTAATGATCTCTTACCTGCAATCGTTTTTCCCCAAAGACCCTTTTATCGTTCCATCGATTGTCTTATACCGTTAAATATAAAAAAGCGAGAATTAATCAGAAGTAAAAAAAAATGTTAAAATAAATTTTGGGTTTGTTAATCGGAACATCAAATAAAGCTTATACACCGATACCAAAAAATTTGAGAAAGTGAGAAAAAAATTGATTAAAAGTAGAGAAGAAAGAGCCAGAGAAAGAGAGAGACTAAGAGAGACAGAAACAAAGGAAAACACGATTTACTAAGACACTTCATTTTTTTATGGGAGATCTAAGGCCAATTTTTCTTAGAAAAATTTATTAATCAACAATTGTGTGTATATAACAACAATATTTCTCGCATAACAAACCCATAGACACTTTCTACAGGCGAATACTTCTATATATACATCATTTCCTCTTTTACACAGTCATCGACTAAAATTATTAACATACCATAGACTATACATCCTCTCGGTCAATATCATCATCTACATAATTTAAATTAATTAATTATTAATTTATTATTAATAAATTAATTTCTTATTAATCAATTAATTCATCAAAAATTAATCTTACTGTCATTTTTTATTGCGGCAGTTATAGGCACAAGTGTTTTGCAAAACAAAAAATTATTTTGTTATCGTAAAAATATTGTATAATATTTATTTTCGTATTAATTCGATCAAATTAATCATTTTTTAAATATTTTGATTACTAAATTCGATATCTGTCGGGCAGAAATCGTTTAGAATCTTGTCGCGTCTGAATTATCTACAAAATTATTCAAATATCTACAAAACAATTATAATTTGTAGAAACATTTCATATTCACTTTCATATTCACTTTCATTTTTCTATTTAAATTCCTTTTTTTCTTTTTTCTATCGCTTCTTTGCAGAAATTAGATTTAATTCATTTCTTCGATTAGATTTATTTTCTGAATGTAATAAAATAGTATATTAAATTAAATTTAATTATATTATTCATCTAATTTAATTTAATTAAATTAGGTATCAATTTGGAAATTTAAATTATCATTCTGAAAATTTATATTATCTTTTTGAAAATTTATGTTATCAATTTAAAAGTTTTAAAATCTATTTAACAATTTATTTTTTTGATGAACATGAAACGTTTCGAAAGGAAAAAACAGTTTTTTAACGATTTCACGAGAAATTGGGACTTTGAATTACGTTAATTCGGTCTTGAACAGATGGTCCAAGAAGGATAAGTAGTTTTTGCCCGGAAAAAAGAGTAAACGTCACATGTCCAGTGGACAAACGTGCGAGTAGATGATGACATTGCCGGAGAGACAAATTAGGACCCCCAGTGCGACGAGGACGAGATAGAACTGATACTTGACCGGCGGATCCGGATCACTTACTTGAGTCATCTCATCGCGTCGCTCTTGTTCAACGTGGTGACGACGATTTCTTAGTTCCCGTTGTCGTCTTTCCAATGCTGCAATTCCCTCAGCCCATTCTCGCCACTGAGCACCCCATTCACGCTCCAATTCACGTTGCGCCTCTTCCAATGCCTCACGTCTTGCAGCCCATCGCTCCTCCCGCTCCTCTTGCTCTCTCTGCACGAAAAAGAATTTTTTCACTTTCATTCTTTATGTATCTTCACAATCGACAATTCACAATCTTTAGAATTTGCAATTCATAATCTTTACAATTCAAAATCTTTACAATTTACAATATACAATTTAAAGTTTTCAGGGCCCGAACTAGGTCCGAATTTCCATGATTTCCAGGTCAAATTTTTACGAAATTCCAGTGGAATTTTAAATCAAATTTCATTATTTTTGGGCTTTTGGAAAATACTTTACTTATTTAAAAGTCTCGACTCTTTGGTAAAAAATCTAAAATTATAGAAATTTATCAAAAATTCAAAAATCCGAATTTCTTAAAATTCAACATTTTTTCTTCTCTTTTATGGCATTTAGCTTCATTATTTTTGTGCTTTTGGAAAATACTTTACTTATTTAATAGTCTCGACTCTTTGGTGAAAAATCTAAAATTATCGAAAATTATCAAAAATTCAAAAATCCGAATTTCTTAAAATTCATTACTTTTTCCTCTCTTTTATAGGATTTAGCTTCATTATTTTTGTGCTCTTGGAAAATACTTTAATTATTTAATAGTCTCGACTTTTTAGTAAAAAATCTAAAATTATCGAAAATTATCAAAAATTCAAAAATCCGAATTTCTTAAAATTCAACATTTTTTCTTCTCTTTTATGGCATTTAGCTTCATTATTTTTGTGCTCTTGGAAAATACTTTACTTATTTAATAGTCTCGACTTTTGAGTAAAAAATATAAAATTATCAAAAATTCAAAAATCCGAATTTCTTAAAATTCAACATTTTTTCTTCTCTTTTATGGCATTTAGCTTCATTATTTTTGTGCTTTTGGAAAATACTTTACTTATTTAATAGTCTCGACTTTTTAGTAAAAAATCTAAAATTATCGAAAATTATCAAAAATTCAAAAATCCGAATTTCTCAAAATTCATTATTTTTTCCTCTCTTTTATAGGATTTAGCTTCATTATTTTTGTGCTCTTGGAAAATACTTTAATTATTTAATAGTCTCGACTCTTTGGTAAAAAATCTAAAATTATCGAAAATTATCAAAAATTCAAAAATCCGAATTTCTTAAAATTCAACATTTTTTCCTCTTTTTTATGGGATTTAGCTTCATTATTTTTGTGCTCTTGGAAAATACTTTAATTATTTAATAGTCTCGACTCTTTGGTAAAAAATCTAAAATTATCGAAAATTATCAAAAATTCAAAAATCCGAATTTCTTAAAATTCAACATTTTTTCTTCTCTTTTATAGCATTTAGCTTCATTATTTTTGTGCTTTTGGAAAATACTTTACTTATTAAATAGTCTTGACTTTTTGGTGAAAAATCTAAAATTATCGAAAATTATCAAAAATTCAAAAATCCGAATTTCTTAAAATTCAACATTTTTTCTTTTCTTTTATGGCATTTAGCTTCATTATTTTTGTGCTCTTGGAAAATACTTTACTTATTTAATAGTCTCGACTTTTTAGTAAAAAATCTAAAATTATCGAAATTTATCAAAAATTCAAAAATCCGAATTTCTCAAAATTCATTATTTTTTCCTCTCTTTTATAGGATTTAGCTTCATTATTTTTGTGCTCTTGGAAAATACTTTACTTATTTAATAGTCTCGACTTTTTAGTAAAAAATCTAAAATTATCGAAATTTATCAAAAATTCAAAAATCCGAATTTCTCAAAATTCATTATTTTTTCCTCTCTTTTATAGGATTTAGCTTCATTATTTTTGTGCTCTTGGAAAATACTTTAATTATTTAATAGTCTCGACTCTTTGGTAAAAAATCTAAAATTATCGAAAATTATCAAAAATTCAAAAATCCGAATTTCTTAAAATTCAACATTTTTTCTTCTCTTTTATAGGATTTAGCTTCATTATTTTTGTGCTTTTGGAAAATACTTTACTTATTTAATAGTCTCGACTCTTTGGTGAAAAATCTAAAATTATGGGAAATTATCAAAAATTCAAAAATCCTAATTTCTTATTATTCAACATTTTTTTCTCTCTTTTATGGGATTTAGCTTCATTATTTTTGGGTCTTTTGTAAAATACTTTACTTATTTAATAGTCTCAACTCTTTTAATAAGTGAACTTAAAGAATTTTAATTATGTAATTATTTAAAAAGTTAGTAGTTTGCATCTTGAATTTTTATAAAACAGGAAGAAAGCGATGGCTCCGAGTCGAAGTCTTGGAGTAATCGATATCTTCATGTTTTATAGAATTATGAAAAATTTAATTTATAATTTAAAGAAAAATTTGTCCCTAATTTTTCATTGCTGCTCCGTAAAGTCCGTATTTTTAAATACTTTCACTGGTTCGAGTTCTGAGTTTGCAATTTGTAATTTACAGAAATTAGCAACTTTTATTTATAGAAAATAGGATGAATCGCAAAATTACCTTGAAGTCCTCCTTCTCTTTGATCAACGCAGCCTTTTGTTGCTCGAGTTCCTCGAAGGCTCGTAGATCCTCGCTGGAATTAAGTAAATTGTCGCTGGATGACGAGGCGTGCAGATCGGAAACACTCCAGCTGAGTAGAGACAATCGTGAGAGATTGACAACGGTCGATTGAAGATTGCCATTACCGAGTCCGCCTTCCTTCCGTAATTTTGCAGCCTCCGCGGGGTCATTATAGCGGAACATATTATTCCTTCCTAGGAGGATGATACAACCTTGCGAGAGTCTCGTGGCCTTGTCGACTTGAGCTGTATTGATCCAGCAGTGTGACGAAAGCGGATGTAGAGTCGCGACACCGCCTTCCAATTCCAGGACGCAATGTTCCGGATCGACATCGGTGCCATTTAGGACAATATCCTGTGTTATTGATGCCTCCTCAGTGCCTACGAGTGTTTTTCCCTCTTTCAAGTGATAGAGCGTCACACCAGTGCTCAATAGATCGTCATCAATTCCAACCAAATGCGGCATCTCCGAATCGAGAACAACGCCAACTCCACTTTTCCTCAAACCCAACGCTCGTTGTTCCTGGAGAATTTGCTGTGTCTCTCGCCACTTCTCCGCCCATTCTTCCGTCAGCAATTTCTCTTGCTCCTGTTTCTCGTGTATTTGCGCGAGCAGATTCTGCGGAGGTCTCTCTATACTCTACAAGAACATTTAGAATATTTTAAATTTCACTCTTTAAAAAAAAGAAGACGAAAATAAAGACGGAAAGAATTTAAAATACCATGTCCTTTCCAATTTGTGATTTGAGTTTCTCGATTTCCGCCCTAAGCTCCCTGATGAGCTTGACATTCGGATCCTCATTAATTGTCGGCTTGTTGATGATATTCTTGGCTCTATTCGCGTATCTGAGGGTACTGAGTGTCTCTCCGTAGTTGCAATCGGCAGGACTGATCGCGGCAATCATTATTGTCTTGGAATTACCACCAAGAGAATCCTTCAGTAACCAGGTCAGAACACTGTCACGATAGGGAATAAAGACTTTACTCTTGGAACTATTTGAATCATTGCAGCTAACTTCGGCCAGGGCCGATATCACAGAACCTAGAGTCACAAGGGACTTGTTGATATGTGCACCTTCCTTCAATCGTTGACCAGTTGCGCCCGTCGCATTTGCTCGTTCACTTCATAAAACAATAAATTTCATCAATCATTAACCATTTCCAGTCGTTAATTTCCTTTTCAATTAGGAACGCTTCATTTCACAATTAACGGGTGATTATTTCAAATAACTATTAATTTTTTTCCAATAAATTAATTATCCGATAAATTTCTCAATTGAGATCATTGATAAAATAAATTCTAATTAATGAAAAAAATAATCAAAAATTAGCTGATTAGGCAAATTATCGACAAAATCAATACAATAGCGTTTCAATTAACTTGTTTGTTGTTACAATTATCTTCAACTGACAATTCAATTTTATAATTCGTTAAACTAAGTTTGAAACAGGAACAATTTGAATCAGAATAGATTACAAAGTAAAGGAATTAAAAGTAAATTTAAAAGTGATGAAAATAGAATAACGAAGATAATAGAAGAAAATAAAAATGAGAATGAAATAAAATAAACAGAATAGAATAAAAAATTATTTCTGAATGACTAAAATTGTAAAATGTGGAAATTTCTTCAGAAAGGGATTTCGCTTTGATTTGTTCATATTTATAAATAAAAATAAGTGGTTAATAATCACCTGCCAGCTAAGTCGACAAGATGCACCTTGGACACCGTTTCCGAGGGCATATTACCTTCGGAGAATCCAGCTTGCACAAAAGTTATGGTAAATATTGCATGACTTCGACTGCTGACGTCGTTCATATTTGTGCTAGCAGTCGTTCTATGCGTATTACCTCTGACCATGCATTCCTGAAAAATAAATCAATTTTTAAATTACCAGGCACATATTTCTTTCTTCTGTAAATAAAGACATTTTTCATTCTCCTAAAATTTCGAACGAACGTTTTTTTGTTGCTTCGTTCAATTTTAATTTCAAATTGTTTTTGTATATTTACAAAATTTTTCACTACAAAAAAATATTTATTTTTCTTCTTATAATCAATTTACTTTACTTTTATAATCAATTTTCGAAACGAAAAAATGAATTGTAAAATTGTAATTGTAAACCAATGTATTTCAAAATTAGTTTACCTGAACTTTCTTTTTTTGTGTAAATAAGAACTTTCTCAAAAATTATTAAAAATAATTGATTTAGTGAAGAATTTTACTTAAATATTTTTTTTATAAGAGATGCGTTTATAAATTTCATGACTAACTGAACTTGAAAAGGTTTCAATTTCAAATTTTAGGAACATCTAGAAAATTGTATTCATTTGAACGTTCAAATCTTCAGAGAAATATCTAATAATATTGTTTCGATTTTCTAAATTTTAAACCAAATTTGTAAAAACAAAATATTACAAATTTTTATTTCAAAAACTAAATGGTTTTTTTTTTGTTTTCTCGAACAGAAATTTTTCCTTTTATTCATTTCGTAACTGTTGTGAAGATTTCTTATTAGAATTGATAAATGAGAAATAACGAAATTTGTGATATAAATATTGCACAATAAATCTCCTTTTCAATTTCATTTGTCTTGTATAAAGAAAATTTCCAATTTTATTTTCATCTATCATTTTTCCCTGTTTCGTCACAGTAAGTGTAATAAATTTATTACTAAAGTTATAAAGACTTGTTCTAGTTATCCTTAAAAGGGTAATGATTGCGAAATGTTTTTTCTTTCATTCTTTATACCTGAATATCGGAATAATCATAAACAAGATGACTCGACAGGTCTTGCACGTATGGACCTTTCTTTGGATGTTCTCTAACTCTAAGAGAATGAGACTGATACTGATCAGGTCTGAGTAAGTCTTTCACTCTCTCGTTGTGTATTTCTAGAAATGAAACTTCGGTCCGATAGGAAGTGCCGGTTTCTTTTCCAGCTGCCATTCGTGCGAAAAGTGTCTTGCAGATTCGTGGTATCAGTCCTTGGGCTTCCTACAAAAAAAAACATTTCACACGTTTTTATTATTTTTCTCAACTGCTAATTTTTTCAGTACATTATCTCAATATTCTCTTTTACTACTAAAGTAGAAAACATCGATCGAATAAATAATTTTTTTAATTTAATAGCATTTTTTCGTTTATTTATGAAGGGATTTAATTCACCAAATAAAAGAAAAGGAGCATTGGTGTAAATAATTTTAAAGCGAAAAATTAATTTATAGAAAAAAAATTTACCGGAGTGCCCATCATAGTGAACGTTTTTCCGGATCCAGTCTGTCCATAGGCGAAAACGCAGGCATTGTAACCCTCGAAGGCACTTTCTATGACTTCCAAACCAAGATCATAGTAGACCTGAAATTATAAAATAGAAAGATACTTCTTTTTTGCAAACCAATCGATTTAAAGTGACGACGTTGTTAAATTATGGAAAAATAGGCTAATAACTTTCAACCACGGAAATCGATAATTTTTAGCATTATATTTTCTTCCTCTATGTTTTTTTAATAAAGATTTTTTTATAATCAAGAACTTATTGAAAATAAAATTCGTATCTAATTAGAAAAAATATGTTAAAAACTTAACGGTAAATATACTTTCTCAGATGGAAACGATTTTCTATTTTCCATATTTCTTGGAAAAGAAACGTACATATTGCTTTGTTTTGCAGAAATACTCTTTCAAATTTTCTTCTCTGCATTATTTCGTTTTATATAGAAAAGTAAAACATTTTTTCCAACAATTTTTAAGTTTCTCTTAATTATATTGTGGTTTTCTGAAATAAATTTAGCTTTTCCATAATAATAAATAAATAATTAAATTAATTGGAAGTTTATAAGAAATAAAATGATCACCTCTTCCTGAGAAGCATAGTTATCATCGCTGTCATCGTAGGACCAATAACTGTGATCAAAAGTAAAGTCCTTATATTTCTCTCGGTCGATATCTCTGCAGCTTCCTGGAGTCTGAAACATAAATGAAAATAAACAGAAGGAACTATTGTTAAATCTGATATCAACTTATAGACGGGAATAACACAGTTCCTGGAAACAATACAACTTCCACAAAATGCATCGCGAACATGTGTTATATATAAGATCATGTAATTTACGACGAGTATAAATTTACCAACTCTCCTAAAATATCCAATTTTCTTGAATTAAAATTAAATCATCCCAAATTCCTCCCTCGTTCACTAAATCAATATTTTTCCTTATTAGAAATTTTTGAAATATTTTTAAATAAAAATATTTAAACAATTCTTTTTAAAGAGAAAAAAAGAGAAAAAAAGAAGAAAATAGAAAAAATGGAAAAAATAGAAATTAATGAAGAGAAAAATTTATGACAATGAAAAATTAAATGAAGAGTGAGAACATATGAATGTTTTTGCAAAAATAGTACTCCTACGTCAAAGTTTATTGAGCTTATTAAACGCAGTGTCCCATATCCAACGGGTGATTAATTTAAACACCGGTCATACAACAGTGTAACCGAAAACATTTCAGTCCCAGATTCACTGCTACTATTTAGTCACGCGCAAGATATAATTATAAATCCCTGCAGAGCCGGAAGCACAAAAGATAACTGGGACAGTCTTAAGTACTTCTGAAACAATTCGTCTAGTTTTAAATTAAATTTTCATTTCTATCAATAGATTCATTTAGTGATCAACAGAAATCAATTACTAAAAATGACTATTTCCCCTTCATCAAAATAGAAATAAAATAAAAGAATAGAAAAATAAATAAAATGGAAAAAATATACAATGGAAAAAATAATTCTAAAATAAAAATGATTAAAATGATTTAAAAAATTTTTTAAAGATTAAAAAAATGTCAATTTAGTAATTGATTTTATAAAGAAACGTGAAGAAAGGTAACATGCTTCACACAGTGTTCTTAATTACAGCTTGACAGACATTTAGTTCAAGAAGCAATCGATGTTTCTCAGCTAATAAACACATGAGAAAGATTCCAAAGTTGTCTAGACAAGATTCTAGACAAGATTCATAAGCCTAGATATTACTTTTTATCAAATACAATTAACCTCGTAAATTATTTATTATTTAACGATCGAAGTACAAGATTAAATGGTAATGTTTAATTAAGAAACATTAAAGTTCAAAAAAATACATGACAAAATTTAGAAAAAAAAAGTAAAAAAAACATCAATGAAATACGATAAAAATAAGAAAACTAAAAGAACGAGACGAAAAAAGTGGAAAATTTAATAAAATAGAAAATTAGAACATTGGAAAAAAACGATACATGAGATTGAAGTTATTAGATAATAAACTTAAATAATTTAATCCAGAGTTAAAACATTTTTTAAGGACACTTCTCGAAGAACGTGGAATATTGCCGTGATTATTACGTCAGAGCTGGAAACTCGTTATGAGGCCAAGAGAAAGAAAAGAAAAAAAAATCGAGATATGTACAAACTTTCAATTATTGGCTTTGAGGAAAGTATATCGAGAATACTATTTGAATAAAAAATCGAACAATTTTGAAAAATTAAAAAACGTCCAGTTTGTCATAATTTGAGAGTTTAAAAAATTGACTTTCAGTTCGTAGAATAATTTACATATTTTAAATAGAACATAAATTTTCTAACCACGGTAGTGGTATAAGAACGGTAGTTAAATGAGATAAAAAATATATTTATAAGGAAAGTTAATTTAGAAAAATGAAAAACAAAATTCGAAATTTGCCCATTATTTTAAACATAATAATTAACAGGACATTGCCTTTTTTCCCTACTTGATTTATTCATGTCACGATTAAATAGACAACATCCGATGTATCGAGAAGTGTCTGGTAAATGATTCTAACCGGTCTCAATGTCCGGCTCTATTTTATATATTGCGACCCTGACCAAAAGCAGGTCGTACGTCACGCTCGCTTGAAAATTCGTGAAAACCACGATTGGAACCGAGCTGTCGACATTCCCATAAAACGTTTCAACTCTTACAATTCCTTCAATTATATTTTTCTTTTAAAAAAGAAAATCTCAATTTTCTCCCACAATTCCGATTTTTAAATAGACCTGAAAATTTTAGTTTTATTATTTAACAATTAATTAAAATTAAATTATTAAACAATTCGTTAAAATTTTAAGAGAAAAATATCTTCAAAAAATATTCAAATTTTATTTTGAAACATGATTGACGTGAATTTCTCATAAGTTATAAATATTCATGGATTTTCAACAATATTGAGAGAATTGGATTCTACTTTTAGATTTCTTTTTTCATCTGAAAATTAAAAAAAAAAACATTAGGCAAATATTTTATTATACTTTTGAGAATACTTTTTCGAAAGGGTCGCCCGAGAGGAAAATGCAAGAGTAAGAAAAGAATAGCAAACAAAAGCAAAATGTAGAATAAATAATAAAATCTAATTTCTTTGATAATTTGCATTTCAATGACTATTTAAAAAAAATATTCCTTTTTTTAATAAAAAAAAACAAGATACTTTGTCATATTTGTGATTCAAAACCATAACTTTATGATTATTATGGTCAAGACCTCGTAAAACGTATCCTATATCTTTTGAAGTCGTAACTTATTGAAATGTGGTAAGTTGGTTTTACTTACTATTATACATTCTCTGATTTACTCTCAAGTGACAAAAATAGAAATTTATAACTTATTGTTAGAAAACAATTTTCTCAATATTTCAATTCTCCAGAATATTTTTGACAGAATCCACTATCTTCGTGTCGCAAATAAAAATTGTACACTTCTGCCTTTTTATTCAATTTTTTAACTCAAAAAATAGAGAAACAATTTTTTTTATATTCCAAAAATGTTAAATAACTAAAGTAAAAAAATGTTTATAAACAGAAAAAAGAATTGAAAACAGTAGAAAAAATGGGAAGTTATCGAACGAGTTAAACGTTTAGAAAGAATATATTAAAAAGAAAGTCGATGAACCTTATTTTCTAACAGCTCGGAAAAACGTTTGTGGAAATTGTATTGATTGCACATTTCTTCCCACTTATGATAAAAATTGCGAAGAGTACCTTTGTGTTGAAAATTCTAGTCCTCTTTCCATCCATTTGCACTATCATCTTGGCATTCATTGCCAATTCCCTGGAAAAAGAAAAATCATTCATTGCAAATTGATTGAATTTTATAAGTGTTTCTACATAAATAATTATTATAAATTATTCTTTCACGATTGCAATAAGGTTTTTGTGCAATTTCCATAATTTAAAAAAATTCTTTTTTTCTCATGCATGTCAATAATTTCGTTCTATACATCCAATTGTATTATTAAATCTATTGTGCAAGTGCAAATTTATATTTAAGAAACTACTTTTACGACAAAATTGCACTTTTATATTTTCGATTATAAATAAATCGATAATTTCCCAATGGAAAAAAATTTCCTATCTCCTTCAAGAAAAATTCGAGGAATATCAAGATTATTTCAAATGTATATGTATTACAAAAGAATTGTATTTATTTTCTTCAATATTCAAATTTTCGTTGCACAAAAAAAATTGTGTATTTCTTATCTTCGTCAATTAATTTTGTTTTCCGCGATGCTTAAATTGTCATTGGTCAGTTTCTTATCGTATACGTTTCCACAGTTTCTTTTTTTGTTATCTGGTTATTAGTGGCACCTTTTGATAATGATAAGTTATCATTCTTGTCTCTCGTTCCTCCCAAAAAGAGTCGATTTAAAGAGTGAGTGGATTAATGAGAAATTGTAAAGTAAAATTAAATTTTTTTTCACGTGAAACGACCGTGAATGCCTCTTCTATCTTTATTTTTTTTTATAGATATTACAATAAACATAATTGACCACTCTTCTCAATAGTAGACTCTCTATTCTTTCTTTATTTCAAAAAAAAAAAGAAAAATTCACTTCTTCCAAGAAAAGAGAGTTTGATCTTTTTTCATTGTTCGTGTACAAAAGAATCGCCGTATTCAAATAAGAATTTTTCCCCTTGTCAAATAAATTATGGAAAACATTTCTAAATTCTAAGAGGGAAATTATAATTTTATTGATATATTAAATTCTACGCTTTTAAGTTTAATTTTAATTATCAATATATTTCTATTATCCACTTAATTTTACACTAATAATGAAATAATTATTTCTAACAAATGAAAATTGTAGAAATAGATTTATATTAACAGAAAAATTTTTTATATTCAGTTAAATTAAAGTATTGCATTTGAAATTTCATTTTGATTAAATGCTTTTAAAATGATATAAGAAAAAATGACAGATAAAATGAAACCGATAATTTACAATAAAACAAAAAAAAACATCCTATGAAAAAAGATCTTTTTGCGTTGCATAATATTTAGTGGAGTAACTTCTGAAAATAATTAACAGTACATGACATAATGATCTTTCGAAAATTAATTAAAAGCCAAGAGTTACAAATTGTACAAAAATAATAGGAAGTTGTTGTAATCGTTAAAGCTTTCACTTTGAATTTTTTTTGTTCATTTTACTCCAATTTTTACAAAAATAAAGAATATCATTATAAATATTAACAAATAAATATAATAAATATTTTTTAATTATGAATGAATAATAAATATTTTTTAAAATATATATTTTAATTATAAATTCTAAAACGAAATTAAAGTTAATAAAAAAGAAAATTTATTCAGACCATAAGACTTTAAGTTAAAAATCTCGTGATCAATTTAAATTTAAATCTCTTTAATTAAATCTCCTACATTGATGTCATTGATATTTAAATCAATTCGCAATGTGAATCATTCAGATATTAACCAGTTATTAATGAAAACAAGAACAGTTTTCTTTTTGAGGACAAAAAAATCTCGAAATTTTATTTATAAATTTCTAAAAATATAAGCAGATATTTTTGAAACAATTGTATAATTTTATGACAAGAAATTCGAATACGAGATTATTTAAATTAACTAATTAGAAAGTATTTTTTAAGAAAAGCCAGAGCAATTAAAAAATCCAGTTTAACTTGTAATTTTATTCGAAAAAGTTCAAAAAAATTGTTTAAATAAAATAAGAAATAAATTTTTTATATTTTAATTATAATTTGTGAATTTGCACTCAGAAATTAAAATTCTAAAGTGTTTCATTTATAAAGTTTATAAATTAAAAAATATAAAAAAAGATAGCATTGTTGAGAATGAAATAAAAAAAGAGTTAAAGAATGGAGAAAAATAGTAATTTCACAAAGAAACACAAAAGAATGCAGTTTTTCAGTTATCATTTGCATGTAACAGGCTAAATTAGAAACAATCATTGATAACCATTACGTCACGTAAATTCTAGAACTTTGAAAAATGACTTGAATTTCAAGTATTTTTCGATATTTGCATTTCAAATTACAGAAAGTTTCCTCTAAAATAAACTTTCCTTGAGAGACAGACTTTTTTTTGGAGTAAACAAAATCAATGAAATTAAACAATTTTTTTCTCCAAAACAAAAATAAAAAACCAGTTTGCCATTCTATTTTTGCAACATAAGTAAACGATCTTATCTCGGAATGACCCACAGACTTTAGAAGCCACAATTCATCGAATTATCGTCAATTTTTCTTTTCATTTCATATTCTCGACCATTCTCCCTCTCTCTCTTTCTATCTTGATTCTTTTATTGACAAACAATAAGATTTTCTTATCGTTCAATCAATTGCAGTTTTAAAATAAAATCATGGTGTCATTGACAGCTAATGATGATGTTGTGCGTAGCAGGTGGTGGCGCGAGGAGAAGAAGGAGAGACTAAAAAAATTATTTTGTAGCAAACACACCTTTTGTTAAAGGGCCGGACCCTAACGGCCACCTTCACCGAAGCCATGGTGGATTTTGCGCATGGGCAGTCAACACAAGATCGGCTTGATGCACTTTTTTGTTATGCGATTTTTGATGTTGATGAAAAACACATTTCTTTAACACTTTTTGAACAACACGTTGTTGGACCTGTACGTCCTTTCATTTCGCACTTCACTACGAACATGATCTTCGACTCGCGATCAGTGTCTGCTGATCACTGTTTGAGTAGACTGAGAGAGCGTGAATTTGATGGTGTGTGAGTGAGCAGCACAGTGTAAACGTAAAGAGAGAAGAAAAAAAAGAGGAAGAAACAAGAAGAAGGATTTGAGCATGCGCAACTTGTAATCGTGTGGGTGGGAGTCGTTGAATGGCACATGGCGAGTGTTCGACAGTTAAAACAGGATCGGATCAACTTCCAAATTATTCTGCTACTACACTCCGAGTTGCTCCGACTGCTGAAATCGATTTTTCAAGAAGCTATAACGTATCAAAAATTTATCAGGATCAGTTATCTTTTTTTCTCTCTCTCTCTCTTTTTGGAGTAAATTCACATTCGAACATTTTTTTAAGACCTAATTGCAAAATTCAAGATTCAAAATTGAATTGCTTGAAAAATTGATATTCTTTCGAATTGAAGAGAGTTAAAATCGAAGATCTGAAGTTTCCAAAAGAATTCTTTTGCTAATATTTTTTGTCTTTAGAGCAAGTTTGAAATTACTGACGAATTCAATTACATACTTGCGGCAATTATAGATAACAATCCTGTCATTCCATTATAAAGTATACTTTTAACATAATTAAAAATATGACAAATAAATATCCAAGAGTCGCAAAAACAAAACAGAAAATGTTGATTTTAATAACAAATGAATTATTCTTGCAGATCAATTTTACTTATAAGTGAATATATATACTTACAGAAATAACCTGAATGATGATTATCCGAAAATGATGATGATGATGATGATATTATTTACGTTTTAGTCAAATTTTATCATTCTGTAATTGCATTCGATCGACGATATTCAGTTTTGATAATCACATCCAAAAGTAATTCAAGATATTGATGAAAATAATTGAAGATTCAATCCATGTCGAAGAAATCCAAAATTGATGATCGTTGTCCAAAAATATCGTCCCAAACCCAAAAATGAAGAAATTGATTCTGGTTTTCTTAAAATTGAAGATCATGTTCAACTCTTGAAGACGTCAACGAAGATCCAATCTAAAAACAAACAAAAACATTATAGAAAACCAGAATTGACGTAGCAAATTAATTCGTTAATGATTAATTTAGAAATATTTGTAAATTTAGAAACAATCGGAAAATAGAGAAAAAATTAAATTTTCTAGAAAAAAAATAATCATTGGAACATTTCCAGAGTAAAGAATCGAAAAGTTTTAAAAATGACTAAGATTCTATCATTATTTGGAAAATCACCAAATGTTACACACAAAAATTTGTAATATAATTTAATCACTAACAAAATTTAGATCAAGTCTCATTAAATTATAACCGAAATAGAATTAAAGATTAGAAACGTGACAAAAATCTATTTTCAATCTGTAAATTTATTGAAAATAGAATGGGGATCTTATAATTATCTCTTTGACCCTAATTATTATTGTTGTTCTTGAAGTGCAACCACGCCTCCTTCTTGGTTCTCTCAAGGTTAATTTAATTCTCACCAGTCAAGCATTAAATTTTTAACTAATTACTTTTTTACCTAAAAAAATGTAGAATTTGCTAAACAAAATCGTAAAACAATTTTGCCATTTTCTGCGAACAAAGGAGAGAAAATTCTTCGATTTACGATTCGATCATTATCATTCGCGTGCAATTATTTATTATATTATTTTATAGTAGATAATATACACCTTCACCCACGCAATAAAATAAATAGAAGTCTTTGAGGTTTTATTTAAGGTGTAACTGCGGTCTCAAAGAATTCTCATATTTATTTGTTTCTCTAACAATCAGGAAAAACTTTTTTCTCGAGAGAGAAAAAATTGAAGACTTTGGATTTTATTTTTTCCGACGAAATAATTTTTTTATGCACCTACAATTTCTCTATCAGAAGAAACTTTTAGTCATTTTTTTCTAATTCGGGAGAAAAAAATTGAAGAGTTTGGATTTTACTTTTTCTGACGAAATAATTTTTTTAAACAAAAAATTAGAACGAAAAGTAAATGACTTTTTTCGCAACATGTTTAGATTTCAGTCAAAAATTTCGGATCCAGTTTTTCGACGTCACCAGGAAATGAACTCAAGTGTTACGGGTCGCAGGACAGTACGAGACGAGGGTTTGTAATTGACACCAGAAAAAAGATACTTGAGTTTAAAAGTACTACTTCACAACAAAACATATTTTGTTGCAAATCTCAAACCATATCCTAAAACTGTCTTTTTATCCTAGTCAGACTTTCTTTTTCCACACACGTGATATTCTATATTTAACTAAAAATATAGAAATAATGAAGAAACTAAAAGTACCGACAGAATTTAATAAAGAGCTTTTAAAATAAAGATAAATATGGAAGAAAGAAGAAAGACAATAAAGATGAGATTAAAAATATAGAAGACTGTTGCTGTAATGATTCAATCCATTCAGCATCCCACCAGCTCTTCAATAAAATCGAATTATCATAAACTCATCTTGAGTGCATCCAAATTTAGAAATGAGTTATTAGGCAAACTTAAAAAATTGTTTGTTTTGTTTGGAGAGGAAAAAATTTATCTGTCAAAATAAAGCTAAATTGCAGATGTATCTCCCGTTAGATTGAAAGTTGAATGATAATTCTGCAACCGTATTTGGTTTCGAAGAAGTGTTGTCTTAAATACACAATTTCCTCTCTCTAAGATCTGCCGAACGGACGTCAACAATACTCCATCAGAAAACGTACATACAACTGCAAACTACGTGAGCTTACAATAATTACGTCAGGCCAATCGCCTATGAATCACTATTCATTGTGCATATATCATATAACTTTGCATTTCAAGGTTTCGCCTCTATTGGTAAGCATATCGTCCACCTGATGTGCATTTCAAACCTGTAACTCCGCTGGAGTTACTATTGGCACTCCCAAAGTTTTCTTCAATCTAAAATCTCTTTTATTTATTCATGATGAAAGGAAGCTTTAAACCTTTCCTTTTTATTCTTTCTAAACTAAAATTCTGGAATTTTAATTAATGACCAGTATTAATTTAATTAAAATCCTGGGATTCCTAAAAATAATAAAAAAATGAGAACTTTTGTTTAACATTAAATTTAGTAAATGTTTTAACTTCTCAAGAAATTGTTAGCATTTTTTAAATAATTTCTATACAATGTAAATTTAACTATTTTGAAAATATTACAAAGAATTTAATTTTTAACTAAATTAATTTAAATTTACCAAAAATGAAAAAGAAAAAAAAAGAAAAGAGAAAAGAAAAAAAAAGAAATGAGAAAAGAAAAAAAATAAGACAAAGGGTGAAAATGAAAAAAAGATAAAATAAAAAAAAGAAGTAAACATCATTACCTGGTGAGGTTCCGTAAGTTTCCCCAGGAGGCAAGAAAGTGCCTCTACCTGTCGACTCCAGACGAAACGAACCTCGCCGTTTATTTCCAAGTGAGTCCAGAAGTAAAAGCAAGTCGATAAAATAGCTCTCTCGTTCACTCCAAAAGACTCAGAATTTTTGGTAGGGGGTGATTCGAATCGGCGCATATACAGCAAGAGAGCTTGGAAACGATGGTTCTTCATGTCAGTCGGGTGGCAACTGTCGGTGAATGTTGCCCGAGGAAAAATTGATCGGAATCAATTTTTTTTCTTCACCCCCATAAGAATTGAACGTGTGCAGTGGTTACTCTAAAAAAATTGTGTCTTAAAAAGAGAAAAAAATATGATTCTTCACAATTTTCTAAAAATGTGATTCAAACAATAAAACATCAAAATTGTTCTTTTGTGTATACATGTGAAAGTCAAGTGTGTTCACCGAGTGAATATCCTCGTTTGAATTTTCTGATGCCACGTTAGGGGTGGATATGTACAACTGAACCCAAGGGTCACACGCGAATCATGGTTGCCAAGCACTTTAGTCAGGGTGAGTTTTTTCTGCAGGTCCTTGCCATTTTTAGTTATCATTGTCGATTGGAAAAAAATTCTCAATTGTCCATAATCCGAGAATCGAGTAGATTAATAATTTTTGCAATCAATCTGAAAACAGAGGAAATTAAATAAGTTAGTAGTTTATTTATTTTTTTTAAAAGACCGCAAAATTTCAGGGAGCGCCGACGAGTACCGGAAGGACACTCCTTTCCTGATAAATATTGAGCCAATTCCAAAAAAATAGAAAGAAATAAAACAATAACAAATCCGTTTATTCCGATTTGATGAACCGTGGATAATAAAAATACGTTTCAGAGAGATTTTCAGTTACTCTTCTCTCAATGAAAATATAAATTTCATTTTTATATTGAATCCAAATTGTTAAATTTATAATAAAGGAATAATTTAAATAATAATTTTTTTATTTAATATACTTTATAAAAATTTTTTCATTATTAGTTAAAATTATAAGAAATTTGTTAATTTTTTCAATTTAAGGTCATTCAACCTCTTTTTCTAGTTTTCGTCAGTCAAAGTCATTCGCAAATAGCAAATTATTTTTTCTTTAAAAATTAAAACACAATTTTTTCTTTTTTAACTTTTAGTTAACAATTACTTTAAGTTGATTAATAATTCATAAATAATAGTTTCTATTTGAATTTTTCCGGAATTATTCATGAAACAATAAATTGTCAATCATCAGCAAATCATTTGACTAAAAGTGTAAAATTTCTATTATTATTTTTTTTACTCTCTTATTATCTATAGTTGTATTTTTTAAACCAACATCGAATGGTTTTCGACAAATAGTTAAATAACTTCAAAATAAAAATAACCGAATGTTGTAAAATGTCTTTAAGTTTTTATATATTTGCAAATAATTAATAATAGTTTCACATAAATTAATTCAGAGCGAGGTGAGAATTAAAAAGCTCAAAATTTTAGTAAATATTTAAGAATTTTTGTTCTTTCGCAAAAAATTAAACTAAAATAAAATAATGCCACTTATAAAATAATCCTGGGAAAACAATTCGAATTGAATATTAATAACTTGAAAGAAATAAAAATTTACATTAAATGAAAAATAATAAATTAATAAAAGGAAACAATTAAAAAATTAATCATTAAACCAACTTCTTTCACCTTTAAAAATTAATCTTTTTAAAATTGAAAGAAACAAAAATAAATATTTTTAATAAAAATAAAGAAATTGAAGATTAATTGTAAGTTTAAGTAAACCTTGTACGATAATAACATTCTTAACCCACTGAAATCGAGTTGAAGAATAATCGATCAAATTGTTCATACTCATCAGTGTCTTCGACCTTTCTATGACGCGAGAAATGGTTATAACAAATCTCATACACAGAACATTGACGATTCATTAATTAAAAAAAAATTCCGACACTTTTTTCCTCTCTCTTCAATCTAGATAAAGGATTTTTTTTCATATGTATGCATTTTTGTGAAAATAGTTGTTGGTGAGCACCTTTTTTAGAGGTGTTTCTAGACAATCAATAAAACGTACCTTCGCAGTTAGCATGACGTGCAGTTTGATAAAATTCCTGTGTTAGATTCCACGAGCACAATATACTATATAAGTGTGGGAGACGGTCGGGGGGGATGAAAAGCTGTGTGTGACGAGATAAATATTGATACACATCACTGATGGCGAGTTTGGCACGGCATTTCGATTTTGTATGTGCCATGCAGAAATTGAGATTGGAATTTTATGGGGTCCTAGCCAGAATTCCCTATCTGTAGTGGGGAACTGATTAGAGAAAATCGTTAGAACCCAACTACTTTCATAACGGTCGGCAGATGGGGTATAGACTAGAATATCTAGTCGGGAACTAGTATTAAAACTAGCTGTGTGTTGATAGGGCCCCGACTAGAATTTTCTAGTTGACTTTTAAAAATTATTATTTTTCAACTTAACCTATTTATAATTAAATTCTTCATTCATATTAACATTATTAATGAATGTTGTACACGAAAAACCTGAAACTTGAGTTGAAAAATCTCGTGCCCATGGGGGATCGAACCTTGGACCTTGGGGACTCCAGTCGGATACACATACCTCCCGGCCGTGATAGCTTGGAAGCACCTCCGCTTAAATAACATCCCGTGCAGCAATTCACCATTTGCCCCTATCTCTAGTAGGGCTCTCGCTAGATTCTAACTAGAATCTCTAGTCTAGAAAAACTAGTCGGGTTCCAATCAAATTCTAGTTAAATAATTTTTACCAGCATTATTTTTTAAAAAATTTTGCATACTATTTAATTATTTCATTTTTTAACATATTTGAAACCCAATTTTTAATATTGTAGAACATTCTTACATAAAATTCCAATAAAACAATTTTATTAAATAAAAATCTTTTATTTAATAAGTAAATTAAAAGAATAAGACACAAATAAATATTAATTATGTGAGTATAATTAATTTTTATTACCTAAATATTGTAATATTATCCGTAAAAATAATTATTTAAAAATATATGTAAGTGCAATTATACTTTAAAATGTTTTTGACAATTCATAAAAATATTTATTTATAGAAAGACAATTTATGTATATTACTTGTACACTAGTTTGTCGCTAGTTGGAAATCAATAAGGTCCTAGTGAGTTTTTCTAGTCTGAATTATCTAATAATTTCAATTAATAATAATTCTTTATAATCTAATAATAATTTAAATTAAAAAATTATAAAGTTATTAAATTATTTAAATTATTAAAATAATAAATAATAATATCAATTAATAATAATTCTTTATAAAACAAAATTAGTAATAATAATTCTTTAACTAGAATTTGATTGGAAACCGATTAGTTTTTGTAGACTAGAGATTCTAGTCAGAATCTAGCGAGGTTCTAGACAGATTTTTCTAGAGTAGATTTTCTAGGATGGTTCTAATCAGAATCCAACATTTGGTAGGGACAAGTAGGGAAATTTCTACATGGGGCGTCGTCGTCGACGTCGTTGTCGGGTCTTTGACATTGGTCATAGCAATGCGTTTTCTCTCGCCGCACATGTTTATTGTTTATGCAAACATTCATTCCCAGACTAGATCATTCAACGTCATCTCATTTCGTATTAATTTTGCTTCTTCTTCTCTTATAGAGATGATGCTATTTGATATTTTCATTCCAGTCCCGCATTCATTAGAATTAGACACCATTTATCAAAGTCTTCTGGGCTGAAAAAAATGAAAGAGGATTAGTATGAAGAAATTTTTCTTTTCATTACGTTTTTAATCGTTTTCTATATTCTTCTTATTTTTTTCGTAATCTTCAATTTTTCTTTAAATTCGAATGTATTTTTATAAAATTTATAAAAAAAAGCTTGTACTTACAAAATAAAATTCCGAAATTAGGGTGAAAAAAAATTGCTCTTATTTTCCAGACAGAAACTTTTGGAGTACATTGCCTTTGGACGATAAAAATGGTTGACCCCTAGAAAGTCGTAGAGGTAAAATTTAGAGAAAACGAGCAACTTGAGAATTTTCTCCCTTCACAAGGTAAAGGGCAATTTTTTCCTGTGCTTGTGCAAAGTCTTTATAAGTAATTGTGTGGGAGACATGCTTTTTTATAATGCACGACTGAGCTCGCAAAGTCGACTCAATAATCCGACTCCTAGTCTCCATAATCCTCGGGAAAGCATCTGTCAGCCTATATCTAATGCCAAATTGTCCCTATGTGCATTCGGCGTAATATGTGTGAGTTCTCACATTCTATAAATGTGCGTTGCAGGATTCATCGGCATTAAGGGTTGCCACACGTTCTCCTTATACTGGCAGACAAAGTCGCGTAGTCTGAATTTAGCTTCGTCAGGTCTGCACTTAAACTCGAATTTCTGGAAATAAAAACCAAAATCAAATTACAACAACTTGACACAAAAATTTGATTCTTTTATAGTTGAAAAAAATTCAGAAGAAAGTAATTAAATACGCAGTTACTATTTTAATACCCAAGAATTTAAAATTTTATCATCACTATAGAATTTGATTTGTTTAGAGAAATGATATTTGACAAAACAAAAAATCATTAAAAGAAATTTTCCGGGGTGGTTGCATTGGAGAAATTGTGTCATTTTCTTTTTTATATAATCGAATATATATGAAAAGCGACATGGGGGATGAATCACCGATGATTTCACCCTTCAAGCGACCCAGTTTTTCCAAGCAGGAGAAGCATTGAACTGAAAGCACAATCAGTACAGCAGTCAAGTATTACTTTGATGCGAGTCTTGAATATATGGATTACACAACATCGGAACTATTTGATATAAATTTATCATATAACTCACAAGATAAACTGCCATTCTTTGTGTGACTAAAAAAAGGCCTCGTATTCCTTTCTCTCTTTTCGTTGTACATGTTGGTTCACAAAGCACCTTTTGACATCAGACGGGAAGTTATTAAAGAGAAATTCCACCATACCTCTCGAATGCAAGCCACATATCCGGTTGTTGAAAAACACATCTTAATGACGTTGTTGCACGTAAATACTTATTGTCCCTTAAGAGGATATGCTTAGGTCACGGTGTCAAAATAAAATCATTTTTTTTCTCTCTTTATACCACAGAGTCATTCTTATATGAGAAACTTCCTGAAACATCGAAAAAAAATCGTGAATAAGAAAAAATTTGTTTTTACTAAACAATTCATCTGAATTTTTCATAAAATAAGAGAAGATTTTACTTAAAAATAAAAATAAAATTTTTCATAAAAATTAAAGATGACCGGAGTAATAAAATCGTTAACAATTCAATTATTATTTTCAAGAATTTTTAACTAAAATTCTTCTTTACCTTTCTTCGCAGGAATTATCAATTTTTTTTTTTTTGAAATTATTGAATTCTTTTGAAAAATTTTATTAAAATAGTAAATATTAAAAATCATTGAATTGAGGAAAATTTTTGAAAATAATTGAAATTTTGTCAAGAATTTTATTAAATTTTTTGAAAAGAATTGAGTTTTGGAGAATTTAATTATTTCTAAAAATAATTGAAATTTTAACCAGAGTTTTTAAAAAATTTTGAACATAATTTAATTTTTGCGACGAATTTTATTACTTTTGAAAATAATTGAATTTCTGCAATCATTTGTAACTTTTCAAAATTTTCCAAATTATATCGTACAATTTACGAACTTTTCGTCTTTTCTCAATCAAATTACAAACTTTACGGACCTTTTTTTTTTAAAAAAAAACTGACTTTTACGGACTTGAAGCAAATTTACGGACCTAATTCAAGCCCTGAATATACAATACAATTTTTCCTGCGCTCTTATTAAAGTAGAATAGAAAATTTTAATACAAGCTCGTGGCTCGTTAAGTGGAAGTCATTTCTTCCCAATTTAATTACCTTCGAGAGTAATTAGGTATCGCCTGCTATTAGTGGTGTGATTACTGACGTGAAAAAAAAGGTATCTTATTAATGAGTTTTTCGAACGTATATTCCTATATAGAAAAGAATCGATTAGAAAGGAATTTTGAATATAAGGTCGCTGACTAGATCACATATTAGAATTACGGAAAAAAAACCTGTCATAAGAATTCGAAACTTGTCTTCACAACACGTGAGCGTTGATTGCATAATAAAATATTATAGGAATCAACTTTCATTCATTGTGGATAATAAGTGCTGACGCGTGTACTTAAAAATTCCACGCGAGAGTGGATCTTTCAGAATGCAACGCACCTGAGTCATGAACCAGATTTTTCTCCTCAAGATGATTCAAATTCTTCCTAATGACGCATACCCGGAATTTCATATGTAATCCTTCAAACTGTATTCTTTGGAAGTCCTAGAAAAAAAGAAATAAATAGATTATGAAAAATAAATAATGATATATTAAAAATAGATTTACACTATATGATAAATTCTCTCAATTGTTGAAAAATATTTAGAACTTCTTTTCCGCAATGAATTAAATAAATTAAATGAATTAAATGTATTAAATGAATTAAATGAATGAAATTATTGAATGTAACTTTAATTTAATTATTGAATAATTCCGGAATATTTTTCAAAGAGAAGTTGTGTGCAAAAAAAGCAAAGAAATAAAGCCACGGTGTCGGTAATATATATTTGCAGGAATAATAAGGGTGACAAAAATGTTGAATGGTGATGCATATATGGTGTCTGCTTTTGGAAAATAGTTGAGTTCTGTGTGTATAAAGACGAGAATGTGTTGGAGACCACCCCTAACAAACTTCATCCCTTTCTGCCATTTTCCCTCGTTCTTTATGTGCAAAACAACCATACATTGACTCACACCCCAGCAAACAGAACGACCTTCCACATACATAAAATATATATCTGAAAAAACTCAATTGTCAGTGTGTAAAATGCACATGTACTTACCTACTTCTCGTCTAGCGTCATGGGGATTCCACCTCATCGATGCAGAACGGGCTAACCATCTCTACCCACAACAAAAAAAAAAAAGAACGATCATTTTTGCCTTCGATGAGAAAAGCGACGCAGCTCTTTGTTCCCTAATTGAATTCACATTTCGCTGTCGGGATTTTGCCATCAGGAATTCGAGAAGGAAACTCCTTTCCTCTATTTTCTCATTCAGCCACAACACTGTAAATCAAATTATCATTTCCTAATTAAAATTATCGGATAATTTACATTTTTATTTTTCAGAAAAATTAATTTTTTTTATTCTTTTATTTAATTTATTTAATTAATTTTCTTCTTTTAGTCATTTTATTCTTTTTTCCTACCAGTCTAATCGTATTAGTTTTTTTTATTCTTTCAGTATAAATTTATTGGAGTAAAAATTTATTACTTCCATAAAATTGATTTTATTTGGAAAAAATTTTTTTTTCACACAAACCATTGTTTTTGGAGATTTATTTCAATTATAATTTTCCAGACCTTGAAGGTGAGGATTGGACTGAAGTGAATTTATGCCTGAAATTGATAGGGAAGAACCGAAATAATAGCTACGGGCGTTACCTAAAGCGTGTGTTCTCTCATCCGAATCAGTCGAACAGATTGAATACAACAAAATGGCAAAAACAAATCAAAAATTTACTGAAGAGGGCAAAAAAAATTAATTTTAGTTTTTTTACCAATTTTTTAACCTTTTGAATTGTTAAAAAAAAAATTGTTAAAAAAAATCTTCAAAAGGTTAAAAAATTGAACAAAAAACTAAAATTTCTTTTTTGCAAAATAAAAGTTCCTTTCTATTTTTCTATTCGCATTTGAATATTTTTCTTTAAAACCATGTTTTTGTGAAAAAAAATTATAATATTTAGAAAAGAAATTTATCAAGTTCAAAAGATGAGACATATCGGAGTTTGAGATCTAGAAAAAATATCTATGGTAAAATTTTTATTATACCTGCATAGGGACAGCATTTGTGTTTTGAGAGTATAACCAGCAACTCGTCCTTTCATTTCTTGGCTACCGTGAAATTCTAGTCGCGTGTTGTCTCGTGTTTCGAGACCCCTCAAAATACGCTTTACTATTGCCAGCATTATCAACTCTCGACATTCAAAACCCACGTTTTTGAACTCCATCGTCATATATTTTCGCCTCATGAGAATCTTCAAATACCGCACTCTGAAAAATTAATAAAGAAAAAATTCATTATACACTCAGAGAAAATTAATATAAACATTTTACAAATACTTGTCATTTTTCTTCACGAAAACTAAAATAGTATATCTCGGAGGGAAAAATTTAAAGATATAGATTCATTTTTAGAAAAGGGAAATCCGGTCTGATCCTTCATTTCCTTTTTTGTTCATTTCTATTTTTCAGATTTTAGAATGTGGAATTTAGACAAAATGAAAAATAATTTTGTTTCTAGAAAAAATCGACTAATAAGAGATTATTATTAAATTAACATTTTCAGATTTAAAATAAAAATTAAGTGTTGTGCGCAGATTTTTTCTTTTTCGAATAAAAGACTATTTAATTCCATTCGACGGAAAATTAAAGTTGAAACTTAATTTGCATAAATGAATTTCACTCGCACCGTTAATTTTGAATGTTACGTTATATTTATTTTTTATTTTCAACTTTTCAAGGGGAGAATTATAATTGGAAAATTTTATATTATGAAAAAAGCCTCTAAACTTTCTGGCCTAATTTTTCTTCTCATGAATGTTGACTAATGTAATTGGTACTCGAACCTTCTCGTGTGCAGCTTCCGAGAATAAAAGGAGGTAAAATGTACTAAAGAGCATGAAGGAAGTGCCCGAGATAAAAATGCACTTTGCATACATGATTAATTCATTTTCGTGCTTTTAAATTTCTTTGCCGCGCCTTTCGGAGGGAGACTAAATCACTGAAAATAATATTCTAACTTCTTTAATTTTCTCATTATGACTTTCATTCTAACTGCATTGAAATATTTCTATTTCAAAAATCTCCTAATAAATTGCTCTTTTTGGTCCAAATTAAATTTTTTAATAATAGAAAAAACGATAATTAATCTTAGATAAAAAATTTACTAAATTAATTAACTAATTTTATCTTCTGTTAATTAATTAACAAAAGATAAAGTAACAAAAATGTTTTGATCTAAAAAATAATGCACGCTTGTCGTTGATGTTACAATGGATGCTGCGCGATATCAACACCCACAGTTCACTTTAGCTTCATCAACACGACAAGAAACGATCTCAAATGAATCTCTCGTGTCTATTTAAATACTAAACTACTGATTACTTGTATAGCGAAACATGTCTCTAATTTAAATATTACAGCGATACTCCTATAAATATCAATTTTCTTCAATTCAGCGAATGTTTTTCACTCTCTCGACACACATATATACATATCTCTCTCTCTCTCTTCTCTTTTTTTTGTTCCCCTCGCGTGCTATCTTTATCACCCTTTCGAGGTTCTAACAATTTCTTTATCACCGGAGTCGGATCTCTATCCGTTTCCTGACTCGGCTTGGAACGAAACTATGAACGCAATACTGTGTTACTATATGTTCCTGCGAATCATGAAACTTTAGTTCCACCTCGATGGCGTTATGGGAATTATGATAAAAAAACGAGTTCCAGTCAAAAGAATGGACCTTGCACGTATAACAATACTGAGCATTCTGTCTTTTTTTATTTAATAATATGCGTGGGATTTTTGCAAGAAACGAGACTACAAGAATCACATATAAGATTTTTAATGAGTGGCTCTTTCTTGGCAACCCTATTTTTTAATTTCAACATTCGGAAATTTATGCAAAAATTTTTTTTTTGTTTGAAACAATATGTGTAGATTTTGCAGGAGATTTAGAAATTTTAAATCTATGTAATTTTGTGTCGGTTAGAAAGGAATTTGTTTAATTTACCTGAATGGTTCTATCAGGATGCAAAAATGTTCCCTTCTTCAATTTTCACTGTCTTTCTGCATTTTTGGTTATTCTGAAAAAAAATTTTTATATAAGTAACCTTTTCAAGTATATAAATTATTTTTTTATTTTTTCTACACTCGGTAAATAGCAAATTAAAAAAAATTATATAGATTTCAAGTTAAAATCGCGAGTGTAAGTTTAAAAAAACGAAAGGAAGAAATAAAATTGATATTCCTTCAAATAAAATAAAATTTTTCGATGAAGTCATTTAGATTTCTAAATATAATTTAATTTTAAAAATATGAAAAGAGATTTTCGCTATGTAGAGAAATATTACTTTTACCCACCCGATTAGTGCGTATTACTTGAAATCATCGACCTTCTGATCTGTTTTTACTGCTTCTTTCTAAATATTCTCGAGAGAAAAATATTTCTAAACCATATGAAGCAGTGAGATAAATGAATATACAGTAAAAACCGCAAAAGCTGGCCAGTCACGTGACGTTTTATCCTTGAACAAACTGGCAGCTGTCGCACAGGTGGAAAGCCACATTGTGCGCCCAAGTTAGCACCTGCGACTCACGAATGTATATATGGCATTGCTTTTCAGAAGAATCGCTGCTCTATGTCAAATTTCCAAGGCGTATAATTGACCTGCCTTCCTTTTTCTTTCTTTTTTCAGGTTCAAGCCCTGAGTCCGGCGTGCCGGACATGACCATCATCAGTGACATCGACGAGACTGGCATCAATCGTAATCTTCAGGTTCGCTACGACAGGGACCAGATTTACGTATCCTTTTTGTTGCTCGCACATAAAATCTGCGCTGAAATGAAAATTAATTATGTAATTAAATTTGTTTCGTGGGTAAAATTTCATAAATTGCAGAAAAGAGAAAATAAAAGCGGGACATTCGTGCAAAGTGCGACCCAGTTGAAACTCACCTCTTTCCATTGCGAATAAAGTCTGTAAATTTTTGAGGGTTGGGGCACTGCTCCCGGGTTGCTTTGTATCCATGACAACCACCCACAGTCAGCTGGCGAACCACCCCCAGGGCTAGACTCTCATTCATCGTGGTACCAAGTTTGTCGACTTCCTGATCGACCCAGAAGATCACTCTCTTTCAGCCAACTTCAAATCAACTTCTCTTTCTCAAAAACGGGGTCACCTTCCCAACCTTCCGCGTCTGTAATTCAAATTCAAATTAATAAAAAAAAAACAAATATCACAAATACTTTTGTGAAAGAAAGCAACAAAATACGAAAAATGGTATTAATGTAATAATTGTATATTTACTTCTATGAAAAATATTTGCATTTTTGCATAAATATTTGGATTAGAGGAACTATTTTAATGGGGGAAAAAAAATTGACAAGATGAAATTAAAGCGAAATCGCAGGAAGTCATGTTATAGTTGCAATTGCCCATTAAATTAGATCATCGTTTCACACAAATCTTAAGGATTCGTGGACAGATAAGATCAAAGACTTCACAGAGCCGTGACTTCACTTGTGATCATGCTTGAGATGCAGAAAATTGCATCCAATTATAATTCCTCTCAATAGACCTAAACTGAAACAAAACTCCTTGTCAAACAGTCAAATTAAAAGCTTTTTGTGGAATTTCGAGAGGAAAAAATTATCGACAAAATTAGAAAGTAATAATTATAATAAAATGTTTACTAAAATACAAAAATATAAAAATGCATAAAAAATATACAAATACAGAAATATATAAAAATATAAATACAAAAATAAATAGAAATATAAAAATAAAAATTTATAAACAAAAATAAAAAAAGATAAATATATAAAATACGAATTGGAAACAATAAATAGTAAATAATTATACAGTTTAAAATACTAATAATAATGTAAAAATTTGTCATAAAGAACTAAAAATTGAACAAAATTGATTTTAAAATGACTTCTTGGCTTTCTGATAATTGAGAAAACATTGGAGTTTTATTTATTTTGACAACAGACAAACGGTTGTCTCGTAAAAGCCGTAATTTGTGATATGGTGTGTGTAAAGAAACTACCGCCAAAGGAACCTTTTTTTTGTCTTCACATGCTTACATCACTGACTCGTAAAAAAGACAGCCACCATTTCGTTTGGCAAAGAACTCGTCAACTTTTAAGATTTTCTTCATTACACTGCTAATAAAAAGTTTTAAGAAAAAACTAACAAGTTGAGGCATCTCAAAATCTTCACAATCTGCGACAAAAAATCCAATGTCAATATAAAAAATAATCTTTCGAATTTTTTTCTCAACTGGATCGCATATGGAAATAAATATCTTCCTTCTTTAAATAGAAATTATTTTATATTAAAATTAAACCAAATTTGCAAAATTGATGAACAGACTGAATTTGTAGTCGAAATTGAAAATCAGTTTTGAAAAGTTGAAACTGTTGAATAATAATTAATAATAAATAATTAATCTGAATAAATTGAAATTTGAAGGATTTCTCGGATATTATTTCTTCAAGTGACAGAAGTATTTTGATGACTGTCCTCCCACACTCGAATGGTCAAGAAATATAAGGATATGACCTTTATCTGTATTAACAAAAGTACATTGAAGAAATCGTAACCGTGCGACTGGGATAAAAATCTGAGAAAAAGAAATCTTTATATTTCGAGAGAATATTATTATTAATGACAATTTTTGCCCCACACGTGCTTCCAATCTGAGCAGCACGTTTCTATTTTCTCTCGCACTGTGCGCCATAATTTTGAATTTAAATAAAAAATTTGCAGTTTGACCGCACAATGTCGTTGACCCAATGCGTACGCGTGTTAAGCTTTGTTTATATTCCAAACACGGATTTTCTCCTCATGTCAAAAATAGTGTTAGTCATTGAAACGAGGAACTCATTCTTATAAACTGTTCGCGAACACGAAACATGTGTGTAAACAGTTTAAAAATACAGAAGCAGAGGGAAGTGCAAAAATAATAATTCAATTAAATTTTTCCTTTAGAATTATTCTAATTTGCAATCTAATTAACTAAATCTAATCAATTGCAAATGTATCTAATCAGTTACAACTGAATCTAATCAAGTAACTAAATCTAATTAATTGCTATTCAATCTAATTGACGAAAACTAAATTTAATAATTGAAAAATTAAATCTAATAATTAGATCATTGTAGTTGCATAATGAAATTTATGTGAAATTCAACAAGATCGAGAGTTATGAACGAAAAAAGGGAAAAAAACACAGAATCACACAGAACAGTGCGAAAAACAAAGAAAATATCTTAAAAGACAGTCGAAAACAATCAACACTCTAAAAGAAGAGAAAAAGCGAAAAACAAAAAGTCTCTTTACAGTGGAAATCGCGTCGTTTTGTCTCATCTATAACACTAGAGAGAAAAGTGCCAAAAAGATAAACGACTTTGAAGAAAGAGTGCGCGGTGTGTAATTGAAAACTGTGAAACGATGAAAAAATTTTAGACTGTCACTTTCTTTTTTGTCTAGATCGCGTTTTGAAGAGAATTGTTTTCTAAGAGCTTTGAGAGCAATTGCTGCTCAAATGTTTCCTCATTTAAACGTCCCCTTCTGTTACGCGGGAAAGCACGAGTCCTTCCGCCCTAAGCAAGAGTTTTGCACGTATACTTCTCAGAAGTGCTCTATGTGGCACTTAATAAAAAAGCTTTTGTATTTTCCACCATATACTCAAACTTGTTTATATTATAATGCAATTAATTACCATTCATAAATTTTATCACCTATGATTCTTTTTTTATGATTCATTTTTTTTTCTAAAGAATAGAAAGAAAACAAAGTATATTCTTTCAGTAAAAATAAATTTACAGTCTACCAAAATAGAATAAATAATAGTAAATATTAAAAATTATTGAATTGCGAATAGTTTTTAAAAATAATTTTTAAAAATAATTAAATTTTATAAAGAATTCAATTAAAATTTTTGAGAATAATTCAATGTTTGTGTGGCATTTTACTAAATTTTTTTTGAAAATAATTGAATTCCTGCAAACGATTTAATTAGAATTTTTTTAAAAAATTGAATTTCCAAGAAGAAATTTATTACTTTTAAAAATAATTGAATTCTTGTGATGAATATTGTTATTTATAAAAATAATTGAATTTTGCAAAGAATTTTATTAAAATATTTGAAAATAACTGAATTTCTGTGAAAAATAATAATATTTTTGTAATACTTGAATTCTTTCAATGGATTCTAACAAAAATAAAATTTTTAAGATTAATTACATTTTTTTAGTATTCCTGTAAAATTGTATTAAAAATAATAAAAATTCTGCCATGAATTTTATTATCTATTTATGAAAATAATTTAATAAATGATAAGAATTTTATTAAAATTTTCAAAAATAATTGAATTCCTGAGAAAAATTTTATTATTATAATTATGAAAATAATTAAATAATTGCGAAAAAATTTAATAAAAATGTTTAAAAAGAATTGACTTCTTGTGAAAAATTTTGTTATTTTTGAAAATAATTGAATTCTTCAGAATAATTTTGAAAAACATTGTTTTACTTTTAATTAAATAATTAATTTTTTCTTAACTAAATTCAAATTTTTTCAATTCAAATAATTGGATTCTTATGGAAAACTTTATTTGTGAAAACAATTGAATTTTTGATTAATTAATTTAAAACAGTATTAAAAATAATTTAAATTTTTTGATGAGTTTTATTATTTATAAAAAATTCTTATTTTTGCTTAGAATTTTATCAAAAATTTATTTAAAAAATTGAATTTCCATGAAAAATGTTATCATTAGCGAAAGTAATTGAATTATTTTGAAGAATCGTATAAAAATTTTGTTAAATAATTGATTTATTCGAATTTTTTTTTAAAATGATATTCTAAATTAATTGAATTCCTGTGGAAATTTTATTATATTTGTGAAAATATTTGATTTTTTTATGAATTTTGTCAATTTTTTTTAATAATTGAATTCTTTTGAATTTTATAAAAATACTAGATATTGAAAATAAATTTCGATTATTTTTTGGAAATAATTGAATCGTTTTAAAGAATTTGATTACAATTTTTGAGAATATTTTTTTCTATTTCTAGTTATTAGCGAATTTAAAGTAGTGGAAATTCTCAACAAAAAAAAACAGAAATAGTAGCTTTTAGTGGCTGAAATCTAAAAAAAGTATCCGCAAATAGTATCAAATCGTAAAAAAAGTAGTAAATAGTAGGTTTTAGTAGATGAGTGCGAAGCCAGCAATTAGAAAAACAAATTAAGTGAAAAATTTACTGAATTTAGAGAAAGACAATTAAATAAAATCTTGTCTTAAAAAGAATTCCTTTCAGTAAAATTTTCTAGTCTACCAAATTCGAATAAATGAAAATTACAATTTGGAAATGAAATCAAGCCAAAATTTTACTGAATTTAGAAAATGCAAAAATCTTGTTCTTGTGATTCTCAAAAATCATGAAATGGAACATTCATGTCGTAAAGATTTTATCGAATATTGAAAACTGATGAGAAAATTGAAGAAGACTATGAATAAGTTTTTGAAGATTGAATGGAAATAGATCAATTTCAACGACAAGGTCTTCAAAATGTCGCAATTCGAGTATATAACTTTCACAAGGAGGGAGTAACGTGATATGAGAAAAGTTTAACGAGCGTGGCAAGTATCTGAAGGTAATGTGGGGCAATGAATCGGCAACGAGCCGAACGAGGTGGACGTTTCCTGTGTAGGTGTACACAGGAATTCATAATACGTGTGACCACAAGGAAAAGGGGTTTACACTGTGGTTGAGGCATCTCTCTATATATGAACATTCCAGAATCTGTGTGAGGGGTAGCAACGCCTCTCATTAACCTCTCGTAGGCAAAGCGCTCTTTAGCCGACTTCAATTGCCTTCGTCGAGGACGAAGTGGGACGGAATAGCGAAAGGCTTGCTCCGCACATATATACTTTTTCAAACATGCAAAAGAAGAGGCGCTCGCGGTGCCCCCAAGGGGCGTCCAAAGACTCTTAAGAGGCATAATATTCCACGCGTGTTTACAGAAAGCACCGATCCAAAGGAATTAGGCCGCCAACTCGCTCCCTCTCGCCCTGGATTAAGATATCTAGGACGATTTTTCTTTTTTTTTCTTTTTGCGAAAAGTAAGCTTACCAAAATTGCAATATCTTTCACTTCTCTTCCATTTCTTGTTGGTCTTTCCTTCTTCATTCTCAATATATATTCACAATCGGTAACAAATTTTTTTCCTCTTCCCCTCATTCTTTATTGTGTCCTTTTCTTAAAGGCTGCTTAACTAGTTTTTTTGCCATTGCCCTCCTTTCTAGGTCAGTGGTCCAGATGGTGAGGTTTGAAAGCTGCGTCTGTTGTGGTGAATCTTGAAAAAATTCTACCTGAAAAAAATAATACCATAATTAATTTCACGTCGAAAAAGAAATTAAAAATTCATTTTCAAATGAAGAAAAAAAGGTTTTATTAAAAAAGCATCGAATTTCCTTTTTTTGCTGCGGTAATGTAATAATATTGTGGAAATTAAATATGATTTGAAAATCGTTTCGTTTGATATTGTCAAATTCGGGTTAATTTATTATTAAGCGTATCGATAATTTCACGCTAACGAAATTTCCTTGAAATTCGTTGCTAGTTGGAAATTTGCTATATGCGAAACATGTGGCTAACGGGAAAATTTGATCAGTGTGCGTGGGAGGGCTAAAAACTTCCCTTATCGATCGATCATAAACTCAACCCCGAAAGTTCTCTGGTTGAGGCCGAATGTTTTAATATATTTTGCAAATCTATTTCCCCTTAAATTAATTTTCCAAACGCTTCGTTAACGAATTTCGAATTATGATTCAGAAAAACTATTTTTAAACCATCAACTAATTAAAGAAAAGACAAAAAAAAATAAAGTATAAAAACTAAATATTCCATTAATTTAATTAACTATTTTATATTATTTTTCCGTTTTGTATTAAAATACCACATTAGTAAAATTAAAAAAGGCAATATAACATCTCTAGTTTGTAACATCAAGACGGGAGTTGAATTAAAGCGAACCCCTCGACATTTAACCACCTCTTGGCATCAAGTACACGCAGTTGCAGCCAATGGTTATGGTTACATTACCCCTTGGTTTGGAATATTCAGACCAGTCCAGGGTCGGAATAATATTCACAATACAAGAAGTAGTTTTGCAAAATTTCTCCAAATATCCATAAGTTACTAATTATACAATTTTACTTCCATTTCCATAAATTTCAGTTCAAAATTAAATATTATTTATAAACACAAAAAACTAAAAATAGAAATTAATATTTCGAAACAATGAATGAAATCTTGATTCAAAATTATACGACAAAATTTGATACGGCCAGAGAAAAATTTTATTTTAATCAAATATAATTTGTTTCAATTAAATAAAGGTATATTCTTCTCAGAAAATTCTAAATTATTTATTTGTTTCGAATAAAAATTTTATTCGACAAAAATATTTGAACCAACTAAAATTTATTTTTAAAAAACAAATAAACAGTTTAGTAGATTTTGAGTGGAACTTATCTTTTTTCCGGATGAAGAAAATCGAATTAAAAGAAGATTTAATAGAAATTAAAAGAAGTTCATATTTAACGTTTGTGTGAAACGAAAATTAATCTTTATAAGAAATTCGAAAAAATATAGCGATTGAATAAAATTTCGTCTAAATTCGATTTGCATGAGTCAGAGAAAAAAAATAGCGAGTAAGCAAAACAAGAGAAAAATCAATGAACAGAACTTTAGGGTTCCTTATGGTTATTAGGAAATAAGAATTACCTAAGTATAATAAATTAACTGAAATGTGTTTTTCCTTTGAAAGCCGCCCCTGATTCTGAGTCACTCACCCCTGTTTCACCCCCAAAAAATGACGTCACGTTTTGTCGTGCAGGCCGACCTAGTCGAATTCATGATAATGTCCTTTTATTACGTAAGAAAAGGGGAATGTTGTTTCATCCCTTTTTTTTCTAGGTGACGGTAATTTCATCTGCAAACTTACGTATACGAGATCAATCTATATTGACAAAAGAGAAAAGAAAAAGAAATTTAATTAACGTATACAAGAATACAATTTTCCTTAACTATTTTTTTTCAAAACAATAGACTTACACTGGATCCATTCTTGTGGCTGTGAATCCCTACAAGGAAGTGGACTATTACACATCGGTGAGTACATTTTCTTTATTTCCTCCTTCAAATCAATTATGGTAATTTCCTCTCAAATGAAAGACGGATTCTGATATCACAGGAAATTTAGTTTCTCTCTAACTCAGCATGACACCCGACTCTTATAATATTCCCCACGTTTTCTTTTCCTTATCTCTGCAATTTCAAAACATACCACCATAAAAATGATTTATAGGTAATAATAAAATAAATATAAAAATACATAACAAAAATATTATCTGTAGAAAAGTGTATAACTTTTCTTTGCAAAAAATGTTGTCTATAAATTTTAGAGCCAAGATTTTTTTTAGGCTAAAAAAATTAACACACAAAAAAGTAATCCTTTTTTTCGAAAGAAAAAATAATTTATCAATTTTAGAAATTCTTTTCTTTGTTTTGATGATTGTTATTGTTTTTCTTTTAATAGGGTCATTAAAACGATTCTGAGTCACTTATGGAATTAAAATTGACAAAGAGTGATTTCGTGTGGTCGGTGTATTATTAATCTCTCGTATAGATCTAAGGTAGCCAATTGCACTTCCGGTGATTGACGCTAACCGGAAAGAACGCTGGAGAATATTTAGTAGATATGACGTGAGGCACGCGTCAAGTCTTAATGAAAATAAAGAACCCTAGCTTCCATTGACTCATTGAGTTAAATTTGGAAAATTAGAAAAAATCAAGATAAAACTCAAAATCGAAAACGAAAATAAATTTTTCTCTTTAATGTGCGACACTAATTATACTTTTTTCTTCGAAAATCACAAAAAATATGTGATAATTTAATCATTATTCCATGTCATAATAGATCCTAATAATAGAAATTAACTGTATGACATTTACACGCGCAGGAGTCATTTTTGAAAAAAAAATTTCATATCTGAAAAGAGAAATTTTTCTAATTTTTCAAATTAACCTAATTGACAGTAAATTATGTTTATTTAATTTGTTTAATTAATATGTTATTTAAAATTGGATTAAATAGTCTTTTAGTATTCAGTGTCCTAGTAGGTATTTCAGTATTTTAATATTTTGTATTCAGTAATTTTTATTTATTCATTTTTTATTTAAGTTAATTTCAATCGAAATTTTATTTATTATTTAGAAATTCTAATTTCAATCGAAATTTTATTTAGAAATTTTAATTTTAATATTTCTTTGCAAAAATAGAGTTTCTAGAAATACGTTTTTACTAAAATAGTTATTTCTCGAATGTGATAAAATATTTAAAGTTAAATTTCTTTAGCTTACTGAAAAGTTTTTAAAATTTTGCAGTGACTGGTTCTTAAGATGCTGGAAATTCTGATAGCTTTCAAAATAATGTTTTAAAGCTTGAAATAAGCTTTTAGAAAGCTTTCTGGGGCGAGAAACTTTTAAATATTTTACTCAAACATGTATTTATATAAATAAAAAAAAAGAAAAAAAAGAAATAAAAGAAAATAAATAAATAAAAAATAAATAAATATTAAAGAAATTTTGAAAAGTTGATAAAATTTGAATCGAATTTTCTATAATAAAAATAGGAAACTTTCTAGATTTAATTTATTTTCTTTCTAAGCTACTGTCAATGTTCCGGATAAAATTGATATAAATAACTGGTGTGATTGACTATTTATCCAAGATAATAAATTGTGTTATCTTTAGTCTTGAATCATTTGTGTCACGTGCCTATCGACTGTAAAGGAAGGCAATTTTTTTTATCCGGAGCTTTAATCTTTATTTTTAGAAACCACGTGCGCGGCCAATGGCCACAAAAGCACCGCCAGGATATACTCGTGGAGTATTTCTTAGCATACAGCATCAGTGCTTCTGGTGCCTATTTTCAGAAAAAGTGCACTCAACACACTAAGAAAGAAAAACGTGTCGACAAAATTGCATCTACTCTCCGAAATTCTTCTTCTTTTATTACACTCGTAATTTACCTCCCATTTCTTCCCTTTTAAATTCTATTAAAAAAACGGAATTTTTCAACAATTTCTAAACTTGAATTTTTTCCGGAGAAAATTTTTTCAATGAAAAGCAAAGGGCAATGGGAAAAGAAAGAATTGAAGAGAAAATAAGAGAGCAACTTGAGGGGGAGTTTAGAAAATATTAAAGCTAGTGGAAAAATGATGTGAGCCGCACGCGCCTTTATATCTAAAAAAGAGAGAGATAGGGTCAAGTTCCGGCGAGGGTGGATGGAGAAAGAGAGAGAGAGAAACGGAAGTTGTTGATAGATTACTGGGTCCAGTGTCGATTTAATATTCGAGAGCAATCGACAAGGATCGTGTTAAATAAGGATGTTTTTCACCATTCTCTCTCCCCCTGTTGCAGGTCAAGATCCGATGTCGGTTCAAGTTAAAGGAAAAGAGCTACCCGCTGTGTGGTGCACGCCCCGGGTATTGATCGGGCCCGTGCGCACATTGGATTCGGAGACTCGTGTATATACTCGCAGTGGAGCTCGCCCGGAGCCTTCGTCCTTTTCTGTCTTTTGTATTCTCTCTCGCTTCCATCTCTGTTCTTCTCCTTTCTAGCCATGCTTTCCTTTCGTTCGTATAGGTTCATCATCGGCATCCCGAACTCTCTTTCATTCAACTTTCTTATTTTGCAACATTTTCCTCTCGTTTTGATCCAGTTTTCGAAATATTCTCTCGTTCTGCGAAAATTCCTCCTGAAAAAGACACAAATTCGTCAATTTAAACATAGCAATTGGAATAAATTACACTAAAAATATTAAAAATTCGATAAAAATCATAGAAAAAAAAATACTCTGGCAATTTTGTATAAGAATATAATTTCCTATCGGGGAAGAAAAGGTGATAAAATCTTGAAGAAAAGGGAGAGAGAGAAGGCGGTGAGAAGTGTTCAAGACCTAGGACAAAGACCTCTGGGTGGGGCTGTTAAACCCCAGCGGGGTATGTGGTTAAGATTTCGAATACCAAAATGGTTTAACGATTCGTTTTGGTTGTTACGAAATCGATATTCAATACTGTAACAACCGAGATTTCAATTTTGGGATTAAATCCAGATGTCGAAATTCAACATAAAAAGAAAAATTAAAAGAAAGCAAATACAAAGAAAGAAATATAATTTTTAGATGAAAAGTACAAAAAAGCACCCTTGGACTTTGTTACTTTTTAATTCTTGAGATGGAACTTCTTCTTGAGGTAGAAAATTTCATATTTTCGCAGAAAATCGCGAAAGAACAACCCTGTGGCGTTCAACACTTCGTTTGCAAAGAAGATAGTGCTTGGAAAATGCATTTTCGTGCCAAACGTCGTTTCAACCTGGGGCTGCTCTTAATTATTATATTAAATCTTACTAGACGTCGTGCTTCACTATAATCTCTTTCTTAACAATTTTCTTCTCTTTTCTTTTCATCTAATCATTGTTCATTCAAAACACAGAACATTTTAATTCTCTTTTGACAGTTACTATATATTTCAATCATGATTTAAAATATTAATAAATTAAAAATTCAATAGAGAAATAAAATAAATAAAATAAAAAACAATTGAATAAAAAAATACTAATAAATTTTAATTTTACTAAAGAAATTATTCAATTTTTCCTATTAGAACCATCTGAATGGTAAATTAATTGAACAAAATTGGGGAAAATGTTTTTTTTCGGGTGAAAAAAAATAGTTGTGGACGTTTAGCACTTTTTATGCTTCTTCCCCTAAGGATTCATGATTGTCTCAGTTACGCTTCTGGATCTTTATGACTCATGCGAGTGTAGACGATTGGACATTACATCCTTTTTACCCCATTCACGCCCCTGTTTCATTTCCTCATCCATATTATTTTCCTCGTCATCTGGCTTTCTCAGTGATAACTATTCGTTCTTTTCCGCATTGCCCTCGACCAACTGGCATTTCATCATCCGTCTTAAAAAAGTGATCCACTCTCTAAAAAATGTTTATATGATCTTTTATTACCACTTAAGAGATTTTCCACCCCACTTTGTTTATTTATTGTAATTTTCATTTACGAGGATAAAATATTTTCGCTTTTCATATATTTAAACATTTATTTAAACACTCGATTTCTATTCACATTTTTATAAATAATTTCTTTTCTCTAAAAGAAGTTGAATAATTATTCCAATAAATATTAAATATTTATTAAGAGAATTCTAAATTTAATTTATTCCATTAATATTAATAAATTTTAATTATTTGACGACTGAGTGATAGAATCATCATTACAATATTGTAACTGTAATTAATATTGCAATTATAAATGTTTTCTAAATGTGTATTTTCTCAAAAGAATTATTTTTTGAAAAAGAGTATTTTCTCAAATGAAAAATTGGAAAATTTTTAGGTCAAACATATGAATACAATAGAAAATATTTTACAAATTCTTTGTTTCTTTTTATAAAACTGGTTTAATTTTCATTTCTACTTAAAGTAACTCGCAATGCTAAGTATCTTATTCCAAACAAAAGGATCCCAATTAGACTCTCTGCGTTGAATTCATTCAACGATTCTCACAAATTCAGCAAAATATTTTTTTTAAAAGTACAGAAATTCAACCGCGGTTTGCTATTTTTATAATGAACTAGTTTCAAACACTTTTCATAATATATAAAAATTTCTTTTGTATTTAATTAGGTTATTATAAAGAAACTAGAAAAAATATTTTCCCCACAGAAAGAAAAGAAAATTTTCTATTAAAAATAATTGCCGTTAAGAATAATTAGCGGTTTGCTTTTCACTCATCTTTCTGTAATTTAGATGTGAATACGAAAAATAAATATTATCTGAATTTAATTTATTTAATTTATAAATAATATCTTTTGTCTTTTAAAATTCCTTGACTTTTCCAGGTTTTCCAGGTTAAAAACGGTATTTTTCCAAAGTTTTTAAAACGAAAATTATTCGAAAATATTAATAACTTCATTTTTAAACAAATATTTAATCATTATTGTTTTTCCAAATAGAAATTAAGATTTTAAATTTGATTTCAGAAGAATTTTAGTTATTAAAATTTTTTAAAAATCTAGTTTTTTTTAAATTTTTAATTAAATTTATTTAAAATTGAAATTTTACAAAATTTTAAATCAAAATCTTTTGAAGTTCATCTACTTATGAAAATTGTAAAAACGCAACTCTTTTAAAATTGAATTAATTTTGAAATATTTAAGTAAAATTAGATTTCAAGAATAATCACAATAACTTAAGAAAATAACAATTTTTTAGGATTTCGATAAAAATTTCCTGACTTTTTCAGGTTTTTTCAAGGTTTATAAAATTCCCTAAAATTCACAGGTTTTCCAGGTTACGTGGCAGCCCTGAATTTTCTATTTTTATAAACGATTTTCATTTATATGATATAATTAGAATATTTAAGTAAAAATGAAATTTTGAAAAACTTGATAGAAAAGGACAAAAATTTTGAAGAAAAATTAGTTATTTTTAGAAATGAAAAAATTCTAGAGAATAAAGTTATAAAAAGCAAAATCAAACCTGAATATTATTCTCATTTAGTAGAAAACTCGAACAAGAATATTGAGGGCATATAACAGAGTTGTCACATGAAATGTCGAATGCGAATCATTTTCAGTGAATATAAATTCCGATTATGATAATCCAAGTCAGGTGAATTGCAATGGGATTGAGAGATGAAAAACGAACTTGCAAGTATTATACTTTTTTGTGACAATGATAACGAGGGTGACCTAGTAATGAAATGGGCCATGTCTCTTGTGATAACTGGAAGGTTCATCCTCACCCCACTTTGGTTAAGTCTCCAGTGTGGCCTTTACTCTCTCTAGGCTTTCGACTTCTTTCTCTCATTTTCACGTGAAAGGTTAAGGGTGCACCACGTGTAAGATAATATTGTATGCGGAAACCTTCTCCTCTCATATATACATATACACACCACTGAGTTCTTAAAGAAGCATCTGGGGAATACATTTGTCCCACTGACACTGACAGCCTTTCATCGAGGCCTCGTGCCCTAATCAAGAAATAAAAACGATGAACCTAGAAAAAAAGAACATCACTTTAATATTCCACTTTTTATATCTCTCTAGCTTTTTGTCTTATTTCAAACAATACGTTCGTTCTTTTCTTCTCTAACAATATGGTAAAAAAAAAGAAACCTATTATTTTCAATTAAAATTCCCTTCTGTAATTTTTAACAATTTTAAACAATTATTTTATTTCATTTCATTTATTGTAAACGGTTTATTATAAAACAGTTAGAAATTAAAGAATTTGAAATTATATCCTTGCATCCGAATTATAAAACAGTTAAGAATTAAATTAGATTTTGAAATTATATTTAGAGAACTGTAAATAAAAATGGAAGAAAGTAAATACAAGAATACTCTATTAGATTTACGATTTGTTTTAAATTCTATTTTTGTCACAAGATTTTTGGGACAAATTACCGAAAATTACGACTATCAACGTTCCCTCTTTTTTTGGAGTCAAGTACCGGAAGCTAATTGGTATAATTACAGAAGGAAAAAAAAAGAAGGAGATTGTGGATATTTTTACCTTCACTGATTATTTTTGTCTAGAGCAGGATGAGTCTTTTGCTGTGTCTCTTAAAGCTGGCTGCGAGATAAGTCGAATAAAAAATTGGAAGAACTCCAGATTATTTCCTGCTTCATTGATTATCTGCGGATCCCTGCGGATAAAGATAAAAAATATTATTTACTTGTGTATTTTTTTGTTTTTCGTTATTAAAACTATAAAATAAAGTGTAGAAAATTTCTTTAAAAAATGACGATGATATTCGTTAAAATCGTTATGACTGAAATGAAATTGAGCTCAATTTCATTTTAGTTCTTTAATTAAATAGAGAATTAAATAAATTGTAATTAAATCGAAACAATCGAATTAAATATTTAACCTAATTGTTATTTTTTGTCTTCCCGAGAAATTGACTAATATATATTGTTCCGAAGTTTTCTGTCCATTCGGTGGAAAAGTATACAAAAATGCATTAGAAACGAATCTTTTTAAATTTAAAATAGAAATTGAATAATTATGAACAAAATTAAAATTACCTGTTTTATGTGACATCAATAAGTGCTAATTAATAGTTGAATTTTTGATAAAATCCATTTTTCTGACGAAAATATTGAGAAAAACCGTTACAACCGTTACAACTTGCTTATAACTTATTGAAGTTGTCTGTCAAACTATCAAAAGTACCAATAACTTTAATATAAAGTTGCTTTTGCAAACGTTGCAAAATGATCCGACCTTTAAGTTGTTACAAATTTGGTAATCCTGTCTAATCAGTTGCCAACTTTATGGTGTCGGTATCAAAATATTATTCTAACCTAACCTACAAATAAATTTGTAAACAAACTTTTCTGGGTCACACGGTTGACATAATTTCGAAAAATCCCACAAATTCTAATAACAATTGTTGATAAACAATATATTTATAAACAATATTTTGATAAATACAATTTTTGATAAACAAAATTGTTGATAAACACAATTTTTGATAAAAACAATTGTTGATATAAACACATAGTTAATGTTAACTAAAGTGTTACGGTATATGTAAGGTATAATAATTAAAATTCAAAAAGATGATTTCTCACCTCAGTCATTACAAAATCATTATTTATCATTTATTCCAAAGAAAAGAAGGGAAAATGAAAAGCTCGTCGCGTCATCAACTTTTAATTCTAACCTGCGTATTAAAATCCCTCATGAATAATAATCTTTTCCAAGAGAACGAAAAGAAATTGTATGAAGAATAATCTGTATTTATGACTCTGTGATATATAAAGGATAAAAAAAGGGGTAAAAGCCTCGAGAGAGAAAAAGTAACCGCGCCTGACAATGAACTGGGTTGCACTACTTGTTGATGAACTTCTGGTATCTGGTATTACATGATCTCACCTCCTGCACAGTATCATGGAAAAATATCTGCCGATGAAATATCGGATAAAATTTTACCTTTTATCGAGCGATAATTGAAACTAATGAAATTAGGGTTTAAAACCCTTTATGGATATCTGGCTTTTGAACACACGTTTGTATATGTGCGTGTGTACCTTTGAAAATATACTTGACTCAAAGCAAAAAGCACTCGTATGAGGGATGTATGCTTGACCTTCAATATCCTCACCACATATGGAGGTTCGACAAATGTCAATGTCACTCTCTTTCCCTAGTGTTTTACCTATTTGTCACGTGCACTCATGAGAGTGCTATCAAATTGCTCATTTTTTCGGCTATATACATTGAAAGAGGGTCCTCTCTTTAAATATTGAATTACCGCATATCATAAACCGCTTCATAAATATGATACATTTATAACTTTAATCATCTGTCTTTTTAAAGGAATAAAATCCGAATCAATTTCTTTGATGGAAACCTTTCAAGTTTTTTACAGTTAAAACATATAAATTATCAGCCAGTCAGAAAAAGTAAATTAACTTTATTAAATATAATTTTAAATAATTAAATATTAAATTATTGAATTTAATAAGTATTAAGTTAAGAAATTTAATAAGAGACGAAAAAGTAAACAAATTCCCATTAAAATCGAAGTCTTGAGAAAAAAGAGGATTTTGTTATTAGTGAAGATTACGAAGAGTGAGAGAATATTGAAAAATCTTTTGGTGATAGTGAGTACAAATAAATCGGAGATACCTGAAATCTTTTTTTTTGTTGTTGCAGGATTACGTGAATCGTTACCATGGTCAGAAGATGGGAGCTCTTGAGCCTCACGTGTTTGCACTCGCCGAGGCAGCCTATCGGTCGCTTCAAGACACTGATAGTAATCAATCATGTGTAATATCTGGCGAGAGTGGAGCTGGGAAAACCGAAACCACGAAATTTATCCTCCAATATCTTTGCTCCGTCACCAGTAATGTCGACACTTGGGTAGAACAGCAAATTCTGGAAGCAAACACAATTTTAGAAGCATTCGGTAATTAAAATTCACTAATAAATATTTAGGAAATTTCGTTTAAAACTTTTCCTTACAATTATTTTTACAAATTTTTCTTAATTCAATGATTTTTAATATCTACATACTATTTTAATAAAAAATTTCCCAAAAAAAATTGAATAATTTAAAAAACATTTTTATAAAATTCTTCGCATACATTCAATTATTTTCATAAATAAAAAAATTTTCACAGGAATTCAATTATTTAAAACAGAATTTTCCTAATATTTTTTGAAAAAAGTCAATTATTTAAATAGATTTTCAAAAATGTTGATAAAGTTCTTTTTATAAGAATTCAAATTTAAGAAATATTCAATTATTCAGTATAAATTATTTATTTTTGTATTTAAATAATTTCATTCTCGTAGAAATTTCTAATGAGAATTGATTTAGAATTGAAGAAAATAAAATAATGAAAGTTTTGATGTTTTGAATAATATTATTTATAAATTTCAACGAAAATTGATTGAATTTTGGAAGAATTACTTTTTTAATTTCTAATTTTCAAACTCTCTAATTTTCCGATTTTCTAATTTTCTAATTAAAAAAACAATATTTCCGAATTTAAATATTTTTGCTTTGTTACAGGAAACGCGAAGACAGTGCGAAATGACAATAGTTCTCGTTTTGGAAAATTCATGCAGGTTTGCTTTGACAACAAATGGATGATAAAGGGTTGTATTATTCAGGACTATCTTCTCGAGCAAAGTCGTATCACGTTTCAAAGTACAGACGAGAGAAATTATCATGTTTTCTATCAACTTGTCGAAGCTGGAACGCGTGACAAGGAATTCGCCGAGCAATATAAATTAAAACCCGCGAATCATTATAAATATCTGAATGATTCTGGTTGTACGAAAATTGATGGTATTTCCGATTTGAAAAAATTCGATGCCTTAAGATTGGCATTCAGTGTACTTCAAGTTCCAGCTGAAATGTGCGATGGAATTTTTCGCGTTCTCTCGGCAATTCTTTGGCTCGGTAATCTTAAATTTGAGGACGTCGATGGAGAAAGATGTGATTTGTATAAAGAGGATCATGAAATAATTGGGAATATTGCTCCACTATTGGGACTTCATATTGAAGATTTAACGAGAATTGTTCTCGAAAGGCAAATTAATGTTCGTGGTAATATTACCGAAATTCCGTTAAAGGTACAAGAAGCAAAGGAAAATAGACACGCAATGGCAAAGGCTTTATATTCACGAACATTCGCATGGCTTATTAATCATATTAACAATTGTACAAATCCAGGTCAGGATATCTCGAGGTTTCTCGGTGTTTTGGATATATTTGGTTTCGAGAATTTTCACATTAATAGCTTTGAGCAATTGTGCATTAATTACACGAACGAGAAACTTCACAAGTTCTTCAATCATTATGTGTTTGCTCTCGAGCAAGAATTGGTGAGTGAACCCGAAAATTAATTATTTCATAAATATGTTGTATAGTCAATTTAATTTAATTAGACAATTTTTATTTTTTAGTATCGTCAAGAGGAGATTCAATACTCTCATATAACATTCACGGATAATACTCTCTGTCTAGAGTTGATAGAAAAGCCACCGCGTTGCGTTTTGAAACTTCTTACGGAACAATGTCACATGCCAAAAGGATCAGATCTCGCTTATCTCACGAATCTTCACGCGGAATTCGAGAATCATCCGTGTTACGTAAAAGGTGATGATCGTCGAAAATGGGAAAGGGAATTTGGACTCAAACATTATGCGGGATCGGTTACTTACACCGTGGAGGGTTTTGTCGATAAGAACCGTGACGTTCAACAGGATGTTTTTTTCGATTTTATGTCGCGAAGTACGAATGAATTTGTACAAAAAATTACGGCATATCAAGATCTACTTGGATGCACTGTGGCTCGTGCTTCGGGGAATGCGACAACAATGTCGCGTGGCACATCGAAAGGAAAGCCGACACTTTGCGATTCATTTCGTCATCAATTACAGGCACTCGTTGACGTTCTTCAAGCCACAACTCCCTGGTACGCGAGATGCATTAAGCCAAATATGACGAAAATGGCAAACAACTATGACGAGAAATTGGTTCTCGATCAATTGAGATATCTCGGAATGTTGGACATTATTCGAATACGAAAAGATGGTTATCCTGTTCATATGGAATTTCGTGATTTTATCACAAGGTACACGTGTCTTGAGAGAGGACGAGCATCACTTCCGCGAGATGAAAAAGAAGCCGTACGTTGTTTGATGAAAAATAAAAAAGTCCCCGCCACCGAGTGGCAAATTGGTGTCAACAAAGTTTTCCTCCGAAGATTCGTTCACGAGCCACTGGAGGATGCGAGAAATAAAATTATCACTAGCAACGCGATTACCATTCAGAAAATCTGGCGAGGCTTTATTGTCAAACGTGGTAAGTAACTTATTCAATAAGATTAGTTTCTTGGAATGTTGCATCGGATGTAAATTAAAATTTTCCATTCGCAGAATATCAGCGAGTAAAGGAAGCAGCTTTGAAGATTCAACACGCGTATCGTGGCTGGAAGTCGAGGATAATGTTCATAAGAAAACGTCGAGCTGCTATTGTAATACAGTCTCATCTTCGTGGTGTTTTTGCAAGGGAAGTCGCAGCAGCTTTGAGAGAAATGAGACGTGTCGATGAGGAGATGAGGAAACGCGAACGTCTAGAAGAAGAACGAAGATTAATGGAAGAGAAGAAAGCCGCCGAAGAAAATCAGAGGTAAGAAAACGATCATTTAAACAATCATTAACTTTACAGTATCTAAACAATTATTTAAATTTTTTTTCGTAATTTCTTACAGTGCACAGTACAATGGTATTGTGGGAATGGAAGAAGGGTAAATTTCAAAATTCTAAATTAAATATAGCTAATAAAAATACATTCGTATGTTAAATAAAATATTCTTATTACAGAAAAGCAGAGGAGGAAATTGCGGCTCTTTCCCAAATGGCGGAGCAAATAAATTCCAAAATGGCAGCGTCCGAATTACAATCAGTCGATTTAGACAATCTATTCTCCTTCCTATCAGACGTGCAATCATCAAAGAGCAACCAGATCATAGAAGAAATTGGCGAGAAAATGGACGAACTGGTCGAGAATTTAGACGAGGAATTAGAGACCGTAATCCAGCAGGAGATAGAAAAGAACGCAAGGGCTGAATTAAAGACTCAAACTACCGAAGTACCGGATAATCAACGAATAAATACGAACAATAATAAACTTGGACCACCGACTCTTCCGGAACCGACTGGTCCACCTCCTCCTCCTCCACCACCACCCGCAATCATACCGAACGGAAAATCATCCTCCGACAATGGCGAACCAATTTACGAATCAGTGTTGCCCCGCGAGGAAAATGGACCAACCAGTCCGGTGACAATTAATGGCAACGGTCCCCTAATGAATGGCGATATTCATCCAAAAATAATCAAGGAACCACAAGCTGGAAGTCCACCGCCATTGGTCGAAACACGAAGTACCAGTCTTCATCAGACTCAACATCCAGTTCAGCAGCAAATGAATGGTCATGATCAACAGCAACAAGTACAGATGCAGCAGCAGCAACAGCAACAACAACAGCAATTGCAACAACCAGCTGAACGGGAACAGAGACGAAAATTCCGAGTCGAAAGAAAACTACAAGAGCTAGAGGATAAAAAAGAGATCCCCGAGAGTGAAAATTATCACGATATTATGGAATTTGCGCAGAATTATTTCAATAGTCATGAACGATCTCCAGAGGGAACTATCATGGCCACACTGACGAGAAAATCACGAGGCAAGAGTATGGAATACGTTCCGAAATATGAGATGGTGACTTACTACAAGGGATCCACGATTCCAAACTCGCATATTCATATGTATGATCCGGATAATGTTAACGTTGCCTGCTCCATATTCAGGGTAAGAATTTTTCTTCATTCTTTCTCAAGCAGGGCTCGAACTAGGTCCGTAAATCTCGTGAAGGACCGTAAATTTGCTTCAAGTCCGTAAAAGTCAGTTTTTTGGAAAAAAAGGTCCATAAAGTCTGTAATTTGATTGAGAAAAGATGAAAAGTTCATCGTAAATTGTACGATACTTGTCAAAATTTCCTTTATTTTCAAAAATTTTCCTCAATTCAATGATTTTAAATGTCTACTCTTTTAATAAAATTTTCCAAAAGAATTCAATTATTTAAAACAAATTTAATAAAATTCTACGCAAAACTTTAAATATTTTCATAAAATAATCAAAATTTCACAGGAATTCAATTATTTACAAATTTTTTTTAAACTTCTTCGCAATTATTCAATTATTTTCATAAATAATAAAATTTTTACAGGGATTCAATTATTATTTTCGTAAATAAGAAAATTCTTTTTAGGAATTCAATTATTTTCATAAATAATAAAACTCATTGCAGAATTTCAATTATTTTTAATACAATTTTAATCGAATTCCTCGAAAAATGTAATTATTCAAAAAAATTCTATTTTATTAAAATTCGTCAAAAGTATTCAATTATTTAAAAATTTATTGATAAAATTCTTTATAAGAATTTAATTTTAAGAAACATGCAATAATTGAATTCTCGTAGAATTTTCTAATAAAAATTAATTTAAAAATGGAATTCAGTTAAAATTCTAGATAATAATTGAATTTTAGTTAAAAACACGAAAAAAAATTTTATTTTAGAAAAGTTACAAATTATTGCCACTAATTCTAATACAAAACCTTCAATTTTTTCTATTTTTGACAATAATTTCTTTTTAAATAACTTAATTTTTAAAGAACTACCATAGAATTATTTTATTATTACTTAAAAATTATTTAATGAATTTATTTATCTTGATATATCACAAAATTTTTCCCATAAATTCAATTATTTTCAGTAATTTTAATAAAAATCATTGCAAAATTCAATTATTTCCAAAGTAATAAAATTTTTTCACAGAAATTTAATTATTTTCAGGAATTTTAATAAAATTTATTGCAAAATTTCAATTATTTTCAATACAATTTTAATAAAATTCATTGCAAAATTTCAATTATTTTCAATACAATTTTAATTGAATTCCTGAAAATAATTCAATTATTCTTAAACATTCTACTAAAAATGGAAAGAATTCAATTATTTAAAAATTTGTTGATAAAATTCTTTATGAGAAATCAGTTTTAAGAAACATTCAATTATTTATTTTTATGTTTAAATAATTGAATTCTAGTAGAGTTTTAAATAAAATTGAATATTGTAAATAAATGGATTTGAAAATTGTCAAAGAACCTTTTCGAAAATTATTAAAAACAATATCGATTTAAAAGGAGAATTTTAGTTAAAAATACTTGAAAATAATAATTGAATTGATAATGATTTTATCACTCGGTCATCTTTAATTATTATAAAACATGAAGAAACGATCACTCCGAGTCGAAGATTCGGAGTTATCGATGTCTTCATGTTTTATAGAATTTTGAAAAATTTAATTTATAGTTTTTTTTTTAAGTAAAATGTTCTCTTATTTGACTTGGACTGATTATATTTTTCTCAGTAATTTGTCCGTAAAGTCCGTATTTATTTCACTGGTTCGAACCTTGCTCAAGAAATCTCTATAAAAATTTAATCACCACCAAAATACTATAAACTATTTTCTTTTTTCTTTTTTCAGGATCTCTGTAAATATCTCCGAGGCGAAATGAAATTAGAACAGGAAATATTAACAATTCAAACTGTAATTGGCTATGGAATTGAACGTGAAGAATTACGTGATGAAATTCTCGTGCAATGTATACGTCAGGCGACAAATAATCCAAATCAAGAATGGGCCGAACGTGTCTGGCTTCTACTTTGTTTGGCAATTGTTGCATTCCAACCGAGTAAATTACTTTACAAATATTTTGTGTCATTTTTAAGAAAAAATCTCGCACTAGAAGGTAAATTACGTCAGTACGTGCAATGGTGTGTGGACAATTGTAAAAATACCAAAGTCTCATGTCGACAGTATCCACCGTCAACTGTCGAAATTGCAGCAATGCGACGACTTGGCACAATAGTGTGTCGCTTCTTCTTTCTCGACGGTCGAACGAAAGCAATCGATGTTCATCCAACTGACACAGCAGCCGATGCTGTGGCAAAACTCGCCGAAAAATTGGGTCTCCGCTCATTGGAGGGCTGGGCAATTTATCAAAGTCGTCCCGATGGTGAGGAGCATGTTCGTGCGCATGATTATCTTTACGATGTTATTGCAGCCTGGGAAGTGAAGCAATGTAAATTAAATACGGCACAATCGGCATTCCCGACATTGAGAAGGGGGAATAATCCCACATTGGGAAGTGGTGATAATAGATTCGTGTTTAAACGACGATTATTCAGGAATACGAGGGAATTGTCTCAGGATCCAGTGGAGGTGAATATGCTCTATTCGCAGGCGGTTTATAATGTGGTGAAATTGGACGATTTTCCGGTTTCGGAGAAGGTGGCACTTCAATTGGCTGGATTGCAGGCTCAGGTGATGCTCGGTGATCCGAAGGACAATGATCGATTGGATTATTACAGTGAAGTTGATAGTTTTCTGCCTTATCGAATTAGTCGAGCTCGAGGGGACGATGTTTGGGTTCCGATCATCGCCCAGGCTCACAGGCAGTATGGTGCTAATCGTTCGGAACTGACGGCGAAAGTCTTGTATCTCTCGTGTGTTATGCAGTATCCCCTTTATGGTACCACGATGTTTAATGTCACCTATCGGGGCTACTGGTCCTATGGCAATCAGTTGATCCTGGGGATCAATTGCGATGGTCTGATGTTGATTAAACCGGATGATAAATTCGTTTTATCAGAGTATCGCTACCATGACGTGGAGAGTATAATGCTCGATCCTAGTGATTCGTTTATTACCATCTCATTACTCAGACACAATCCGGACAGTTCGCATAAATGTTTCGTGTTCGAGACGACGCAGAAGAACGAAATCGGAAGTCTGATTGTGAGTTACTGTCCAGCACTGGCGGGGTGGATAACTGAGAACGAAGCACCAATGAAGAAGATGAAGGGTACGACGAATGAGGATCGGATTCGTCTCTATCATAACCTGGTGAATTGTCGTAGAACTCTGGTCGATTCGGAGGCTTTGCGTAAACCCCAAGACACCGGCGGTGGATTTTTGAGAAACACTCTGCGACGTTTGTCGAAACATCGGATAGAGAAGCTTCGTCAGGAGCATGGCAGTTCGACGGATCATGGAGAGACTTATAAAGGTTTTCACTACGGTTATTGGGCGTTCAGTAGGCAGTGTGTTCCACAGAGTTTGTCGAAATTACCCGACGCTGAGGAGCAGATCTCCCTGAGTGTGTTTCAGTTAATCTTGACGTACGCCGGTCTCGGGCAGAATGGAGACACAGTCAAGCGGGTCGAAGACGAGCACGTGAATCTCATCCAAACTGTGATGGAGCGCTGCATGCGGAAGGAGAATCTCTTAGGGGAATTGTATCTCCAGTTGATCAAGCAAACCACAGATCATCCGGATCCAAACAGTCGGGTGAATCTCAGACACTGGGCTCTCTTATCCCTGGCGTGTTCGGTCATCCTCCCGCCACAGAAGATCATCAGGAAATATTTAATGTCTCATTTGAAGCGTTGTGCCAGTGACTACGTGACCGAAGAGGGTAAATACGCTCGTTTCGCCGAAAAGTGTCTCTACAAAACCCAAGGGACGAGACGAAGACAGTGGCCCCCGAGTCGTGAGGAAATCATGTGCACTATCAATCGACGTTTAATTTACGCCCGATTTCACTTTATGGACGGACAATACCACGCTGTTGAGTTTCATCCATCGGCAACGGCGCGTGACGTAATGGAGATCATAAAGGCGAAAATCGGTCTCCAAGAAAATGCGATGGGCTATGCTATCTACGAAGTTCTGGGATCTTCCGAACGTTCGCTAATCCCCGAGGAGAAACTCGCCGATGTTATGTCAAAATGGGAACGTTATCGAACAGCCAGCGCAACACAGGGACAACCAACCAGAAAACACGCCCACCATCTATTCCTATTCAAGAAACATTTATTCGTCGACCAGTACATGAATCTCGATGATCCGGTCGAAAAGGAATTGCTCTATCATCAAGTTTTACACGATCTGCGAGCGGATCGATTTCCAATCACCGAAAAGGAGGCGATGATGCTAACCGCCCTTCAATCGCAAGTGGAACTTGGCGACAGTCAGGACGTGGCAATCGGTGAGGAATACCTCGCAATCGCCGGACATTGTCTACCCACTCGAATTGTTGCCAATCTATCAATAGAAGGAGTCGTACAGCATCATCAATCCCTACGTGGAATGCATTCGCCAGAAGCGAAAAAATCCTTCCTGAATCTCATTCAATCTTGGCCATTGCACAAGGCAACGATATTCGACGTAATGCAATCATTTACCTCAAATTGGCCGAGAATCCTTTGGCTCGCCGTCGATCAGAAGGGTCTCCATCTCCTTGAACATCGATCCAGGAATGCCCTCTGCACCTATGAATACGGCACCATCTTGAGTTTCAGTCCAGCAATCAATTGTCTGATGATCATCACTGGAAGCGATAAAAAGCAGAGTAAAGTTATTCTCACTACTTCACAGGTGTGTTTTCTCTCTTATTTTTTACTATCCTTCTATTTTCTTTTCTAAAATTAATACCTTTTTCATTATCATTTCAGGCCTTCCAAATAGCAAATTTGATTCGTGAATACACTGAGGTACTACAAGCACCGCCGGATATTCCTAAAAGAGATTCCACGATTGTACAGCAAATTAATCAACAGCATATTGTTCCTGCAACGCAGCAAGGAAATCGTAAATCCCGACCAGCGTCGATGTTGCATCGAGGAGCTCCTGTGATTCATTCCCAAGCTAGTTAAAAAGTCTGAGAGAAAAAACGCGCACACTCGTTTTTTTAATAGTTAGTTAAACTTATTTTTTTTTGCCCAGGAGGCCTAGCAAAAAAATGTTACAAATTTTTTCTTTTTCGACAAAGACAATCTGAATCTTTCAAGGAAAAGAAATTTTAGAGGTGTACAATGTAGAATTTTAATCGAATAAAAATTCTATTTGTTCACTTCTATTCATGAATAAAAAAAGGTACTGGGTACTTCTTCCAATGTATTTAAAGCTTTGATATCGAAAGAAGAAAAGCAACTAGATTAATATTAAAATTGCCCCCCAAGTTTTCTGGTAACTTATAGAATTCATTAGACAAAGCGAAAAATACTGCCATAGAAAAAATAAATTCCACGATCATGTATTTGAAAAGTAAAGTCGAAAGAAATAACGCAATGACATTTGATAATTTAATTGAATTTATTAATCGTGTCATCGTTTTTATACATACGCGTCATTGCTTTTCTATAATACTCGAGTTTTTTGATAAGAGCTTTATCGTGTTTAATAAACTCTCATCCCCATTTATCATTCGTTACCGAATGCCAAATAATACTTTCCTCTAGATTACGTCAGTATTTAGAAACCGAAAAAGGCAAAAAAAATTAATCTTTTTCGACATTTTTACAGATAATTATGGCCAAGTTACCAATTTTTAATACATATTTACATAACGTATAAATCGGGATTTTTTCTTGTTTATTTCTCCGAAATAACAGAAACAAGACTGCCGGACTATTGTTTTTGTAAAAAAAAAAAAAGAAATCGAAGATGCAATTTCTAGGTGCCAATTTGAATTTATTAATCAACCTGCGAAGTATCTGAAAAAAATCCACGTTAGAAATTGGAAATTTCTAATTATTGTATATACTAAATTTTTATTTTTTTTATTTTGTTAGTTATTGAAAGAGAAAATTAAATTTTTTATTTATGAATTATTTACTCTTTTTTTAAAGTGTGAAAATTTTTTTAACGCTTTTAAAATAAATTAACTAATTAATTTAACGAGTTTTTTTTTGAAAAACAGTTTTGCGTAGAAATTCGCAGGGATAAACTGTTTTAATTTCAAAAATTAACAGGAAAATTTTTATATGATCTCAGAAAATATTCTCGAGAAGTAAGTTTTTGCAAAGCTTTATCTTTTAAATCGAATCTCGAAACGTAAAAGACGATTTTGATTTTTGTACCTTTTAAACAAATTTCTCTCCGATTTTGTAATTGTATAATATTAAAAAAAACAAAAGTTGCTTTTGCAACACGCTTAGAATTGTATCAACGCATATCACAATTCAATTTTTTACCGATTTAGTAACAATTTTAACTTTTTTTTACATATTTTTTAAAATCATTTTTCTACTTTTCCTACCAAAAGAATATCGAATTTCTTTTAAAAAAAATCACGTTCAAGTATTGTGCCTCGAAAAACATTACTTTTCTTTTTTTTTAATTAATCCGAAATCTACTTTCGCATGTAAATACGATGCACATATAAAGAAAGCTTTGGAAATATTCCGATCAAAGAAAGTTGAAATTTTAGGAAACATTTACTCGATATTAATTAAAAAAAAATAAATAAAAAAAAACCGATTCAATCGGACCAAGATATCAAGCTCGATATTTACGAGATTCGCACAAAAGCAAACATTACGAGAAAAAAAAGAAAATAGATTAATTTGTTTTTTTTTTTGTTGAGAATTTGGCCGAGCAAATGAGTGCTGAGACAGACTGTGATCCGCATTGAGTGTTCTTTTCTTTTTAAGTCTTCGAGAATGAAAAATGTTTTTTGTATGCATGGAACTGAATGAAAGACATAATAGATGCGGTGAATTATATAGAGGTGTGACTGTAACATAAGAATAAAAGAAAATTGTTAGAAATTATGTGTGAATGAGTGTGTTACAACTTATAGTCAAATTGCGAGGCGCTTAATGCGTTTTTTTTTAAGTATAAATAAATTATTGGTTGACAATGTTATTAAAAAATTTATATATATAAATCAAGAATGCTCTGTATATAATATATATAATATACGCATACGTACACGCTCACTCACACTTACAAATGCGCGCCTACGTATTATATTATATAAATATATATTAATATACTCGAACTGTATGAGAACACAATAAAGTCATATTATATTGCAAAAAAAACTGTTCCTAAATTAGACCTTAAAATCTACAATTAATTAGACCTTTTCAATAAATAATAATCACTTGCCTTAGAACATTTATTTATTTAAAACAATTACGAAGCGATTAAAAATTCTTTCGGTTATTACACAAAGATGTCTAAATACAATGCGTATTGATTAAAATTTAAAATTAAACAATTTTATGCTTAATTGCATAAATATACAATTTTTAAATTATAGTCACAAGTTTAAAATTAAAAAATTAATAAATTACTTTTTAAAAATTACGTTTTTTATACAACTAGATAATGAAGATTAAAAATTTGTTCTTTCGATTCTGAAATCTACACAAACAATTTTGTCTAGCACTTTAAATTAAAATATAATTATGATAGTTGCAGAAAATAATGTACAGCGAAAAAACAAATACCTTTCCTACAGGGAAAGCATTTCCCGTTTCTTTCGTATCCTTTTCGACCTTGTCGCTTCTTCCTGTACGGTTTCAATTTCATTTTCTAATTTTTTTCGTTTACTCGATGGTTCCTGGGAGTCATCATTTTCTTCGTATTCTTTGTAATCATCTTCAAAATTAATTTCCGATTTAATGATGCATTGTTCGACTGAAGGAGGCGTTGATTCGATATCAACATTTTCGTGGACTTCCATTGAACTTGATTCAATAGGATTAAATAGTTGCATATTCAAAAGATCTTGAAATCGTTGTTGTCCCTGCATTGGTAACAATTCGAAATTGTGTCGCTCTAATAAACTTCTTTTGTAGAAAACATTTCCATTTTTCGTATATTTCAACCACATTGCTTCCGAACTTATGTAGCTATCATCCTCGGACGTTGCATCTTTCCACAAACTTTCAAAATCAATAAACATATCCGGCTCCATAAAAACAATATTTTTGTTGACGTTGCGCTGTGCGATACTCTTGAAATTTTTATACCAATCTTCGGGTTCCTCGGCTTTAATCGAATGATTTTTTAATACATCGCCAATCCAATCGTCATTGAGATATTCCTTTAATTGTGCATGCCCGGAATATGTGAATTTATGATCAACCGAAACAAGCCACTTTTGATTCGTCATTAAATAGGAAAACATTTGAGCGAGTGTTTTATTTTTACTCTCGCCATGACACGAGGATGAATAAATAATCAATGATTTCAATTGTGGTGGTAATTTTTTAAGATACTGAAACAAACAGGAAGCAATTTCATTAGCTGAACGTTTACCTTCAATTTGTGTCCACACGTAGAACATTGGATTACTCAGTAAATGATTATTCGACAATTGCCAAATTGTCAGATTGAAAATTGAAAGTTGCTTCGATTTATTTCGCGATGGTATTGGGAAATTTTGTTGAAAACCAAATGAACAGACCATCATGGAATTAATTAGACGTGCTGATTCCTCTTCTTGAAATTTACATTTATAAACAATTGTCGAAAAATCCAAATGATTTGTTAAACGCTCGCAAATTTTCTCCCGTAATAGAAGACTTTTCATGTTTTTAAATCGATCCGAGTATGTTTCACATTCGTCGCATTTGTCAATAAATGGCGGTTTATAATTCACGTTATTCACTGATAAAATATTTTGATACCAGCCAATACTTAGAGGATCGGTGATTTTTTTCTGATATTGAGAGTACATTGTTTGAATGTTTATTTTTAGTGGATTCCTCCTCATTCGGGTAACTAGATAATCATGAATGTGTTCCTGTGCTATTTGTATTTGTTGAATTATTCTGCAGGGTGTAAAGTTACTTGATGTACTCGGGGAATCTTTGTAATTTTCACTGCTAGTTTCATTAAGTACGGTCAATTTTTCCTGTATTGTTAATTGACTCATGTCGTCGTGATTTTCAAGTTGTTTCGGTTCTTTACGAGGAGGTTTGTAATTCCTTCGTACTTCGATTTTTTGTTCTTTTTGTGATTGATCTTTCTTGGCTTCAATGTTTGATTCTTGTTGTCTATCATTGTTGACTGCTTTCATGGAAGAAGAGGATGAGATTTGTGTATCTTGTTGAGAATTCGTCACTGGATTAATGGAGGCGAAATTTTTAGTCCCTGAAACTCCGGGTTGATCATCATTTGTCGGAACTGGAGCATTGGTCATTCTTTTTTCTACAAAAAATTAAATGTTGTTAATAACAATTATTTTTAACTAATTTTTAGTTGATGATTTTAAAGAACTTACTGATACACGCGATTCCTGTGTTTCGTAGAACAGATTCGACGAAACTGAGAGTCTCGCCGAGAACGAGACCAAAACATCGTTTGCAAACACGTTGAGGGCCAATACTTGAATTATGATAATATTTTCTTCTCGCTGACTTTACATCCTTAGAAGATCGTGTTTTGTTAACTTTCACAGAGGCCTTAATGAAATAATATCGCGAATGAATTGTCGCATCTTGCCAATAGGAATTGTAAATATTTTCCTGATCCTGACTTTTAATTGTTAAAAAACAACCATTTCGACAAGGTTGCAATTGCGTCCAGCCTTTGTGTAATTTTTCCGTTCTAAGTAGTTTGCTCGCTGGACAATCGTAATCAGCTGTTTTCCATTTTGAAATGTCACTCTTCATTTCTTCGCCTTTCGAACTCCCAGTGATACGCTCTTCCAATTCTGTCTCAATTTTACGAACTTCGTCCTTTATTCCATCTGTAAACAAAAAAGGTTTTATAAATTTTTGTTAAAATTTGAATCTAAAAATTTTCTAATATCAACTTACCAACGAGAGACTGTGCCTTCAATTTTAATATCGTTAAAACGTCCGTCGGTCGATCACACAGCATTTTTGTGTAACAAAATTTACAAAGAGCCTGAGGACCACGATCCGTATCAATGACAAATTTAATTGAAAATTGTACTTGTTCTTCGGGAAATTTTTTATTTCTCATTGATTTTGGTCCAACTTTAATTGTATCGTAGATGAAATTAAATCTTGATTCAGAAGTTCCTGTATGCCAATGATTGGTGAAAATACGTTCCTGCTCCTTTGGTGTTATCTTTAAATAACAAAGATTCGAACATTGAGCGAGTGGTTGAAAATTTTTCACACTCCTCAAATCAGAAGAATTATCATTGTTTGTCGTATTCTTCATTTCGGGCAACATTACAAAATTTTTCATAATATCGATTATATTTTGTTCATTTGTGTTTTCGTAGAATTTCTCATTGAATGATTTTATTTGTGAATTGTCCGTTTTCATAAAGAGAGATGAATTATCGTCGAATAATTGTTCGGATTCAACAGTTTCCTCATCATCGTCTGACTCGTCGTCGGAAAATTCTTTGTCAAACGTTTTTTCATTTTCGATGTTGATTTCTTCTTTTACAATACCCACATTCGTTGGAATTTGATTGGAATTTTCTTCTTTCTCATTTTCTTCAGATTCGATTGAATCATCGTAGTTTGATTCTACTTTGACAATATTTAGATCAAATGTATGTTTATCTGAATTTTCGCTAAGTTCTTTTGCTTTTGAATTTTCCTCTTGTTCCAGTTTTGAATTCTCTTCCATATTTGGATTAGAATCGGAAGTTGAATCGGCAATTTCGTTTAATTTACTCGTTGATAATACCGATATTGTTTTAGGATTATTAGTAATTGTTTGTGAATTTGAATTCTCGGTCTTTAAATTTTGATAAAATCCATGAACTCGTGAATCGAGGAAAGGAAATAGATTCAGGAGATTTTCCTTCTTTTTCTCACTAATTAAAGTCGGTTTAGGATTTTTGAGAATTTTCGAATAATTTACACTTTGGGATTTTGTATAATTTTCCGAGTACATAACTTCAAAGTTGCCCGTCCATTTTTTCTTGAAATAAACGTCCCCGGTTTTTGTATATTGTACACATGTGACATCGTCATCAATTTTTCCTCCGTCTATTGAACTATTGACCTTTTCGCCAAGAAGACAATTTAAATCGTAAAATTTACTATTATCCATAAGAATAACTTCGGATCGATTCTTCTCGGCAATATCGCTTAATACTTTGTACCAATCGCCTGGTTCCTCAATTTTACCAACATTGTTTGCTAACACATCTTGACACCAGTCACTTTTTTCATTTTTATCTTGATAAAAATGTCCGTCTAATAAAAATTTGTGCTCGATGAGAAGTAACGAATGATGATTTACGACAATGTTGGAAAGAATTTTACAGAGAAGTTTACTGCGACTTTCACCATTGCATGAAGTTGAATAAAAAATAAGTGTTTTGATGCATACGGGTAAATTTTGAATGTAGTCATATAAACACGAGGCGATTTCATTTACTGTCTTTCGCCCCTGACTTTCGTCCCAAACATAAGATTTAAACATACCTCCGGTTACTTTCGTTTTTGTTGTTTCCTTGACTGTAAAATTGTACGTCCACAATGGCTCTGTGTAGTAATGAAGTGGATTATTCACCAAAGGGGTTGGTAGACTTTGATGAAATTTAAATGTACAAACCATGAGTGAATGGACTTTTCGTTTTTCGTCACGTGTTTTAAAACTATGTGATTTCAATGCTCCATTTAAGTGTGACGAGATAAAACTCTCGAGATGAATTTTATTTTTCGCTAAATTTGTTGATTGTGATTGTTGTCTTGCCACCTCGCACTGTAAACATTTCTCAACAACTGACGATAGAAATCGTAATTTACTTTTATTTACAATCTTTTGATAGGCGAGAAAATTCATTGCGTTTGGATTTTCTGTTTTATAGAGATGATACATTGTCTCGAGTGTTAAACCTCTTGGTAAATATTTTTCATTACCATTATCGGTTACGTGATGACTTTCAAATAATGGAAATTTGTTGAAATGATTTATAACTTGATTGTATTTCTCACCATTCTCCAATTCAGAACTCATTTCACTCCATTTCTCGTCTAAAATTTCATTTGTTATACAAATGGATTCTTTGAGTATAATATGAAAACAGTTTGTACATACAAATTGTCGACCACAACTTGTGTCGAGATGAAATTTACAATTGTACGGCTTACTGGAGCCACCACCTTTCATATTATTTTTGTATCGGATATTTTCCTCAATATCGGTCCTATCTAAAATGAATTTACATCTTTGCTCTATTGTTGTTTCGTGCCAATAGTTGTAAAAATTTTGCTTCTTCTCTTCGTCTGATACCATTATAAAGCATTTGATACTGCAAAGTGCACGGTTTTGATTTTCCGAAGAATTATTTACAACTGAATTATTATCTGCATCTAGATTGAAATGAAAATTGTAAAATTAACTATTACTAAATAAAGAATTCTTAGGGGATATAATTTCTTATTGAGAAAAACTTACCAGAGAAACTAATTAATTTTTGAGCTACAACTGCCTTGATAAATTGTCCCGGTTCTCCTAAAATTGAACGAAAACAGATTCTGCAAACAGTCTTTTTTCCATCGACAGTATTAAGAGAGAAGACAACGTAGTATTTTTTTTCTCCAATGTGTATAACACTGCCATGAATGCTCTGACTTTCATGTGGTAAACACACGTTTGACATACTAGTAATGAATTTATATCTTGAAGCGACTGTTGAATTATTCCAATAAGAATCGAATACATTTTTCTGATCTTCTTCACTTATTTTCAGATGACAATTATTAATACAAGATTCTATTTTCATCCATTTTTTTGGTTTGCTATCAATTTTAGCAAAAGTATCGATATCAGTTGTTAATGAAAAAGGGTCGTCCTTTTTTTGTGTCTCTTCTGATGATAGCTCAAAAGAATTAGCCAAATCCATACCTGTAAATACAGAAATATTACTAAAAATTATATAAATAAGAAAAATATATTTCAAAATAAGATTTATTTTTTAAATTTACTTCTTAAAATTACAGTTCAAGTAAATAAAATTTTTATAGTGGAAAATGACATTTATGACAGCGGAATCAATAAAAATGCGACAAAATTGATCTATTATTTATAATTTATTTTAAGTAAACTAGAGTCAGGTAAATTAAAAATTGTTTCTTATTAATAGAAAATATGAAATCTATGAAATTAAAGTATATTTTAAAGTATTATCCACGGTTAATTGGGTTAATAGCAATAAGAAATTGCAACATAAACAAAAATACTTAACCTTAGAGTTCAAATAAATAAACTCCGATTTTAAATACAAATTAAATAAAATATTTTACCTTCTTTAGAGATAACTGTAAATGCCAATGGAGCATTTTTATCGATTGTAGTATCCATTTGCACAAATGTTTTAATTCCTTTTTAACATAATAAATTAATTAAATGCTAAATTACAAACACATATCTGTAAATATTGACCCAACCTAACTTATAGTTTTGGACAAAAACGTCAGCGCACTCTACACTAGTCAAGAAGAAATAGTTTCTCAATGACTTTAGTAGTAGTTTTGCCTGATTAATTTTAATTTATTAACAATAGACGAATATATTTAATTTGCAATACAACATTAAAATTAACAAGTTAATTTATTATTGCAAATTTTTCTCGAACAGAGGAAGAATTTCTTTTATTCAATTTTGATAAATAAAGAAACAAAAAATGTTATTCAAATCATAAATTTAACCGGAAGTTAATATTTCATGCATTGTGATACGTGGGCCACTGAACTTGTCTACCAATCAGCGTTTTTTGAATTTCCCGCCGAATGTAATGTTCAACCAATCAGAGATTAGGAAAGTATTGTTCTGCACAGACACGTTCCATTTGATATTCTCCTCTTTTGAATGTTGGCGTCCTTTTGTTGCTGCTCACTTTTCCTACAAAAATGGTAAGATTTTGTTGTTTTTGTTCAAGGAGTTTATATTTTAATTGTTTCTTTAAACGGGCGGAATGATATGTTGTAAAGATGCGAACAAAAATGGCGAATATAGTACAGTCTATGACACAAGATGTCGAGAATGTGTTTCACCATTTTCGTAGTCTTATTTTATCCACAAAAATAGTAACATTTAGTCATTTTTGCTCAAATTTTTCATGCTTCATTTGTTTTTCAAACGGGGAAACAATATTTTGTAAAGATTTGATTATAAATGATAAAATGGAACAGTCCATGGCAAAAGGGTAGTCCTCTTTCAGGGGTCACAGTAGGCCCATTGACGCACGCATTGTCGCTCCGTCTAAATTTCGCAAAATCCATAAGAATTTCGGTAAATCTTACTAAATTTTGCAGGTTTTCTCATTATTTCATGTTCCTCATCACTGTGTGTGCAGAGAATTACGAATATTTTCGATATTTGGGACGAAATAATGAGAAAACCAAGGAAACTTTTTCGACAATGGAAAATTTTCAAAATGGCCGCCATGCATTGACAATTGTAAAATAATAGTATTTTTTTACTTTTTTCAGATTTCTACTTGGTTGTCAGCGTGGATCCTTTGCAAACTGTTCCTTGCTGAAGTTGTTTAAGACTCGGTCTATTCATTTAAGGTTATGTTTCAAAATTTTCTGGAAATCCGGAAATTTTGATTCATTGCCAGAATAGGGATCTCCGGGGATTAAACAGCTTTAAAAGGATCATTTGCCGCCGAGAATTTCGACTTTTGGTAAGATTTTTTTTAATAATGGCAAAACGCATAGTATTTATAAGAAAATAGTTTTTGCCGACAATCGGCATTTTTTTTGCTTCCGGACGGAGAGTTTCTCTTCGTGCCCCCCCCCCCCTGCATTTTAGGTTATCGTTATCGTCAAAGTTGTCAAAGTTTATTAATTTGTTTAATTTTTTAAACCCTTCGAATATTTACGATTTTTGGCAATTATTAATTATATTGTTTCCGCGTACTATATATTGTAACCTCTTTTCGTTTTGATCTAAAATTTTTATTACAATTTTTTTACTTTTAGCAGTAATGTTTTCATAAAATAAATATATTTTTGGTAAATTTTGATTCGATTTCTGTCGTGTTTTTAATTTTTCTCTTAAATTCTGGTGGATTTACAGTGAAAAATATACTCATTAAATTAAATATTAGAAGTTTGCTAAATTGAATTTTACAATTCTTCTAATTAAATTAAATCCATTTTTATAAAAAAAATTTTGTTTTGTCAACAATAATAATTTTGTAGGTTAACTTCGATTCACACTTTGTTTATATTTTTTTTCTAATGGAAATTAAAATAATTATTCGTAAATGATAAAATATAAATATTTTCTTAAATGTAGAATTATCAATTATTAAAGTACAATGTTTTTAGAAATTTTTAATTAGAATAATTAACGAAAACTTATAATTACATTAGTAGAAAAACAAACTTTGAAATCATTTGCAATGCATTTATTTTATTTCATTTTTTCAGGGTCGCTTGTGGGTTAAGAGGACAAAAACATCAACTTAGCAGAATAATTTTCAAGTTTCGAGTCAGTGTCGGTGTGAAGAATATTTGAATGGAACAATATCAGAAACAGGAAAGATGCAAACTCTCAGAATTTCCCCTACGGACTCGCAGAAATCGTCAAAAAATGGTTAGTTACTTTTAAATTCATAAAATTATAATTATTTTGCAAAATATCTTTTTGATTCACTACTTTCAAAAATAATCAAAATTAAGACAAAAATGTCTTGGATTATTTTGATAGAAAACGATATTATTTATCAGTAATTTTCGTGAATAGGGATAAAAATAATATATACCTACAAGTAAAAAAATATTCTTTTTTATAAAATGGTAGGATTTAGGGAAATGAAATTTTAAGAAATCATAATTTCCAAATAATGGTTTTTATTCATTTAAAAATTGAAACAATAAAAAGTCAAGTTATATTCAATGTCTCACTAATTTTTATTAGTGAAAAAGCTTCTGTCAAACACTTCATTACATTCATTTTACACAATAAATATACATGCCGATATCAGTTTCCTTTGTTCCTTCGTTTTTTTTCATTTTTTTTTTACTTTTCTTCGTTTTTTTCATTATTTTGTGTATATGTGTATATATCAATGCGAATCACTAGAAATTGTTTTTGCAGATGAATAGTATTTTACTGATAAAAATGATTTCGTGGTTCCTTTTCATGTTTTCTTTTTAAAAAATCTACTTAAAATTATCAAAATTATATAATAAATATTTTTAGTAAGTTCCAGCGAATACGAATTATCACATAAAGCGCTATTATTTCATCAGTTTTTACGTTTTGAAAACGTAATTTTAAGTTGAACACATTTTTTTGCGTTAATACGTATTCACTATTTTACAGTTTACAATTTCTTTTTGGGAGTAACAATTTTTTAAAATATATATTATACATGTATAGATTAAAAGTTGTAATTTTTTTTTGTATGTAGAAAAATTGCTTTTGAAAGTCTCCAATGTAGACTTTCTTTTTTTTATGAAACAGCAAGGAAACTGAGGCAACATTTTCTCTCAATTTGATATTCACCATCCAATAAATAGTGAAAACAATTTTATTCATTAAGCATAATATTAGAAATAAAAATTTTGTATTGCTTGCAGATTATTTATATTTATATATATTATGTATATAGAAATTAATGCAGTGATAGTTTTTATAAATGAGAAAGAATAAAAATTGCTGAAAGCGCAATTTAATTTTTTTGTATAGAAAAGAAAACCATTGTTTTTAAATTTTGATAAAGTCGCGCAAAAACTAGTAACAATTGTTTTTTTAATGATCTTTTTCATAATTGACTAAATTTTTTTATATTAATTTTTAATCACTAAAAGGGCATAAAAATCCCTGTAAATGCGAATAATACGCACCTGCGTCTGATATTTTTATATTCAATACATTATGATTTTTTTTTATTCGAGTAACATTGTATTTACAAAAAGAAAATCCCATTGTGACAAAAAGTTTTTTTTTTCAAATTGCACTACCTAAAATTTCATCTACAAAATTTTTTTTTCATTCAGTCCTTGCAGTTGCGTTTTTTTGTGCTAATCGATCCCAGTTTTTCTACTTCTCTGTGGCAGATTTTTTGAAATCGATTAGCCATTATTTTTGCATAAAATCGTAAAAGAGTAGTTTATATTTTTTACTCTTGGATTTTGTCTTGCTCAAAGTATTTATTTTAATTTAAATTCAAATTGAATTTACAAATTAAAGTCAAATTTTATTTTCTTACTCGTAAAATCTTAATCCTAATTAAAATTCAATTTAAATTCATATTAAAATTTTGGAGCAATTTTTTTTCGTCTAGAATTCGACTAAGAATTTAATGTTCTTCTTTCGATTGTACTCTCACACTTTTTTACATTCTTTCTCTTTTTCTCGTGCACGCACCTAAGAATCAAAATTTTTTTCGCAAAAAATCATGTTTCGTTATTTACAAAGTTTTTTTTTTATCTTTTAGTCATTAGGACTTAAAATTAAACTCTTCAGCGTATTCAGAATTCTGTTCTGTTAAAAATATTTCAACAGAGCATTTTCTTTTAATTAATAGAAATAATGATTCTATTTTTATTTAATTATAATTATAATTAATAATTTTTTCTGTGATTTCATTTTTTCTTGTCTTGAAATTAAAAAAAGTGTTGAAAATTTCAAACAGAACGGAATAAATTCGTTATCACATCCCATTAATGAGATTAGATTAAAAATAACTCCCCGCATAGAGGAAGAAAATTATAATAATTAATAATTAATAATTTAGAATGTTCATTGCTTAATTAGCCTACTTACAATTGCTCAGGTATGATTAACATTCTATAATCTATGATCCGGTGTTCTCTTAAGATTAAGCAAGATTAAGAAAAATCCCTAAAAATGTATTATTTGATATATACTATTTTGTACAAGTGAAATGAAGTAATATTTGATATACGAGTATTTCTCATTTCAGTACACATGTCTTGGACATTTCGTCCGACATAATTTTTTTTTTTTCACTACATTAATGATAAATTCTAAACTCCCTTAATCATTTAATTTTATGAACTTGACTTTTGCGAAAGCTCTCTAAAAAAACAAACATGATATACACGCGTTCTTATTACAATCTCACGTTTACCTAAATTTTTCGATTGTGTTTTACATTATTTTTTCTTTTTTCTGTTTTTTTTTGTAACTTTATAGTTTATTATATAATATTGTTTCTTACAAAGATTCAATATTTTAAAAAAAGTATTCTCACTTTTTTGTGAAACTTTAAAAGGATTGCACTCTCATAAGAAACGTCACATTTTTTTCTCCCTTTTATATCTTTATTAATTTTAGTTACTTGATAAAGTTTCTATTAACAACTTTACGATAGTAAATAATTGTGTCCAAATTACAAAAGAGTGTTGAATTTTAAAAAATAATTTCTTAAAAACATTTTTAATTAAAAGTAAAAAAATACTGATCGTTTTTCTTTTATAAGTGGAACGTACAATCGAGTAAAAGTTTAAATATCACAAAACGAATTCTCTATTTCGATGATAATTAATATTGCTTAATAATTAATTCACTTTTTGTGAGACTCAGGATTATTTTTATCAACTATTTTATTTTGCCTTATTTTCAATTAACTTAAAATTAAATTATTAAATAATTTACTGCATTTTTATTTTACTAAATTTTCATACTACCGATGAAATTAAGTACTTGTTATAATTTCTTATGTTTTGAATTTTGATTATTTATTTATTTATTTTACAAGTTTGTGAAAAAATTTCTAAAAAAGTAATATGAAATGTAAAATTGCTAAAAAAGTTTCTATAAATAGAAATAATTATATTATAAATAAACTATTTTCGTGTTTCGTGATTAATAATTAAAAGAAGATAATGAATATTTGGAAAAATAAAAATGTCAGTAATAATTTAGTTTATAAGAATAAACTATATAGAAAAATTAATGACAAAAAATATTTGCCTCGAAGGTAAATTAAAATTTTAAAGCATTATAATTAATTGATTACAATAATTAATTTATTATTAGTAAATTATTTTAGAAATGGCTCTTCAAATTTGAAATGGTTGCGTTATTTTTTGCCATTTTCAAATTTAGAGAAGGAGATAAATTAAAAATGAGAATTTATCGATAATCACTTGCTTTTTCGTTTCTAACTAACATGTTTTAACATCTTATTAGCTTTCTATTTTGCATTAATTTTCATAAAAGACGTAAAAAAACGGTCCATTATCAGTTCTCGATGAAAAAACATGGTATTCCAACAAAGGCTTATCGGACGTTGACATTTGTTTAATATTTGCAAATTTTCATTTGCAATAATTTGTCAAATATAACAATGAATACAAAAGAGGAATACCCTTCATTGGAATACCTTCAAAAATCACAATTTGTTGGCTTCATTCTTTCACGATAAAATTTGACAAATGAGATTGTTTCTCCATAATTTTCAAAACATTAACACAATTTTTTTGTATTCTTCAAAGAATCACACGAGGGAATTTTAAAAATTGAAAAATTGCTTCCTCATGGAAGCATTGTTTTTTTTCTGTTAAAAAGCGATTAAGGCAAAAATTGCAGGAGAATAAAATTATACATATGACTCGAAAAGAAAAGTATCGATATAAGAACACACTTCCACAATGGTCCCTGACCACTCCTTATATTCTCGCATCATTCACTAGTTTTAAATCCCAATTTCAAATCACTTGAAACACTTGCTCTCAAATTGTCTGTGATTTTCGTTTCTTCCACAACCACTCAATCATTTTTTTAATTTTCAGTTATATAAGTTCAATCATTCTTGCAGGGACTTGGATCAATTTTTTGTTTTCTTATCATACTTGCGCGTTTCTCGAAAATATAATCTCACTCGCTTCATGGAATGGACTTATCATTTATCACTTTTTGTTTTTAAGCGTTAAACACTTTTTTGTCATCATTCCTTTTCGTTCATATCATCGTAGTGAGAGAACTTAAGGAACACTTGCTCCAATGTTGTTTGACTAAAACTGTATTCCTCGATATCTAATTCTACTTTAGCTGTAACAAAAAAATTTTTTCGATTTTAGGGTACAAATTTAAAAAGTAGTATTAAAATGTATGCAATAGTTTCTTTTCTTAAAAAAAATGGTTACCTTTTTCCAACTGCGTAAAACATTCGGCCAGCGAATGAACCGCATGTTGGGGCACAGAAAATACCAGTCTATCGATAAAACTTTCCTCTACTGTTGCATCGGAAAATAATCCCGCAACAAATTCTTTTAATCCTGTTATTCTATCACAAGACGGTGTTGTTGGAGTTGAATCACCACCCAAAAGTTTTATTTCCAAGGTATAACCAGCTCCATAGAGATTTTTGAGATGTTGAGTTGAACCAATACATCTCAGTTCACCTTTAACCATAATTCCAACTCGCGAACAAAGTGCATCGGCTTCCTCCATTGAGTGGGTCGTTAAAATTGCACCTCTGCCACCCTAATTGTAAAAAGAATTGATTATTTATAAAATTATTAAATTTTGTCTTGATGATAAAGTCGAATTCTTTATTCGTTATTAAATTTTGTTTCTGTCATTTTTGTTTGAGTAAGGAAAAAATTTGTTGTACCTGAAAACTAGCTAGAATTGTGTCCCAGAGGAACCTTTTTGATCTTGGATCCATTCCAGTGCTTGGCTCATCCATAAGAACAACTTTTGGTCCTCCTACCATTGCCATTGCAAAACTGAGTTTTCGTCTCGTTCCTCCCGAACATTCCTGAGTTTGTTTATCGGCATGTTCGTAAATTTGTAGACCGGATAAATATAAATCTACAATTCTGAGGAAGGAATTAAAATAAGAATTAAAAACAATGAAAATAAAAGATAACTTCCGTGTAGACTGTCAAAAACATGATTTTCTTTTAAATTATCAAATTTTTGTGATAGTTACCTATTGATTTCGACCCAGGGAACACCGCGAATAGCAGCGTAACATTCTAAATGTTCCCTGACTGTGATATTTTTCCATTGAGCATCATGTTGAGGACAGTAACCCATTTTTCGAAAAGCTTCATTCATGTTGGAATTGATATTCACTCCGCTAATTTGAACTTTTCCTCGGGTCGCTGCTTCTTCCGCGATTATTATTTTCATTGTTGTCGTTTTTCCCGCTCCATTGTGACCCAATAAACCGAAAACTTCACCTGGCTCGACGGCCAATGATAAATTTCTCACCGCCAATTTGGATGCAGGTGCTGCTTGTTGTTCACGTTTTGTGCAACAATTGCAAACTCCCACTTCCCGTTGGTACTCTTTTCTTAAATTCTGAAACAACATTTTTCTTAAATTCTGAATATTGATGATTAGCTTACAAATGATTTATTTATATGGTTCTAAAAGATTGATGGTTCTATAGGTTATTTAAACTTAAGGTTTGTTACTGATTGCTTACTTGAACTAAAACAACAGGAGGGTCTTGAACAGCCGAAGAGGTGATTAAATTAAAAACTCTCTGTCTCTCATTTTTCACGTCCGTATCTTCGTGTTCTCCAATATCAGGATTCTCCATAATTTCCTCCCCAATTGAACCACCATTTCTCTGAAAATTTGTCACATTGTCAGAATATTGTGGATAATTACAGAAAAAGAAAAGATAATTACAGAAAACATACCGTGAAGTATTTAAATAAATCACTTATGTTGCCACCACTCTTTTTGATATCTAGTAGTAGTAGAACAAAGAACCAAACTGGACAATGAAGAATAACTCCGACACCCATGATAATTATTTCACTCGTTAAATAATCGGATAATGTCAAATGTTGACAAGCCGTGTTTATTGAGCACATTAGGTGGACTCGATCCACATAATACACAGCCGCATACGGAACGTACATTGTATTTAACAGGGAAAAAACTACATGAAGGGCAAATGCTGCAGTTCCACCTGAAAAATAATTTATTAATTAGTAATTATTAAATTTACACTATTTTAATTTGCATCATTTGCATATTTTAATTTAATATTTTTAATCTTTTCTAATAAGTCTTTTTTACTCACCAAGTCCCAACATGTCTAAAATCATGACAAGCACAAATGGTATGAGTCCAAAAAATGTTGCAATATTCGGCAAAATACTTTGAGCTGAATCCATTTTGTCGAAAATATAACTTAAACATGTGGAAAATAATATTGACGATGGACAATAAAGCATGAGTAAACTTCCGAGAGTGAGAAGTGCAGGAATTTCCTGAAGTGATGGAACATCAAAGAGGAATATAATTCCGAGTATACAGAGGCAAATGATGCTCATCAATCCAACCAAGACGATAAAATACGTGATAAAGTACATCGTAAACGAGAGACCATTCACGCGGAGTTGATTCTTTGCTTTTATCTAAATTGTATCAAGAGGAAATTGCGAGTTAAAATTTAATACAATCGGGGGCTATATTTGAATTTACTTCGAAGGGTTTGTAACTAATTTTTATGTTCTTTTTGTGGAAAAACTGACCTCTCGATCGTACACCATGTCCACTGCTAGAGTAATTGGTACTAATACAAAATCCATTCCGATCAAAACTGCCGAACTAGCGACACCGATATTAAATTCCAGGGGTTGTGATGTTTGTTGAAATGGTCGACTTGTAACGTTAATTGGATCTACATCGTCTGTTTTCTTCAAAAGTCTGCAAAAAGAAATTTATAATTTCCATATCTGTGAAAGTAGATTAGATTTTGACAGCTTATATTCTAGTCACCTTAGATAAGAATTTGAGATAATATTTGCAAGAACCGGTAGGGAATGTTGCATTGTATCATTGTAGGTAATTGTCAAATTCAAGTGCTCATTGTCCACTGAATTAATATTTAAAACAGCCATGTGTGGTGCCATATCAAGAAGATCGGCGTACTTTCCCTTAAATTCTTCCATATAATTCACGTCTTGTCTGATTTGATTTAATAATGGGGAAATATCGTGATTGCTTTGATTGGAGAAGAGAATTCTCATTTCGTCTCTATACGTGTCTGGAAAAACAAAGGGTATTCGATATATTCAACTAAATTTTAATTTAGGTAATAAAAATATTGTAGAAATCGTAAATTAACCATTGTTGAGTGGCAGACTCTGTATTCCCATGTCAACTTTCTGAATACTGTTTACGTACAATCCAAGAGCGACGAGGGCAAGTGGAGCAACAATCATAAAATAAAGAAGTTGAATATTCCGTAACAATCTTAAAACTCGTAATCGCAACATTGCGTAGAGAGTTTGGAGACAGTTAGGCCGGATTTTAATGGGGTCCAGACCAAGGCCAAGTATCGCGGGGTTTTTCTCGTTTACACCATCCTGCATTTCACTGGCTCCTAAATTTCAATTAGCAATTAATAAATATTTTATTTTTTATTTTGTATTTAAAATTCATTTAAAAATAACAAACCTTTCACTTGTCCATCGGCTTGTACAGTTGCACCTTCATTTTGTAAACTTTGATAAGACGTACTCTTTGATTGTAACGATAACGAACGACTTAATGCTCGATTTCGAACCATTTTCTTTGATAAATTATCCATTGTACATTCGGTTTCCTCATCTTTTTCTAAATGTAGAAAAACTTCCTCTAATGTTGTCATTGAAACGCCATAACTACTGATACCCAATCGTGCAGTTCTCGTTTTGATTTCCTGCTCAATGGCTGAAAAAAGTGGTGCAAAATTTTCCACTGAATTGTGCGGTAAAATAAAACTCAATTCCCGGCCGTGTCGTCTTGCTTTTTCTGCTTTTGAGACGTGAGACGTTACGAGACGAGTTATTGCATTTTCTCTAGTGTTTCCTTCTAGAACGAGACTGTAAAAAGGGGTTGAAATTGAATTTTTTGTTTGGAAAATTTTGTTTATTTATTTATTTATTTTTTTTCTTTGAAAGAAAATAGTTTTTTACTTACGTTAAGTGATAGCCAATTCCAAATTTGTTTTTGAGAAACAGAGAGCTTCCACAGCATCTCAATTTTCCTTTACTAATGACGGCTTTCCTATCGGCCAATATATCGGCCTCATCCATAAAATGTGTTGTGAGCAAAATAACTTTTCCGTGTCTTCTCGACTGTAAGAAGGACCACATTTGTCTTCGTGAATAGGGATCAACTCCTGCTGTGGGTTCATCTAGGATTATTATTTTTGGATCGCCGATTATTGCAATTCCAACCGATAATTTTCGTTTTTGACCACCGCTCAAGTATTTTGCGAATGTGTCGGCCTTTTCGATTAGATCGATGTCCTTTAGGGTTTTTTTTACCTAGAGATGAAAGAAAGTCGTTAATTTCTATTTAGACCAAATGAAATTAATTATTAGCAAAATGATTACCTCTGGCTCTATCATGGACCTTGGAATTCCTCTGACGGCAGCAAAGAACTCAAGATGTTCTCTTGGTGTTAGGAGATCAAATAAGATGTCATGTTGTGGACAGACCCCTGTCATGCTTCTAATCATGTGCATATCATTAGAATCCCTAACATCGTAACCAAAAATAAATGCCGTCCCTGCTGTTGGGGCTGTGAGTCCTGTTAAAATATTGAATAATGTAGTTTTCCCTGCTCCGTTGTGCCCTAAAATAGCAGTAATCTGTCCTTCATAAATCGTTAAATTGATGCCATTGACAGCTTTCGTTTCTGGTCTTCGACATTTGTGATACGATTTATACAAGTCGACTATCCTTATTGCTTCACGACCCTTCATTTCTCGCACCACTGGCTCTACGTCTCGATTTGTCTCTTCTCCTGGGATAAAGGAATTCGATTCGCCATTTGATGTGGGTACCTTTAGACATTTCTAAAATTAATCGTTTTTTCCCCTCTTCCCCTTGCACTTTTCGTTTAGATCCGAAATTGTTTAACTTGCTTTTCAATCATATTGAGATTAAAAAAGTAAGATGTGCCGTATAAAGATTTACTTAGACAATTTATAAAGATTGATAATTTAATTAGTAAAATAATAATTTAGTAAAAAGTAGAAATTACCCTTTGAGGCTTTTTTCGACACCAGAAGCCGGGAACGAAACAAAACCAGGCGGGTCTTTTGATGCCGTATTCACCTGTAAAGATCAATCAGTTTAGAGATTGGAATTCATTGAATTTTGAACTTTTTGACGAAATTTAAATTATTTTACTTGGAATAACAGAGTCGAGGTAATATGCCAATAATCCATAGAGGAAAATATCTAAAGTCAGCATTACAATGCTGCCACCGAATGGAATTCCTGGACCCGACCACAGATTGTCGAAATTTACACCCTCGCCTTGAAGATCCAGCACAAGGGCCTGTGGGTGAAATTGTCATTTAGGCTGATGCAAAGTGAAACTTAACTATATTTAACATTTGCTGAATTGTCAATTTCGCATTTGCTAAATGTAACAAAAATGAGAAATGATGAAGAACTTACCTTATCCATTGCTAAAGCGACACATGTGGGACTTAAGAGGGAAACTACCCAGAAAGCTATTGAGCTGGAATCATCGACGAATACTTGAATGAAGTACACAAGACTGAGTATAGTAACGGCGAAATTTCCCAGAACACCTGCGGTCTATAATAGAGATAACGATTTCACTTAAAAGTTAGCTTTTCGCGATTGCATATTGAAGTTTGTAAATTCAGCTTACACGAGACTTGTCGAAGAAGGGCGTTATCATAAAAGCAATCATGATCACCGAGAAACTGTAAAGTACCACGAGCAAGAATATCGGTAGGAAATGCGTATGCTGAAACATTTGTAGTGTAAAAAGTAGCACAACTGCCACCGCTGAGAGCAACAGAACGAATATTGCATAGATGATAAACCACGATAACCTGCAATGAAGAAAAAAAGGCTAAGTACATTTTTCCGGAAAATAGAAATTACCAAACAGGATAGTAGTAGTATTAAGTAGTAAGTAGTAAAATTTAAGAGTGGTGGCTAAACTGACTTGAAGTTTTCGATTATCTTACCAAAAAACAGAATCCTTTAATCCCATGATTTTCATACCCTCCTTGATTTTATTTTCCTTCTCGCCGACTATTAGAATTAGGAGGTAGGTGATAAATTGAGACAGAGCAACTACCATATAGAGTGGAATTACCACCCTAAAAGCAAGCATCCAGTCTGTGAAAATAAATCGTCTTGAAATTGCTTTTTTTGATAATTTTCAAAAAGTTTAATTATTCCATTTGCGAAACTATTCTGGTGTCCATGTTTTTAAATTTATATTTCTTGCTCTCATCGAAAATGAGAAAATATATTAATAATTATTACATAAAAATGAAAAATATTTGCCTACCTGCAGTGAAAGCTTCCTTTGGAAACATTTCTAATTTTATACCAGGCACTGTTATTTCATTATTCTTCGTGTCTAACTGTAATGAGAAAATATAATTCTCCGTCACATCATAGTACAAATTTAAAATTCATAAAACTTGAAACGAACTTTTTAACTCGGCATGATATTTAAATTAAATAATCAATATATAAGAAAAGAGAAAAAAATACTTTGAGGTTTTTTTAATTATTTGTATGTTAAAGACGATATTATCGTTGTTATTTTTTTTCTCACGAGAATATTATTTTAACTTGAATAAATAATTTTACTCTAATTTTCGTAATGTCCATGATCATCTGCAAGGCCATAAATCCTGAGGTGAAGTAATTATTTGCCGGGCAATTTCTGCCAGTTTCTATTGACAAAAGTCCACCCATCCAATGACTGAAATTTTTTCGACACGTAACGGGTGATGAATGCTTTTCTGCGGGAGATGGGGGCATTGTATACGTAGGATTTATTCTTATTTCATATCTGAAAAAAAATATTTAATTAAATTTTTATTATTAAAAACGTGATAGATTCAAATTTACTTGGAAATAAAAAAAAATAAAAACTTGGAAAGTTAGTTAATATAAATTATAGACAAATGGAGAAACGAATGAAGAGATGTCTTTTAGTATGAAAAAGTAATTGTTTTATGAGTAAAAGTAATATGCTAAGAGTTGAGGGATTATTGTGTGGACTCAAATTCGCGGTAAACGTAATAATTTTCAGTTTATAATGTGCTCTTTAGTATAATTTCATTATAAAGATATAGACAAACACATTTTCTACATGAGCGAGATAGAAAGGAAATGTTCAACAGTGGCTATATGGATTTTATAGTAATTGGGTTAAGCATCGTCGCACGATATAATGATAGCGTTAAGTTAGCATCTCTTTAGTTTGGAGAAGAGGGAATTTCAAAGAATAATTAACAGGCCGATGAGGGAAATTGGTTCTTGATTTTCAAAATTGAAGGTTTATTGTAAATATCAACTAGTGTACTTCCTAAACTAGTGTATTTCCTAAAACTGAATCATGAAACTGAAGTTCTGATTTTCGTGGATGTAGAAAGAATTTTCTTAAGATTAAAAAGCAAATAGTTTTTGATAAAAGGAACTTAATTTTTATTCCCATTACATTATAAACAGATTTTTAATCAAATCGGAAAGAAAGTTAAGTACTGGAATCAGTTAAAATTGTAACGGATTCAAGAGTGAAAAAGATTTGGGTATTCTAATATTTATTCTGCTTTTTGAAAAATTCACTTAGAAATAATACTTACGATAAATTTTGTGATATCGGTGAGGGATTTTCGAAAATAACTGCTATTGGTACACTGGCAGGATCTCTCCAATAAGCTGCTTGTAGATCATCCTTTGTGTCGTACGTCATAAAACTTAAAGGAAGTTTTCGATATTCCCACGTGCTCATCCATAAGGTATTCATGGAATTTAAAAACGTCTGAAAAGATATTTATAAAAATTATCAAAAAAAAAAAATGTTTACATAGGTGTTGGGATTTTTTTTCCAATCTTCATAGTAGCAAAAGATTCTTCTTTTTATTTTACTGTTTGCTTCAATATTAATGAATAATTTCATTATTTTCTATTCAATGGTTGAAACATTTTGAGAAAATTAATATTATCGACTTCATGGTACATATAGAAAAAAAGTTTGTCGTTTTATCAAAATTGTAAGTTGTATATTAAAGTCATTTTGCATAATACAAATGCCCTAGTTAGTAATATAAAGTATAGGGTAACTTATTTACTTAGTAAAAAGTTTTGTTTTGAATTTAGAAAAAAAGAAACAGGTGACTGAATTATAATTTAATTGCATTTTATTTATTTGTGAAAGAGCTGGGATTTATCAAAATTGGCTTCAATTTAAAATTTATATTGTCGTAAATTTGTCATGTTTTGAAAATTCGTCATAGGTGAAAAATATTTTAAAACGTTTGCACCTGTGAAGAGCTTTTAATCTCAGTGAATCATTTAATGGCACTAAGCCAACTCTCCCCCTCTTTACTGTCTCTCTTTCTCTTTATCGTTGTTAAAATACGTATTGGCAGAATTTTCCCGACTTTACGTTTCAAATATTTTCATCTATAATTATATATTTTTTGTATTTATTTTTTATTTCTTTCTTTCTTGATTCTTTTGTTAAATTTTCAGTATCTATTGTTAAAATATATCGTATAAGTCTCGTTTTGGCTAAGACAACTGACATTCCAAATATATGTTAAGTTCTGAGGAAACTGATTTTAAGACTTAAAGTTGGCTTTAAAAAGACAAATGAAATTAAAATTGGCAATTAAAACAAATCCAAAAATTGATTGAATTTTCTATAGTGCATTTATATTACTAATGGTGTATTAAATTTTATGCTTTTCTTTCGAGTTGTTTCTGCATACAACCAGTAATGTGTGGCGTGAAACTTTATTTGTTTAGAAAATGTATAAAAATAAAAGTGGATTCTTTTACGTGTATGGATCGATCGATATGGTTACGAAAGCACTCATAAAGTTTACGATTTCACCCCCTAAGAAGCTGTTGTACAGTCAAGTTTTGCAAGTAAATGCGGTTCAGTATTCCTTCTAATGGAAGTCCATTCCCCTTTTGCAAGGGGAGACAGGACAGCAGAAAGGCACCAGAAACTTATATCTGTTTGTCAAGAACTTAGTAAAACAAAAATAATGTCATCCTGTAGAGTCTCTAAGTATTTAGTAATCTCTTGTAAATTCTTTGACGTGAAATTTGCATTATTTTTTCTCTTTTGAAACTACTTTTGGATTTTCTCTATTAAGAATTTAGTTTCGTTGGTCGATTTTTTTCTTCTTTCGTGGAATTTTGAATTGATTTTTTTCTGGTATACTTACTTGAGTTTCATTTGAATTAGGAACAACTGCGATGGTTTTGTTGATATCAAAGAACTCGAAAACATCCCCTTCCTGCCTTTGAGTTGTCATTGCTGGATAGTTCGGATTAGGAATTAATACCTTAACCACAATCAAAATCCCCAGGATGTAAAGGGGCAGAAAGACCTCCTGTAAAAATAATGTCAGACGCATTTTAATATTATTTTTAATTAATTATTAATGAATCAGATAATTAAAGTAATTATTAACAAAACAAGTGACTGAAATATTTATTAATTTATAAAATAATTTATTGAGGAAGAAAGAAAAAAATTAAGAAAGCAATTAAATTGCTTTTAAATTAGTAAATTTCACTAATAAATTAGTAGAAATTACTGTTTATTTAGTAAACTTTACTAATTCAAAAGCAAAAAGTCAGCAATTCAAATTAGTAAACATTTTTAATTCAGGTTTAGACAGTAGATTTCTTTTTTCAAATTTTTTAAATTCTTTAATTGAGGTTTTTAATTTAATTACAAATTACAGTTAAAAAAGAGATAACGACTCATATTAATAAAATAATTAATAACAAAGTAGTTCAAGCAGCTAATAATTATGTAGTATTTTTTTCAACAGAAGTTTTGTACAGTTTTACGGACTATTTGATGTCTGACCATATTTTCTTGTACTACTTAAATTTAAGTAAAAGAAACTAGACACCATCTAATTGCTTTCTGAATTATTTTTACTGATTTTCACTAAATAACAAATTTTGTTTATTTACTAAATAAATAGATTTCTTACAAAATCGGTACAAATCGAAAGAAATTCTCTATCTAAAAAGAAGCATAAATATATTCCTCTGGACAAAACGAAAAAAATCCTCTAAAGAAGCATAAACATTCCTCTCGAGTTGATAAATGTTAATAATCATTTATTCTCGTAGTGTGAATAATTATTCCGTTTAATCGCTGGCAATTTGAAATCTAAACTAATTATTAATTCCCAGAAGAGGAAATGCATTGTTAACCATAAAAAAGCAGTTGCCTGCGGAGGGTAAATATATTTCATGACGTTACATGAGTGAAAAATAGTGTAAAAAGAACGACAACTAATAAATAATGTTGTGTGTCTATATACAGATTAACAAAGCTTTTTAAACTGTTTACAATTTTTCGATAATTCTTTTTTCAAGGAAAATAAAAAAAAAATTATACCGGGGATATATTTAGTTAGTAAATTTTATTAGTAAATTTACATTGAATGTTTATCTTCATTTTTATGAATATTTATAACATTATTTACTTTTGATATGTATTGAATGAAAAATATTTGCTCCGGAAAATGTATTTTTCATGGAACGTGAAACGAGTAAAGATGTCTTCCATTTGCGTTGCCTTGGTAATCAACAAACTTTAGCCCTGCGAAGTGAAATTCGATTTATCCGACTCTCTCGTTGAAGATTTACATTCAGTTGTCTTTTTTTCTTTGACAAAGTAGTAATCAGAATTGTTATTATTCAAAAATTAAATGCGATTTTTTATTCTGTAAGTATATGTTGCAATATTCAGTAGAAAGGAAACTAAATATTAAATTAATAAATTAAAAATTGTTTGTTTTTTGTATTTTGTAAATACATGAAAATAATCGTAGTACTATTACATTTTTGCAATTTCATTTTCACGCAATATAGGGAATAAAAAAGAGAGATCCTTTTTGAATGTCATTGTAGAGAAGAGAATATTTAAATAAGGAAGATGTCTTTTTTCGTGGACGTTGTAACTGAAGATTCGTTTTATGAAAATCTCATGTTGGGCGTGATGAAAATTTTGGAAAATAGTCCGTGCGTGAAAAATGTTGAAATTGAGATGAGAAGTCCTTGTGATAGAGTGGCACTTTCCACTTGGGAGCAAAGGCATTGTTGTAATTTACCTGAAGAAATGAGGAATTTTTATGCTTCGGTAGATGGATTTCTTTTGACTTGGAGTCTCGATATTGCAGGTATAATTAAAACTTGCTAATAATTTTTCATTTTTTTGTCGCCTTTCTTTTTTCTTTATCTTAATTTAATTATTTTATGCAACATGAATAATAATTAATAAACTCTTGAATAATTGTCTGAAACTTGTTATTAATTAATCAAATGAAAATTAATTAATCACTAGAAATTCTTCTATTTAAGTAATAAAATATTAATTAATAAGTGACAAAAGTTATCGGTTATTTTGAGAAATTATTCTGAAAAATAACGGTTATTTAGTAAAGAAAGTGATAATTCTGAAAAAAATAAAAATTCTTTCTCGGAAATACGATTTTTTTCTCTAATTAAATTCTTGATGCTTTTATTTTACTGTTTGCAAAAGGGGAGGAATTTCCAGTTGGTAAAATGGAGATTGGTGATCTAGCATCTTTGAAACGTTTTGTGGGCACTAAAGAACAGCAAGCGACAGCGGAATTGAATCGACGTGAAGGTCTTCAACTTCCTTCGTTCAGCCCACGTTGCAAGCTCTTTGAAATTGGTCAATGTGGTGAAAGTAAAATTATTCTCGTTTATCAAATTGCCTCTGATCAAGGTGAACCTGGAATATGGCTTTATCATGAAAGTAAATGTCAATGGCACTATATTACGAGTAATTTCACAAATTATTTTCGTATGATGTTGGTACATCTTGGACTACCACTGTGGCAATATTGCGTTGTTGGTCTGTCATTACCCACATGGGTGGAGCAAGTGTTCTTTTTAGTTGGACCACATCTTCTACCGACGACGATAAAATTTAAAGAAACTCTTTCAACCACTCTTTGGAATGAGGGTCCTATCAATGTCATTGATCCGACAATTTTTAAGGGCAAGGAGAGTAAACAGAGAATTTTGAAGAAGAAGTAATGGAGAAGTTTGCTCGAATTTTTAGGTGCCTATACAAATTTAGTGTCAAATTATACAAATTTATTAGAAAATGTTTAAATGCAAATTATTTGTAAATTTACTTTGAAAGTATGTGAAGAAGTTAACTTTAGAAGTTAAGACATTGTTTAGATGAGTTGTCTTCTAGAAGATAAAGTTTTTTATCTTTCGGAATTTTAAGTCTTGAATAAAAGATTTTAACTAAAATTTCAATAAAAAAATTAAGGGATCTTATTCTTTTTTCGTAAATGAAATAGTTTTGTTAATAATAAAGTTTGATAAATAAGTCAAGCGTTATTGATATAGTCTTTTTGTGGATGGTACTGATTCATTGATCGTAAGTGGAAAATGTCGAGAAATTTGATACAGTAAAACAAGTAGTCGAGTATGGTGGATAATATACATTGTTACATAATACACCTTTATCCATTAGCGAGTTAATAATTTATCATTTGTTTTGACGAATCCTTGGCCTAATTGGCACTGATTTTCAGACAAAAAGTTTTATCAGTCAAATTCGTAATTTTTTTAAGCATAAGTTTCTGGTTGGCAAACAGTATTGGCCACGTGACAGTTTATAATCGCCTATTCGTCGCCAGTGTTGCATTCCTTTACCTTTTTTTTACAGCATTCAAAATGTCTGCATTGGATGGAAATTATGTTTTTGAAAACAATTTTATTTATTTGCCTTTATCCGTACGTTAATAATTAGCTGGTTTGTCCATTTTTTTGTTCGGTCATTTTATTTTTAACAGAAGCATTGATTTTGTGGCGCTGCTCTTGTTTTTGATTGAAAGTATTTTTCTTTGGTTTCGTACAGCTTCTTTTGTTTAAAGCTGAAAAGGAAGATGCTTTAAATTTTTCCTGTCGTTTCGGTTTAAAACGAACATTACTTTTTGATTCTGCACCTCTTGCTTTGGCTGAGATTGAAGCGTTTCTCTTTAATTTTGTGCCTTCGCTCTATTTTTGACTAAAACTGTAGCATTTCGCTATTGATGCTTTTATTATTACTACTATATTTTTGCATGAACCTAGAGTATTTCCTGGAGCACTTCAAGCTTAAATAGGTGTACTGATTACTCACGAACTGCATTCTGGTTATTTACATTTTTAGTACTGAGTTTACTATTCATTACTCTTTACATTTAGTACTCAATTCAAAACTTTCATAAACCATTTTCTCGCTTTTTTCATACGTTTGGTTTCTCAAATTCGCTCATTAGTTTTTTTTCAATAGACCCTTTTTTCAAGGTATTGATGAAATAGTCATTTGTTAGAGTTTATTGACGTGTACGAGAATTCTATTTTTCATTCCTCTTTTGCTTATTGACGAAACTCTCCTACGAAATTTTACTAATAATCAAAATGCAGACAAAATTAATTATAATATAGTCGTAGGAATAACTCATTTGTAAAGATGCATGAAGATACTTAAAAGGATAATAATTATAATTAATGTTTGTAATCTTGACGCGATAAATTATCGAATTTTATAGAATGTGGAATAATATTAATTTATAACGTCGATGGAATTTTATTGAAACTATTTCATTCAAGATTCGCGTTTTTGGATTCGAGCCAATAATTGTTGGGGCAATGAATCGAGTATGTGTAATATAAAATAGAAGAAAGTTTTGAATCGTGAGAGGATCATGGAGGAAGTTATTTACTTAGTAATGAGAGAAGATGCTGCTTATGATTCTCTCTCCTCATGTGAAAACAGGCAAAAGTGTGATTATACTTTTCTTATTACATGATTGAAATTAGTTTCTTCTATTTTTTTTAATACGTATTAAACTGGAAAAAATAAATATTACTTCCAGTTCAATTCAATTTCTAGAATTTCTAGAAAATGGTTTTTTTTCAGAAAATGTTTCTATTTTCTGGAATCAGTTTTTAATATTAGAAGTAAAAAATGTTAATGTAGTTATTTCTAAAATCTTATGTTTCATTAGGCTGAAAAATTATAAAATTCCTGCAGTAATTAGCATTTTTCATTATTAGAAGCGAATGCGGGCATATTCCGTTCTTGTTGCGGTGCACAGATACCAATATCTGATAATCAATACCACTTTTTCCAAATAAAAAACCTTTTCTGTTTTAGATTTCAGGGGTAATTATTAAAAAGGAATTTTAAATATCTAATTTAATTGAATTGAAATTAATTATTTTTATTTAAATAATTTCACTTTATATAATTAGTTATATACAACAAGTATGAATAATGAATAGTTATAGAATAATTATTTATAATAGTAATAAATAATTATTTGTAATAATAAAATAGTAGGATTAATTTTTAATTGCAAAATAGTGAATGTTAGTGAAAAAGTAGTTTAGAATTTTTTCTTTTAGTTAATTAAATTTTTTCCATAATCTAATATTGCTTACAAAAGGAAATTTTTACTGTAACATCTCTTTTTTCATTTATTTTGAAATTTTCAATGATAATCCTCTTGATATATTATAAATTAATTTTCGTTTCTTCATTTTCAAAGTAATACCTTTTTTCTTTGACAAAACAGTTAGAATAAAAATCTTACCGCAATTGTCTTTCGTTTATCCCTTTTCTTAAGAAGAACATTTCTGATCAGCATCGCACGCAGCTGAGACCAAAATACTCCGCAGCCCCCCATTCTTTCTCCGCTCCAGTTTTCTCAGTTTCTGTAATAAGAAAAAGAATTTTAATCTAAAATTACTTTTCTATCTCTTTTCTTGATTTATAATAATATTTATGAAATAGAGACAACTTTTTGGAAAATTGTATATATACATATTTCATTATCAAAGTCGAAATTTTGTTTCATAAATAAATTATTATATATTTTAGCCCTTCATAATTAAATTATCGAATAAATTGTACACAACATTCCTCTTGTGAATACATTGCATAATTTGCAACACGTGTTTCTGGCAAATATTACATATTATTTTGTATTGTATATGTTCACGGTTCAAATATAATATGAAATGTATCACTGACATTCATTAAACGTTTACAAGTGAAAATTTCCATGTAGCTACCCAAGAATGGGAAATATATTTTGTTATTAAAATTATAATTCAGGGTTTCCTCTCTGTTAAAATTTAGTTTGATATTCTTTGTCAAATGTCACAGTTGCGAAATGAGGATTTCTGAGATTGGGTTCTTTTGTTAATTATAGAGAAAAGAAATTATTGTAGAAAAATTTTATTTATTATATATTTAGTCCTTTATAATTAAATTTTTTTTGTTCTTTTTGTAAGAATTTGGGATTGAGGATTTTTTTTGCTTTGAAAAAAATGTGCAAAGAAATTTTCTCTCGAGGTGTAAAATGAGTTGATTACACGTATAAACCTGAGAAGCGTGATAGAGCATGAAAGAAAAATAATGATAATTTGATCATTATTATAATGATGATAAAATTTGTGTTCGTTATCATCTTTTTTAGTCTCTATGTTTCAACTTGAATTTCATACCTTCTCGTGGCCTTATATGTACTGAAATGGGCACACAACAATCGATAACTTGCCATTTACACGGCTCAACATTCGTGCACCTGTATAACACTTAATACGAGGGGAGGAGGAGAAAAATGTTTTGTGCATATTATGACATTTAAGAGTTATTAATAGTCGAAAATAATAATCATTTTCACCAGTAGACATTTTTTTTCTTAATGGAAATTATAAATCTACTTAATGTTATTATTTTTATCACTGAATAGAACATATATTATGATAGGTATAGCTTTAAGTATTTTTCTTACAATTCATTATATTCTTATCCGGAAATAATTCCGGCAAGAGGTTTTTAATTAACTTCTCAGATGATATCAGCTTTTATAGGAAGAGTGTCTTTTATAAAAGTTTATTTATGATCCCGGCTATAAAAAAACGATCAAAGTTATTATTTTTATATATTTTAATATATATTTACTTGGAGGAAAATGGTGTAAAGTTTTTCGAAAAGTTTAGTGCGGTGATAAAACGTATTTTTTTCGAAAATTGTAAACATTTGTCAGTGTTTTGCTTAATTCTAAAAGTTAATGAAAATGTTTTAACTAAAAGAGTATAATAACAGTGCAGTGGTTAATGGTGTTTCTGTTGCGTAATTTACAAAGGATATCTACTATCTGATTCAGTTTTTACTATACTGAAAATTTTAGATATTAGGGAAAATTTTTTTTGTTTTGTTTCGGCTCAAAAAAAGGAAAAAAAATACTTGTAATCAATATAAACGTTGTTTATAAATAACTTGGTGCATGGGAATAAAAAACATGAGTGTTGAATACTTCGCTTCAATTTTATATGGTACATATATTTCTGTTGTTGTTATAAATAATTTATGGATGGAGCAACCATAGAATTGAATGATATATCAATATCTGGTCATTATTGACTATTTTATGGTCACACCAGACATTAAATGTTTGTGTCAACTGGAGAAATGGATGTAGGTAGTGATAGGAAGTAACTAACCATAAAAATGTTCCGAACACGTTTTTCAAGTTTATTTAGAAGCTTTTCTTGTTATTTAAAGAAAGGAAGGAAACAAAAGAAGGAAAAAGAAAGAAAAAGAAAAAAAAGAAGAAAAGAAAGAACATAAATAGAATAGTGCAGAAAGAATTTTAGGGGGAATAATAATCTGAGCTTGCAAGGAGTTGGGAGAAGCGGCTCCCCACCATGCGAGCGATTCTCCCCACTATTTGGCTCCCTACCAATGGTGGGGGGTCGCTTCTCTTACATTCGTACTCATTAGCTTCTTGATGGTACAGAATTAAAATAAAATCATTCTCCCAGTGCCTATTAACATATACTACATTAAATTGATTCTAATTAAATTAATTGAAATGAAATTTATTAAATTCATTAAATTCATTTTACAGAATTTATTAGTACGAATGTATTTAATTTAAAAAAAATTATGTAGGACAAGTGAAAGTAAATATTTATTTGACAACAGTCAAGTAATATATTAAATTAAAATTGTAACGAATTCGAAGCTAAATATAAATTAAGATCCAATTAATTGTAAATTAAATTAAAATGTATTTATAATTAAGACTACCGAGTGATAAAGTGAGGAAATTACATTATTTTCCATTTAGTTAAAATTAATTTTAAAATGAATGAAAATGGAATCAAATGAAATTTATTTTATTAAATTATCGTTAGTTATTATTAAACTGATTATTAGTTTAATGTAACTAATTTTAATGTTTAATGTAACGAAATTACTTTAATTTTGTTTTCCGTTTCTTTCGAGCTCGTTATCTGTTTTATATCGTAATACAAGACGGGAAGATTGAGAACATTTTCCTGAATTAAATGATCGATGATGAGGGCGTGTTTATGAAAAAAGGAAATTGAGGAAACTTACTTCCTTTAGGCTGTGTAGGTAGATAGCGCGATGGGCCTCCAATTAATTGAGGCTCCGTACTGAACTTGTCTGCTGGTGCTGCTGTTGATGGTGTCGCTTTTAATTAATCATAATTCACGAAACCTCCTATGGTACCGACGACCACACCACGAGGAGCGCACATGGAACGTTTTTGTGCACTTTTATTGGCGCGTCGTGTCATCATTATGCAATAATAGGCACTCTTCCACTTTCTTCACTATATTTTTATAATTTTTTTTTTTTTTTTTAATTATTTTCAATTACTTTTTTTTCTATTTCACAGCCAAATTTTCAGGATTGCACTTTTTTATTAAAAACTTTTAACGATCATGCACTTTTCTTCGCATTATCGTCTTTGTTTTATTAATATTGAGGCACCCAAATTGTTTAGACTCCAAACTGTTAGTCCTCTCGATTCCACCTGTAAACAATCGTTGATTCTTTTATTAAATTATGAATTAAAATTTTAAAAATTAAAATTAAAATGTTATTAATTACATTAAAAATAAGTATTAAATTAAATTAAATTATCAATTAAATCAAACTATTAATTAATTTTATTAATTATTTTTTTTATTAATTAATTTTATTTAAAATATTTAAATATTTTTTGTTAGATTTATTAATGGTTCGTTGTAGGCTTAACAATAATAGTTTTCGTACTTCTTTGTAAAACAATAGAAGACTAAATATAACTCTTTTTGTTGAGTATACAAATTATTAACTTTAATAAAACCTTGTGGCTAATAATATAACTGTTTTTATGATAGGTGAACGCCCTTTGTGTAAATTTCAGAGAAACAACGCTAATGTCTAGTTCAAATAAAAAAGGGGATATAGGGCACGCACTTATTTTTAAAGGGTTAGGGGTAACTTTCAAGATCATTAAGGTACCTACACAATTAAGTGAATACAGACAGTTATACCTTATTTGACGACACGAATTTTTTATAGAATCAATATTTTAGACTAGTCACATTTATGAAATGAAATATAAATATATTAACTATTTTTATACATTTCATAAATTTAATACAATTAATACATTCATATAAAATATTTGTTTTAAAAAGTTTTCTATTCCTACGAGATATTTCTTATTTTTGGAAAATTTTTTTATTTCGTAAATTTTTCTTTAAGAAAAGGACATTTTGCTTTTAAAATAAGAACATTTCTGTTAGTGTAAAGATTACTTTTTTTCTTTAATTAAACAATTTCGTGTGAAATGAAAATTTCTTTTAATTTAAAATTTTAATTTAAAAACATTCTTTAGAGGTGTAATGTTTAATAAAGTTAAATTTGTAATTTTAATTAAGATCATCAGCTGTAATTAAATTGAAGTACCGTACGCATATAATTGTTAAAATGAAATATTTGCAAAAAAAAAAAGAGAGAATCTGTTAATAAAGTAAATGCCTCTCGACTAATTGTTAAAAATAAAAAATGAAAGGAATGAGAGTAAACATTTTTGTAATTCAAAAAGAGAAGAATAATTAGGAACTCGCAATTTTCACAGTTATACGCTTATGACACAAGTGAAAGAATTAATATTTCCATGTTGGAACTGTTTTGTTTTCACAACCCAATTTTCTAAGTACTAAAATAGAAAGTTAGAATGTAGATTTACAGAAAGGTTTGAAAGAAATATTTTTTTTCTTTTATGAAAATATAGAGAATATTATTAAATATTCAAGATATAGTCTTTTGAGACGGTTAGTGAACAGTTTATAGTACTTGCATACATATAGCAATAGATATAAAACCGCATTTTTAATTTACATTCATTATTTTCATTAGACCTAAAGATGGAACGAGAAAAAGTTTTTTTTCAAAAGAATTAAAATATTACCGACTGATATTTGATTCAAATTTTAAGAAATTTGATATTCTTTGAAATGATAACGTGATATTTTCTAATCGGGGAAAATTTCTATGAACACGGAGTACTTCATTTAATATTTTAAAATAGGTTAAGAAAATGTTAAGCTTCCTTTAAAATTTGAATTAATTATTGGATTTTCTTTTTAATAGAACTATAATTTTTCTTATCAAAGGTTCTCCTTGCATTATCATTATAAAACTTTAATAGATTTTTATAAGAAAGAGGAAAAAAATTAATTTTTTTTAAATCAGAAAATTTTCTCTGAAATGATAAAAGAAAAGTATTTTTTTTGGAAAAAACGCCTTAAATGACGAGAAAGAAAACTTTTTAATGTTTTAAATAGGTGAAGTAATAAGTTTTTTTGAGAAAAAGTAAAGAATAAGAAAATAATTAGAAGACAACAAAATTGTTGAATGATAAACGTAAGAAACATATTATTTATAGAAAAGTTAATTGTTAAATTATTTTTAATAGTTATTTTTAGGAGTAAACTTTTATCAGACTGAGAGTAAATTCACCTTTGGTAAATAAGTAATAAAATGTCATTTTAATTTATAACTTAAAAAAAATTTTGCAATAATAATTTAGTTATCTTATGTAGGTAAACAAATATGTTCTCTAAATCTGAATTAGTAGAAAATAGCCATTAATTACTTTTTCACTAATTAATTTAGAAAATTTTTTCCTAATTGTAGTTTATTATTTTTTACAGAGATTCAAAGAGTAGTAAATTGCCATAACAAAATGTAAATAAAAACTAAAAGTAATTGTTCGGAATTAATTTAGATTTCGAGATTGAATGAAATAAATTGTTTATATTCAATTTTGTCAAAAAAACACTTTCGTATGACTTTTAAATTTATCGTTATCATACAATTCTAATTGAATTGGAGTCAATTAAAATTTACATTTATAACAATTCATCGTCTGAGTGCTTATATTTCCTGAGCTAACAATAAGTACGATCAGAGTCTGAATATTGATTATTTCAGTTTTTTTTATCAGCTTTTGAAGTTCAATAATGTTATTTCTATTCATTCTGATATTAGTAGAGAGGATAAAAAAAGATTTTCATATGCAGTGGGAACAAAAAAATTTATCTCATTAATTAATTATATAGTGGTTTTTTAATAAAGATTGATAGTCTTACTATGTGTAAAAAAATTAAAATTGTTTATTTCTAACTTTTATTTACTACTACTATTAATATATTATTACTATTTTTATTATTGTTAATAAATATTATTATAATTTTATTTTGTTAACATCATTTAACATTTTTATCTCGTTTTAACCCTGTATTATTATACAGAGTAGAGCAGCTTATAATGGACCTTTTTATTTTAATTTTGTTAATTTTTAAAAAAATTTTGACCAATATAATAATATTAATTGTTAGTAAAAATTATTGTAATTAATATTAATATTTAACTTGACTCGAAGTGGTCGTTCAACTCAGTGTTTTATTTTTGAACTAAGTCGACCGAGTGATAAATTAAAATATTTATTAATATTAATATTTGTTGACTTGGAAATTGTTTGTTATACAATGTCAATACTGAGACTATATTTTTAATTGAAAAAGAAAAATATAAAGTTCTGAATAACAATTGAAATGTAAAAAGTTTTCTGATGGATGGATAGAATATGTGTTTCTGTATTTTGAGAGATAGATATGTAGGTATATTGAAATGACGGATTAAAGTTTGCCTTTGGTTTTATAGAAACTCGGTTCGTTTGAGTTGGTTTATGCTGGAAGGAACAGTCGATTGGTTTATGCTCGAATAGATTTCACCGGACGCCACACTGTCTGATACAACCTAACATACTCTACTGGTCGATGGGGGGGAAAAAGTTTGCTTTTACTACTGACAGAATTCCCTTCATCTCTTTTTTTTCAAAAAAAAAAAAAGAAAATAATTACAAATTTCGATTTTGCAAATGAAGCTTTCATCAAATATTTTTTTCTATATATAAACTGTTAGTTTTTGATTCTTTAGTATTTATGTTCATTTTTTAATTTTGAATAAAAACATTAGAATAGAAATGAATATTAAAATTTAATATCAAATATTTAATGTTAGAGGGTTTAAATATTATGATGAAAACTGTTTTTTGTTTTTGTTAATTAGGACTTTTAATAAAGGACTTGGAAAAAATCCGTTGGTCAGAAATTATCTGTGATGATAAACACAATCTTGAGAGTTCTAATCTATTCGATACCATTGTTGATAGTTTTTACAGTCTTTGACATTTTTATTATTACATGGTGACGAAATTGAAAAATGCTCACAACTCTTGTCATTGAAATCAATAAAATCTTAATATAGACACCGGTACGTAAAATTGTATTCAGAAATTACATTTAGAAATTTTATTTGAATTTGAATGAAATAATTTTCAGTTAGAGTAATATTAAATTAAATTTTCTTCGAGACTGAATTTAAAACCTTGCTTTTATTTCAGTTATTGTTTTATAAAGTATCAAATTGCGGAGAATTGATACCGAAAATGTGGATCTAATCATAATTTTGATACAATTTGGTATCAATTTGATACAATTTGGCATTAATTTGATACCTTCAAGAAAACTGTGGTTGCATACAATGTTGAAATGTTTGATAAAGTAGCGATAAATCTTTGAGCTTTTATAGGGAATCGTTTATAGTCGTTTTAGTGAATCTTTTAGTTGTTTTTGTAAATGTTTTAGTTATTGAAGTGAGTGAATCTTTTCAACACATTCGAAAGGTAGTCTAGAGAATTATTCCGCATAATTTAATATACTAAATACCTATTTAAATTTTTAAAATTGTATTTAAATTCGATTTTTTTGGTTTAAAATAAAAACTTTAAAAAGTAAGCCATCTTAGGTCTTAAAATGAGTTTCCAAAAACTCAATAAAGAGTGTCGGCTCTTTTAGCCAAAATTAGACTTACATGACATTTTTACAAATGCATTAAATTAAATAAAATTTTTCGTGCGAAGTAAAAATATAATTATACAGTAGAGATTGGTTCTTAAAACAAAAGATCGTATGTCACATAAATTGCAATTGTAACTGAAAACATTAAAACGTATAAAAATCAGCAAATTTTCATTTTATTGATATTTTCGTGTAAATTAATACTCTAGTGATATTTGAGAAGAAAATTTCCATTATTAATGCATTTAAAATCTCAATTTTCTTTTATGAAATCCGGTAAATACTGGCCGGAAGGTTTTCCTCTCTCGCGGAGAAGTGCGCGGCTCATGTATAGCGATCGATCAGCCGAATTACTGGCAGTACTCAATTCTATGTTATATAGTTTTGTCGCACTGACCCCGGAAAAAATCAAGATTTAATCGGATTTTTTGTCCTAGATTTGAAAATGCTTCATTTTCTTGTGAGTGAAAATTGCGACAAATTTATATTTATATATAACAATATATATATATATATACACTGACACATTCACTGTTATAAAGGGTCACGTCCTCTCAGAGAGTTTAAAATCGATTTCACTCTGCCTAGCGGTATAAACTAAACCTTTGATAAAAAA